GAATAATAAGTAGCGGGTCAATCTTCGTCAATTTGATCGAGAATTGAAATATTCTAAATAGAAATGTGGGGATAAAAAAAGATGCAGGGTCGTTTGTCTGCTTGCCTAGTAGGCTGGTTAGCCGAAAAATGGTTATCGGTTCAAGAACGTAAGGTGCCCCTGCTTTTTTAGGGTAAGAAGGGGTAGAAAAAAATTCTCGAGCCAACGTTTGAGCATCAGGCGCTACGGCGCTGAAGTAACATACGTCATACTCCCAGGAAAAACTCGAACGACCTTTAAACAAATGGGTCAAATTACGAAAAAAACCCTCTTATGTTCAGGTAATTAAAACCATCCCGTCAATTATGTTTCTTCTTTCTGTTTTTCGCACTTTCGCCCCCTAAAACTTATAAAATTGATATCTCCCCTTGGAAATATTACATTGATTGCATTTTGCCCCATAAGCTTGGAGGGCATTGTGCAACAAAAATAACATTATAAATGGGCAATGTGCAAGAACGTAATGTTTCTAAGGGGTAACGTGCAACAAAAATTCTCAATTCTGATGAATAATCCATGTGAATTTTGCTATCGGGCCAATGTGTAACAAGAATAATATTTTAAGGGACATTCACTTTTAAAAAATTGAGGGGTAAAGTGCGAAAATTAGAAATTTATAAGGGGTGATGGGCTAATGTGTAACAAGAATAATATTTTAAGGGACATTCACTTTTAAAAAATTGAGGGATAAAGTGCGAAAATTAGAAATTTATAAGGGGTGATGTGCAATTTGCCCTAAAAAAAGAACTAATACTTTCATCTTCTTCACAGCGCCTGTTCCCCATATTTGTTCTGTTCCTCATTGAAATTTCCTCAGTTAATTCCTTTAGTTTTTTTTTCTCTTTGGCTGTGGTTCCTTTGCTTATTCCCGGATTTCTCTCTCTCTCTCTCTCTATCTCTTCGTAAGTGATAAGGGACGTCAAATTGGATTTGAGTTGCAAAATAACTATTTAATTCGGAGAAGAGTTATTAATGGGCATTGGTGGAAATATCGAAAGAAATTATGGAAAAGTAAGGGTTTTCGAAAAACTCAAATTGTAATTGAGTACGAAACGAACTCTATCTCAAGTGAAACGGCGCAAGGAACAAAACTCATGAGCAAAGCTCATGAATCACGTCAAATTTCAGCAATCCAACGTTGTTTAGACTCCCAAAAGTTCGTTTTTGCTATTTTAGGTAAGTTTTAGAAAATTAATATCAAATCATAGAAAAATCGGATTAGGATTCCGTAAATTGGGTTGTTCCCAAAATTACGAGATCTACTAGAATCAGACTCTAACTCGTTTTTGCCATTTTTGGTAATTTTTAGTATTTTCTTATTTTAATTAGGGTTTTCAGTTTTTTAGTATAAATAGTTGCCTTAGGACTTTATTTTAGAAGATTTTCGAATTTTAATAAAATATTTAGAGTTTTCTCTATTGTTCTGGTGGATTCCAGAGTTTTTCGGTGGATTTCGAATGTTATTTTGTTCTATAGGATTAATTCGTAGAAATTAATTCTTTACCGTGCTTCCGTTCTGCGTCAGTAAGTCTCTCTCTCTAGAAGATTTCACCTTTATTCATTTAGGGTTCTTGATTTTCACCATTGATTGTTGCTGGGTTTTTTGTTTATTTCTTGATGTTTTTGATTTTTTTTTTCTTACTTCTCTACTTAATCTGAATTCATTATTACAGGGACCGAAACATCGAGTAAAAAGAAGGAAACTCCACGTTCCTCTTTCATAAATCATAATATATAATCTTGCTTTGATTAAAAATATATAATCTATTTTTTAATTTATGCCAATTAAAAAAATTAGGGTTAGCTTTGATTTTTAAATTTTTTTTTAGTTCTTGTGGCTGCAAATATGCAGATGGCTACAAATATAGAATCTCTTCCACACGAAATGGTGTTCGAGATTCTTCTACGTCTCCCAGCCGAAGATATCCACAACGAGGCAAGATTCGTTTGCAAGAAGTGGTACGATATTACCCGTACCCGTAAATTCGTATACGCGCACCTTCACCATTCGCCTACCGGGCTTATAATCCAGAGTTACTGTGATCGCGACCGTCCGAATTTCGTGGCAATGAGGCGAGGCGAAATCGAGAAATCCTGTATGTTCTTCAGATCGATTTACGCGCCCGATACCGAGTTCGCAAACCTCTTTTGGTCTGGCTGTAACGGTTTGCTTTTGCTGTGTGATCTTTGTGGCGAAGACCGTTGTTCTGAAACACTTTACGTTACGAATCCCGCAACGAATCAGCATTTCCCACTCCCCGAGTGTATCGGTCCTGCGTATAGTAACTCCGGTATGGCGTATTCTGTAGCTTCCACGGCGTATAAAGTGGTCGCCACGCCGTATAATTTCGAAAGTGGGAAACTGGACTGCGTTATATTGACCGCTGGAGTTGACTATTCTTGGAGGCCCGTTCGCACCCAACACTTGTCTCTCGAAGTTCGAAAAATTCTCAAGGGTATTCCGTTGACTACCGAAGGCTTTATTCATTGGACTGACAAAGAACAACCAGGCGCTCGTGTTTTGACCTTGAACGTCGAAACTGAAGTTATTACAGAGTCTCGTGTTGATCCTCAATGTTGTTATGGGTCCGAACGACTGAAGTACTATTTGTCGAGGGGGCGTTCTCTAACTTTGCTCGTTTCTTGCGGCGGATTATCGTGGGAGTTTTGGAATCTGGAACCAGAAACGGGAGAATGGACTAAGCAGCACAATATTGACTTGGAATCTCGAGAGGGCGAATTGGTAAATTTGATCCACAGAAGCCGTGGTGGTCCAAACTCGTATCCACCGCCCACTCGTCTGCATCTCGTACCGATTGGTTGGTTGAACAACGGAGATGTGTTGGCGTTTCATGGTTCGCATCCATCGTCGCTTTGCTTTCTCTACAATGTCCCAACGCTAAAAATCGAGTCGTTTGGATTGGAGGACCATTGGCACAATCTGATATTTACTTCTCATAGAAATAGCTTGGTGTCACTAGAATTGGAGGACCATTGGCACAATCTGATATTTACTTCTCATAGAAATAGCTTGGTGTCACTAGAGTTAGGTGAATGCAATTAATTATGCAAATGTGTTATTTAGTACATTGTTTGGCAAATTGCACATCACCCCCTGTAAATTTTTAATTTTCGCACTTTATCCACTCAATTTCTGTAATTTGACCTTACCTTAGGGGTGTCCGTAATTTGCCCTCATAAATTAAATATTCCGATATCGCTGGGGGTCTTAACAAAATAACAAATTATTTTCAACAGATATTTTATCAGTCGAAGAGTGTAACAAATATAGCGTTTCTTCCAGAATAAATGGTGTTCGAGATTCTTCTACGTCTCCCGGCTGAAGACATTCACAACCGTGCAAGATTCGTTTGCTGAAAGTGGTACGACATACATAACGAACAGCCGCAACTTCACAAATGAGCACCTTCGTCGTTCACTTCCCGGACTCGTCATTAATTTCGGTGCTGCGTCAACGAAGCAACCAATCACAGTGTCTTCAACGAGACGAGGCGGCAGAATCGAAGTATCCAAATTCAACAATCACGCTTTCAAAGACTTTTACTCGTACGGTTGCAACGGTTTATTTCTGCAGCACTACCATAAAATTAACCTCGTGCTTTACATTACGAATCCCGTAACTAATCGGCATTTCCCACTCCCCCGAATCCGTTAATTCCGCACTACCCAACACGTGTTCTGTTCTAGCATATGCTTCGAATTCCGTGGCGTATAAACTCGCTCAAACGTACGAACGCACTGACGATTATATTGAAATCGTATGAGATTGTGCTATTTTGACTATCGGAGTTGACCAGTCAATGAGGCGTGTCGACACTCAACACTTGTCCACTGCAGCTAGAGAGCTTCTCGTATACGCCCCGTTGACTATCGAAGGCTTCGTCCACTGGACTAAGAAATCGAAAGCCACCGATCACGTTGCGACTCTGAATGCAGAGACGGAAGTTATTACAGAGACTCGCGTACCCGTGGATTACGGATTGGAAATATTGAGGTATTATTTGTCGACGGGGAGTCTTCTAACTTTGCTCGTTAAATGCGGTGAATATTCGTGGGAATTATGGAATTTGAAATCAGAAACCGGAGAATGGACGAAGATGCCCGATATTGACTTGGAACCTCAGAAGGGCAAATTGGTCGTTCAAAATCCTACGGTTACCTTCCGTTCGTGCAACCTCAGACCGGTTGGTTGGTTAAACCACGGAGAGGTATTGGTCTTGCATAGTTCCGACTTTGCTCGGGTTTGTGTTATGTACGTTGTTCTTACACACGAAATCGACTTCCTCGAGTTGGATTACAAAGGTTATAATCACATTTTCGATTCTCATAGAAACAGCCTTCTGTCATTAGATTAGGCCTTTTGTTTAGTTTAGGCATTGGTTTTGATCATTAGCTGTGATAATAATTTAATTATCTATTTTCACTTTCGAAATATATTAATCTTCCTAGACAAAATTAGTAAATTGTATCTCATTTTATTATTTACTTTTATGTTATTAGTGACATCAGGATTAACAATTAAAAACAAAACGACGACGTTTGGCAGAAGGAACAATTAAAAAAGGGTAAATTACGGTTACTTCCTGAGGTATGGTCAAATTACGAAAAAATTCCTCTTGTTTGGGTAATTACAGCCACCCCCTCCTTTTTAAATATTTTTACGTAAAATTTATGTAATTCGGTTATTTACCGAACCAAATCGTATATTCAGTTCGGTAAACGGTATGAAATGTTGGCGTACCGAAATTTAGGTTCTGTTCTACCGATTTAACATCCCTAAATTTACCCATGAAGAGGTATTTTCGTAAGATAATACATAATTGATGGGTGGTTGTAATTACCCAAATAGAAGGGAGATTTTCGTAATTTGATCATAATTCAGGGTAGCCGTAAATTGGCCTTAAAAAAAAGAAAAATATAAATAAATGGAAAAGGAAGCAGCACACTGGAAAAAGGAGGACATTATAATGCAAGACGACGACATTTCGTACTAAAGTTGCAAAAGAGAAAAGAAAATTGAATTGGGGGGAAAATTAAACGGAGGATCAAGCATTTCTAGGGTTTTAGCAAATCGTTCGTTGCTTGTGATTTAGGAATGGGTAACTCACTCCGTCACTATCCCAACGATGGCTCGCCGAGCGATCCATGGCAAATAACGCCGGAGAAAACTGATCGGAGGTATTATTTTTTTTTTCAATTTTTTTTTCTTGAGAGTTTCAGTCAGTAATTAGCGAAAGCTGATGAACAATATGTTTCTTCTCTACTTAATTGGAATCCATTGCAGGGATGAAAGCATTGTTCAAACTCCGATTGCAGATACTGAAGAAGGAAACTCAGAGGTGCTGTTTATAATATGTATATGTATCTTGCTTCTTTCGAGTTCTCTGATTTTTATTTTATTTTTTTTAATTTTTTTTTTAATTTCTAATTTACTTCCTGAATTAACTCATGGAGATAAGTTAATTTTGTTTAAATGCCAAATAATTAGCTGATCGGAGGAATTTGTGCTATAAATCAAATTAGTTCTTCTGGCTGCAATTGTTTGTGTTGGTTCGATTGTGTAGTGTTAAGAAAAGAACACGATAGTATTGGTGTAAATATTTTTACGTAAGTGAAGAACAATGTAAATTGCTTATGAACATGAGATATACTTTTTGTGCCGGAAATTCTTATTGCTTACGAAAAGCTGATATTGAGTACACGAATTAATACGAAGAATCGCCCATTACTAGTTCCAAGTTCTTAAGAAATGTAACGGATTATTATTTTTCAACAGATATATTACGACTCGGGGAGTTCAACAAATATAGCGTCCCTTCCGGACGAAATGGTGTTCGAGATTCTTCTACATCTCTCAGCTGAACATATTTACAGCGAGGCAAGATTTGTTTGCCAGAAGTGGTACGATACGACCAATACTCGTAACTTCATACACGAACACCTTCGTCGTTCGACTCCGGGACTTGTCATCAAATGTGGTAACGACCCCATGAAGCAACCAATTACCGTGTCAATGAGAAGAGGCAGAATCGAGATATCAAAGTTCAGTTACGAGCTCAAAGGCTTTTACTGGTACGGTTGTGATGGTTTGTTTTTGCACCGTGATTCTAGTGGCAGTGTGCTTTACATTACAAATCCTGCAACCAATCGGCATTTCGCACTCCCCGAATCTGTTAGTTCCACATCACCCTACAGTTGTTCGTTTCTGGCATATGCTTCGACTTCCATGGCGTATAAATTGGTTCAAACATATAATTGCCCGGATAAGATTCCAATTGTACGAGATTGTGCTGTATTGACTGTCGGAGTTGACCAGTCAAGGAGGCTTGTCCACACTCAACACTTGTCTACTGCAGCTAGACAGCTTCTAAAATACATTCCGTTGACTATTGAAGGTTTTATTCACTGGACTAAAAAACCACAAGGCACCGATCGTGTTGTGACTTTGAATGTAGAGACTGAAGTTATTACAGAGACTCGCTTACCTGTAGATTATGGATCAGAAAGATTGATGTATTACTTGTCAACAGGGGCTTCTCTAACTTTACTCGTTGAATGCAGTGAATTTTCGTGGGGATTTTGGAATTTGAAATCAGAAACCGGAGAATGGGCGCAGCTGCCCGATATTGACTTGGAATCTCGAAAGGGCAAATTGGTAAATTTTGTCAGTGAAAACCGCCGTCGTTGCTCCTGTCCGGTCAACCTCAGACCAGTAGGTTGGTTGAATCACGGAGAGGTATTGGTCTTGCATGGTTCCCGTTTTTCTGGGGTTTGTGTTCTCTACAATGTTCGTACACAGGCAATCGACTTCTTCATGCTGGATTACGAATGTATTACTCACATGTTTGATTCTCATAGAAGCAGCCTGGTGTCATTAGATTAGGTGGATGCAATGCAAATAAGCCCGGAATGAAATTGAATTTAGTTTTTTTTTTTCTCGAAATTGCTATGTACTCTCGAGAAGCAGCATTTCCACCACTTCTTATATGCTATGTACTCTCGAGAAGCAGCGTTTCCACTTCTTATTTTGCTACGTACTCTCGAGAAGCAGCATTTCCACTTCTTCTTATTTGCTGCTTGTGTAGATGACAATGTCTCGTTTGGAACTGTCGGTGCTTTTTCGTAGATATTCTGAGGATTAGTTTCCTTTGGCATCGATGTTGTTTTTGTGACTTGTATTGAAGTTGAAGCTTTGCTTTGCATGTTATACAGGGTTTTCTAATTTGATATTGAACTTGAAATAAAAATATATCACTAAATAATAATTATCAGCAACACGAAAAAAGAAAAACACGGGATGAAAATTCGATGCGAGAAGCATCGCCTTAATGACTAGCATCAATTGATCGAACCACACGAGGCTGCTTCTATAAAAGTGCAACAATAATATCACTAACTAATAATCATCAGCAACACAAAACGAAAAAAAAACGTGCGAAGAAAATTCGACACCAAAAGGGTAGCCTAAATGACTTACCTTGGTGGTATCAATTAACCAAACCACACGAGGCTGCTTCTATAAAAGTGAGACAGAGTGCACACATAATCCACCTCCAAGAACTCGAGTTCTCGTTTGCGAATATTGTAGAGAAAAAGCAGACGCCTTGTTCGGAAAAACTGGAACACCAACACCTCTTTGTCGTTTAACCAACCGATGGGCGCGGGTAATTTCTCGGAATTTTCAAATTCATCCCTCTGGAGCTCCAAGTCGATCGTGGGCAGTTTCGTCCATTCTCCGGTTTCCGGTTCCAACTCCCATACATCCCACGAAAGTTCACTGCGCTCGACGAGCAAAGTCAAAGATCTCTCTGTTGGAAAATAATACTTTGACCTTCCAACACAACCGTCGGGTATCGATTGCTCGGTAATAATTTCTCTCTCTACATTCAAAGTCAAAACACGCGGGTAGTCTCCGTAAGTCCAATGCATGAACCCTTCGGTAGTAAACGGAGTGCAATTAAGAATATGTTTCGACGCGTGAGACAAGTGTCCGATACTAAGACCTCTCCAAGAACTATCGTCCCCAAGCGTCAATACGGCGCAGCCTTGCACGTGTGGCGTCTTATTCGCGACGAGAAACGAATGGACCACTTTATACTCCGTCGAAGCCGGAGCATACGCGATACCGTAACCATACATTCTGTGAAAAGATTGAGGGAGCGACACGCGCTTTTTGATTTCCGGATTCGATACGTACAATGCGTTTTTCGTGGCATCGAAGCCCACTATCAAACCGTTGCAACTAGACCACTTTTCGCCGAAATCGTACTCGAAGTCGAGCTTCTCGATTCGACCTAGCCGAGCTGTTAAGAAAATCGGCGGGAGAGAAGCAGATTGTACGACGAGTCCGGGAGTTGAGCGGTGGAGGTGCTCGCGTACGAAGTCGCGTATCAATTTGCGCCACTTGTTGGAAACAAATCTCGCTGCGTCGTAAAAATCTTCGGCCGGAAGCTGTAGAAGAATACGCAGCAACAATTCGTCGGGAAGAGAATCGATATAGTTCGTTAAACTAGACCTCCAGCTTTTTATCTGCATCATGAAAAATAAAAGATTAATATTTTCGATCAACAATGTAACAATTTATATTCGGTCACGAGTTCGAATTTCGGTTTCGCGCCAATATTAATCGCATGCATGTAATTAACAATAAAAAAAAAATTAAAAGCAAATTAGAACAATTAAACACGTTGTATGAATATTGGAAGTTCACCTCGGAGTTTCGTTTTCTTCTCTTGGCTATTTCTCCGACAGTCGTCGGGGTTCGTTTTCTTCTCTTGGTTATTTCTCCGGCGGCGGGAGGCGGCGGCGGTGGCGGCGGTGGCACGTTACCCATCTATAAATTAATTAATCTTTTTCTTTGAGTTTCTTGGAGAACTGGATATTTGCCTATCTATAGACCTAATTCATGAAGGTTAAAAAAATATATTTGACTAAATATATAAACTAAATAAATATTGGTTTGTTTTCCAAATTAATAAATTATACTCCAATTGAGTTATCTTTTTCCTTAAATTATTTTCCAAAAAATAAATTAGGGCTGGAGGAAAAGCGAACACGTCTCATAGCGTCTGTTAGTTACTTAATTTGTTTCTCATACTAATAATATTTTTGGCAAATTGCACATCACCCCCTGTAAATATATAATTTTTGCACTTTACCCCGTAAATTTTTTAAAAGCGAATGTGCCCCTTCAAAATGTTATTCTTGTTGACTCCGATGGATGATTCATCGGAATTGAGTATTTTTGTTGCACGTCGTTGCCCCATTAAATGTTATTTTTTTTCTCTTAAAAATATAACTTTTCTGTGCGTCGCCCCTTTAAAATGTTATTGTTATCGCACAATGCCTTCCAAAAATTGGCTTCTGGCCTTTGGGGCAAAGTCCAACCAAAATAATATTTCGAAGGGGGTGCATCCCTTTTATGATTTTTTAGGAGGAAAAGTGCAAAAAAGGAAAATTTATAGGGGGTGAAGAGCATTTTGCCCTTTAGTTTATATCTGTCGTCCATAATATTAGTCTTGCGATTGCGTTTTTCGAACGATTTTTAATTGTCGACTACCTTTAAGTAGTCCATGTTTGGATGTAATATGGAGCCTTATTGCCGGTTGTTTCTCGTATTTAAAACATATAAATCCAGCAAATACTTTATATAGTGAAATTAATTTTCGTATACAATTTCTATAATAAGGGTCGATGAAGACCGTTTTCGAAGGAAATACAAACATCTAACACTCAATTACAACGCCTAAACTCCGCATCCATCAACCGATACAAGGTTGTTTCTATGAAATTCAAACAATTGATTATTACAATAGTTGTCAAGCTCGAAGAAATCAATTCCTCGTGTACGGACATTGTAGAGATACAAACCCTAGTCGGATCCGAAACATGCAAGACCAACACCTCTCCGTCGTTCAACCCAACAATCGGTACGAGGATCAGAAGACAGCGACGTTCTTTCTTCGTCGAGGCATCCACAACCCAAATTTACAAATTTGCCCTTTGCGCTTCCCAAGTCAATCTGTTCACCATCGTCCATCTAATCCGTTCTCGTTTTCAACTCCCAAACCTCCCACGAAAATCCACTTCCGTGAGTGAGAAAAGTTAGAGTGCTCCCCGTCGACAAACAATACTTGAATAATCTTTGTCCGTAACCCTGAGGGAAGGGTATTTCCGTAATAACTTCGGTCTCTATGTTCAAAGTCAAAATATGATTCCCTGTTGGCCTAGTCCAATGAATAAAACCTTCGGTAGTCAACGGCACCTCCTTCAAAAGTTCTCGATTTATGGGAGATAAGTGTTCGGTACAACCACTCCTCCAAAGCTTGTCAACTCCGACAGTCAATATAACGCATTTTTGCACTTCTACATCTTCTTCTTGCTCGTACGGGAACGTGTGGACAACTTTATACACCATCGAAGCTGCCGCATACGCTATACTATAACGATAGAGTTGCACCTTCGGACAAAGGGATACGGAGAGGGGGAAATTCCGCTTCGTTATGGGATTCGCAACGAAACAACTATCGGAGTCTAGGGTGTCGCGGAATTGCAATACCAAACCGTTGCAACTCGACCAAAACGCCCATTTGAAGTCGCAGCCGAATTTCGATACCTCGATTCCGCCTCGTCCGATCGACATAAAAAGTGCGCGATTGTAGTCGTCGAAACTCTGGATGGCAAGTCCGGGAGTTGAACTGCGAAGGTGTCCGTATATGAAGGTATGGGTACGGATCATATCGTACTACTTTCGACAAACGAACATGGCAGAATCGTAAATATCTTGAGCCGAGAGATGGAGAAGAATATCGACTATCAATTCGTCTGGGAGAGACTCTATATTTGTTGAATTGGTCTTCTTTTTGCATCTCCTGACATAAACTCGGTCGAATTTGCGCACAGCCATCTGCATATATATATATATATATATATATATATATATATATATATATATATATATATATATGTGAAACATGTAATTCAAACACTCTTAGAAACTAAATTTATTATATATTTACAAATTTATTGGAAAGAATAAAGCAGGGTGTTTTTGAGTAATCCGTACCTGTGAGTTTCCTTCTTCTTTATTTACATCCCGTCCATGGTGAGCGGATGGCGAATTCTGCGGCGGCGCGGTGGGCGACGACAGCGCCGGCGGACGGTGGAGGGATGGTGGAGAATCGCCCATAAATTGATTAATGTTTTCTTTCAAAATTGTAGAATTCCCCTTTTGGAGACCGATCTAGGGTTTGATTTTGAATGATACCGCTCAATTCCGCGACTGATATATCTCAACGGGAATTTTATATTATTAGATTTTGCACCCTTAAAATGTTGTATTTTAGCTCTTTGCACCCTTAAAAATAATTAATTGCAGTTCACATCCTCCAAACATATATGCAACTTGAATAAAATATTTAAAAGGATAAAATGCACTTAGCCCCCCTAGTTTTCACACTTTCCCTCCTACAAATTGTGCTATAGCGTATGGTCCATCTTCGATGGTGTATAAAGTGGCTAACGCGTGTTTCGATCGCTTTGATAAACCCGAAGAACTAGGTTGTGTTATATTGGCCGTAGGAGTCGACGAGTCTTGGAGGATTGTTCGTACGCAACACTTATCTCTCGCGTCTAGAAAAGTTCTCGTGTATGTTCCATTGAATACCGAAGGTTTCGTTCATTGTACTATGACAACAAGCGCCCGCGTTTTGTAGTTGAATGTAGAGACCGAGGTTATTACAGAGATTCTCCTACTTAAGGTTACGGAGAACGATTGAAGTATTATTTGTCAACGGGTACTTCTATACTTTTCTCACTAATATCAACGAGTTTTCTTGGGAGGTTTGGGAGTTGTGACAAGAAACGGATGAACGGACGAAAATGCCCTCGGTCAACTTGGAACCTCAAAATTTCAAATCCGTATATTTGAAACGTTTAAGCGATCAATCACTCGTACTGACTAGATACTCAAATGTCACATTCAAACCGATTGGTTGGTTAAATTGCCGAGAGGCGTTGGTCTTGCATGTTTTTCCGACTCGGCTTTGCGTTGTCGTCCACAATGTTCGTACGCGTGGAATTGATTTCTTTGAGATGGATCACGATTTCAATAGCTACAAGTTTATAGTTCATAGAAACAGCCTGGTACGGTTCGGACAATTTGTTTAGACAAATTTGTTTATAGTTCAATAGCTACAAGTTTAGCCGTTTAGACTATTTGTTTGCTCGTCGAGTTTTCGTTCGTATTGTAAATTATACTTGGCTGATTCTTTTTCCCGCTATTTCATAGATGATGATTCACACGCGCTTTTCCCCTCCTCAAATAGCTTCATTGAATTACTAACAAAATTAGATGAAGTGTGAAAACTAGAAATTTATTTCTAGGGGGGCTAAGTGCATTTTATCCTTTTAAATATTTTATTCAAGTTGCATATATGTTTGGAGGATGTGTACTGCAATTAATTACTTTTAAGGGTGCAAAGAGCTAAAATACAACATTTTAAGGGTGCAAAATCTAATAATATAAAATTCCCGTTGAGATATATCAGTCGCGGAATTGAGCGGTATCATTCAAAATCAAACCCTAGATCGGTCTCCAAAAGGGGAATTCTACAATTTTGAAAGAAAACATTAATCAATTTATGGGCGACTCTCCACCATCACTCCACCGTCCGCCGCCGCCGTCGTCGCCCGCTGCGCCGCCGCCGTATTCGCCGTCCGGTCACCATGGAAGGGATGTTTCTCTGAAGATTCAGACTCCAATGGCTGTAAATAAAGAAGAAGGAAACTCACAGGTACGAATTACTCAATAAACCCCTGCTTTATTCTTTCCAAGAAATTTTTGAATATATCATAAATATAGTTTCTAAGAGTGTTTGAATTACATTTTTCATATATATATATATATATATATATATATATATATATATATATATATATATATATATATATATATATATAAAGGACTTGTATATATTTCATGTGCAGATGATCAGAGGGCGCAAATTGAAGTGTAGATATACGAATCATGGGCGCAGCCGCCCGTATAACCACCGGATATGTAAAGGCGGGAAGAAGAGCAGTTCAATGAATATCGAGTCGCTTCCGGACGAATTGTTGTTCGACATTCTTCTACATCTCCCACCTCGAGATATTTACGATTCCGCGGTTTTCGTTTGCAAGAAGTGGCGCAGCGTAATCCGCACGCGTAAATTCACGTGCGAACACCTTCGCCACTCACCTCCCGGACTCGTCATCCAGAGTGTTAATAAACGCGAGCAAACGTCTTTTCTGACAACGAGGCGAGGCCGAATCGAGATAACCAAGTTCGCCCACAACGATTACAAGTGCTTGTTATGGACGAGTTGTAACGGTTTGCTACTCGAGTGCGATAAGGAAAACGATTATGCTTCTTACATTGCTAATCCTTCGACGAGCCAACGCTCGCCTCTCCCTCCGAAATACTATTCTGGTATGGCGTACGCTGCAGCTTCCACGACGTATAAAGTGGTCAACTGGTATCATGAGTACGACAATCCCGAAGACCGAGGTTGCGTTATATTGACCGTAGGAGTTGACAAGTCTTGGAGGTTACTTCATACCCAACACTTATCCCTCGCAACTAGAATAATTTTCAACATCCGCCCGTTGACTACCGAGGGTTTCGTTCATTGGGCTACGACAAAAAGCGCTCATGTTTTGTCATTGAATGTAGAGACCGAGGTTATTAAAGAGATTCTTGTACCGAAAGGCTACGGAGAAAAATTGAAGTATTTTTTGTCGACGGGTACTTCTCTAACTTTTCTCACTAACATCAAAGAGTTTTCGTGGGAGGTTTGGGAGTTGAGTCAAGAAACGGGCAAATGGACGAAAATGCCCTCGATCGACTTGGAACCTCAAAATTTCAGATCCGAATATTCGAAACTTATACGTAATCGTTCACTCATGCCGCCGTGGGGGTCAAATGTCACGGTCAAACCGGTTGGTTGGTTAAGTTGCAGAGAGGCGTTGGTGTTGCATGCTTTTCCGACTCGGCTTTGCATCGTCTACAATGTCCGTACGCGTGGAATCGATTTCTTTGAGTTGAATCACGATTTTGATCTGTACGCGTTTGTTGTTCATAGAGACAGCCTTGTCGATTTTCGTGAATGTTGATAAATAAATTATACTTTTAGCAATTTAATTAGACAATGGTTACTCACTTCCAATATTAATTACCTCATCTAATCTTCTTAGGCATTGTTAATTAGTTGGTCAATGTTTGATTTAAGTAATAATGTTTTATTTAATTCTTTGATGCTCTGACGTGAAATTTATGCAAAGCCGAAATGTCGATAAGCCGTTGTCTATTCCTTCGGGTCTCGATGGTGTGCTCGTGACCGGTTCGAGAAGTGTCTCTATTCGGTTAACTTTTTAGTGCTTCTCTAATAAACATACTGCGGTTGAGTAAACAAAAATACTTGTGCCTACACTCTAATGTAGTCAGTGACAAGTACTCGAGGAATTTTTTACACGATGTGCTTAAATTTTCGGAAATTTGAGGGTTATGTCCTCGAAAAAAATTTAGGATTTTTTTTGTATGAAGTATGACAAAATCATATACAGTAGAACCTCGATAAATTAATACCCGATAAATTAATAACCTCGCTTAAATAATAAATTTTCCCGGTCCCGACTCGGGGACAACGTGCTAAATTAATAATTCGCTAAATTTATAAGATAATACACATTCGAAAATTTTAAGAAGCCCCATATAATATATAAATTAATAATGCATAAAAAAATTCTTAAATTACATGGTACAGTGCATATTTTATAGATCTATGAAGGCTTAATATAATATAATTTAATTCCCACTTGTTTCTTGTAGAAGTTCACACTACCATCAATCTCGTCGTTCACTTTTCTTAACATGGTTAAAACTTTCGGTATAGTTTTCTCATAACTCAACATAAATCGTTATATACCATTACTGTTTTAAGAGCTTCCATTCGTGAAACGGGCTCTATAGTGCATTGAACGAATGGTACAATGAATAATATATACGTAAAAAAAAAAATATATGCATTTATTAAAAATAATAATAAAAGTAATTTCATAAATTAATAAGTTATTAATTAATGTATAAACTAATAACTATTAATTTATCGATAAGTTAATATTTCGCTAAATTAATGAAATCTTGATGGTCCCAACTGTATTAATTTATAGAGGTTTAACTGTAATATGAAGGGTGGACTCGTCCCTGAATGTCGGGAAAAATACAGTTTTTGTATCTTACGTTGGAAAATTTCAACACTTTTAGTCATTTATGTCAATTTCCCGTTAAAACTAAGGGAATCAAGCATTTTCCCATCACTGCCTTAACTAACATACTAACGTTAGATTGACATAAATGACCAAAAATGTTAAATTATTGTAATATTTGGGACCAAATGTGTTTTTTCATTTTTGTGCAATGGGAACCAAATGTGTATAATTGATGCAAACTTACGGGATGAAAACTGTAATTTCCCCTTTAATTAAATATGTAATAGCCAAACGAGGTCTTAAAGCAGGTTTCATGAGTAATTCTCCGTCTAATTAAAAATTAGGGTTTATTTTATATCCCCTAGATACCAAATAAATTAGGATAAACCCATGTCGGATTCTTACTTTGACATACCCTCATGGAGAGGCGAAAGTACTATGCTACCCTTACATGCAATTTTCGGCCACACTGCATTAAACATTTCGGGTCCTCCATTTAGCATTTTCACTGATTTATTTATTATTATTTTTTCCTAAACCTGTTTGTTTAATTTATATATTTTCTATTAATTTTGTATTTAATTTTTTATTTAATTTTATTAATTTTTTAATTTGTTTTTTTTTAAATCAATTTGTTTATTGTACGAAAAATAACTACATGTAACTGTAGTAAACTATAGTCATTCGTAGTTATGTTCTTTTTTTTATTCCATATTTTTAGTCAATCAATTATGTAAGCACACGAATACTGGCTTATACAAAAGTAATTCATAAACCCCAATAACAAAAATTTACAAATTTCAATATTTATATTATAAATTACCTCAAAACCTATAAAATACAAATCAAAAATACACAAATATATGCATATGTAACTACATGTTACTTACTATATGTAACTAGTAATGTACAGTAATGTACCGTAATGTATACAGTATGTTGACCACTGTAACTTGAAGCAGATGTAACTTCAACCAAATTTTTTGATACCTTCAATAAGAGGATTTATGTCTTTCATTAAGCTGCAATAGCAAAATCAATATCAAAAAAAAAAAAAAAATTAGACCATAGCTGAAAAATGCTACAAATTTTACACCAACCCGCCAATGACTCTTCACCCCAAACGCCTCCTACCAAAATCCTAGCCGTCGCTAACCACCCAAGGTCCCGCGCTCACAAATGAAAAAAAATATATATAAATAAATTTGAAAATAAAAAAAATGAACGAAATTACCATCAAAACAAATATCTCGACGAGAGAAATTACAACGGTGGGTAGCCCGTCAAATTCTGACTGCCGGGACACAAATTACACATCCGGCAAGACGCAGCGTCGTCGAAATATGCACGGACTGCACAACCATTGCAGAAACAGATCGAGTGCTCCAAATTTAATGAAATCACCACTAAAAGAAAGAGTTCGACGAGAGGAATCCAGCGATAGTTAAATCATCGAATTTCGACCACCGGAGAGAGAGTTATGACTCAGAGAACCAACGTCGCCGATTGGAGATCTATGGGGGCGAGATTTGAATATGAGGATTGAGAGAGGAAGAGAGAGACAACTGTGAGTGGGTAGAGTTTAAAATTAATTTTAAAAGGGCATTTTAGGTACTTTTGGGTGCCGAGAAAGTATATCAAATTATTATCAAAATGAGGAAGTCTCCAAAATAATCCCGAAAATTTACCTCCGAGTTTCCTTCTTCTTTCTCTGCTATCTGAGTATGAACGCGAGATCCGAGTTTCCTTCTTCTTTCTCTGCTATCTGAGTATGAACGCGATATCATGAACTGGGTCCCACATTTTATTTAAAATCTTTATGCAGTATTTTTTATAATATTGTTTAAAAAAAAATTTCCCTTCTACTTTTTTAACGGTTTACTTCTTCACACTTTATATAAATTAAAATATTTTCTTCCTATTTGTTAATACATAGACACTAAACGGTTATCTCAAACGGAAAAAAAGAATTAGGGAGATGTATTGTATGCGATTCTTATTGGAAAGTTCAGCCGCACTTCTAATCACCGGAGTAAAGGGAAGAGCAGCTCAACGGATATAGATTCCTGATGTATATAATTGGAGTTAGGCCCAACATACTCAAATTGGTCTATTTAGAGTGAAAAACCAATTAGCATTCAACTCGCGGGCTTGTAATCCATTGCGTTGACCAACGCCAACGTACGTGTTTCTTGATGATGAAACGAGGCAAAATCAATATATCCAAATTCCGTAACTACGATTTCAAGTGCTCATTATGGGGTAGTTGTAACGGTTTCCTACTCCTATTTATACTACTAGGAGCGGTTCACTAGAACACTCCAAAGAGTTCCTATAAAATATCTACAATAGGAGAGTTCTAGAAAGCTTTCTAGAATCATCAAAGAATCTCTACCTATCTCTATACATTGGGTCAACTTGGGCCTAACTTTATTTGGGCTAAGTTTTGGACTTCTTAACCTCCCAACCCAAGGGAAACTGGCAAAGGGTTGGGCCTATTTGGGCTAAGTATTGGACTTCTTAACCTCCCAACCCAAGGGAAACTGGCAAAGGGTTGGTTGGGCCAAAACTGGCGGGATGTGACAGTACATTGCAGTTTCTATGGCGTATAAAGTGGTTAACGGGAATCGTGAATATGACAATCCCGAAGACCGAGGTTGCGATATATTGATCGTAGGAGTTGACAAGTCTTGGAGGATTGTTAATACCGAACACTTATCCCTCGCAACTAGAAGAAATTTCATCACTCTCCCGCTGAATACCGAGGGTTTTGTTCATTGGGTTACGACAACAAGCCCTCATGTTTTGTCATTGAATGTAGAGACCGAGGTTGTTACAGAGATTCTTGTACCTAAGGTTACGGAGAAAAGTTTTAAGTATTTTTCGTCGACGGGTACTTGTCTAACCTTTCTCACTAATATCAAAGAGTTTTCGTGGGAGGTATGGGAGTTGAGACAAGAAACGGGCAAATGGACAAAAATGCCCTCGATCGACTGGGAACCTTAAAATTTCAGATCCGAATATTTGAATCGTTTAAGTGATCCTTCACTCGTTCCGCCGCCTTGGGAGTCAATTGTCACGGTCAAACTGGTTGGTCGGTTAAATTGAAAAGAGGCGTTGGTGTTGCATGCTTTTCCGTCTCGGCCATCTTTTACAATGTTTGTACACGTGGAATTGATGTCTTCGAGTTGGATCCGATTTCGATAGCTACATGTTTATAGTTCATAGAAACAGCCTTGTAGAATTTCGTGGATATATTGTTGATTGATTAATTGTAAGTTTAGACATTTAAACAATGATGTCTTGTGGAGTTTCATCTCATGGGGATTTGTTTGGTTGTGGCAAAATATATATTCCTCTCTTCCAAAATACAATATTCTTCAGAATTTTTTATAGTTTATATTGTGTTTGCTTATAATATTGAGTCTTATATTTCTAAATGTTAATTACGAAAACTCCTTGAACTTAGGTTAAATAACAAAAGACACTCCACTTATTCTTAATTACTAAAAAACCCTTGAGGTTTATTTCCTTCTTACACTAACCCCTAACCCCTTGCAGTGTGACTTTTCACGGATTTTTTTTACTACAGAAAATAGACTTTATACAACTTCAGATATTTTATTTTATTTCTCACCTATTTAACAGAATGTGTAATAGATTGCACTCATTTTATATTAAAAAACTCGACCAACGGTTAATCAGAGGGGATTTTCGTTATTTAACCTAAGTTTAGGGAGGTTTTCGGAATTATCAGGGGCGGCCCTGGCCCAGGGCGAGCAGGGCCCAGGCCCAGGGCCCACCTCTCAATGGGGCCCAAAAATTATTATATTTTTTGTTATTATTTTATAATTATTTTTATTTTCTCTTCTTCCAATCCCTATTCTTTTCATCTCTTAACTTTTTAACCCCCACTTTCTACATTAATTTTTTTGACCCAATTCATTTTGTTCTTTATCTCTTCTCTTGATTCTTTTTTCACCCAATCTCTTTTATCTCTTTACCCTTTCTGTCTCATTTACATTGTTTTACTCTAATTTAAATTTTCTTGCACTCCTATATATTTCTCTATTGTTAGTTTCTAGAGTTTAAACTTAGTCATTTTTTCCATGTTATTGGTGTTTTTATTTCTCAAAATTAAATTATTTTTGTTTAATTAAAAAACTTTTTTTCTAATACTCATTTTTATGTACACACGCGCGCGCGCGCGCGCGCACACACACACACACACACACACACACACACACATATATATATATATATCGGAATTTAGGGCCTCGATTTTAAGTCTTGCCCAGGGCCTCCAATTACCCAGGACCGGCCCTGGGAATTATCCTAAAAGTTTAGTCAACTAACAAAAAATAATGAGTCGACTTTGGTTAGCTACCATGTGCTTGTATCGGGTGGATTTTGGTCGAATGAAAATATGGGGGGGTCTTTAAGCAACATAAACATATAAGGAGGTTATTTATGAAATAAAAACAAAGTTGGAGGGGTTATCCTAATTACATCGGGATTAGTCGTCCCCTCAATATAAACATTGCACGTAACAGAAAACACATTAAATAAATCAAATTAAAGATTTAATTCAATTACTAATGGGTAACTCATTCCGCCGGCCGCCGCCCCCACCGGAACGCCACCGTTTCAAGGATGACTCATTGAACGGCGTAGTATCACAAATAATGAACAAGGAAATTGAGAGGTACTATTTTTTTTCATAATTCTTGTTTCTATTTTAATTAGTCATGTTTTTTCTTTTCTTTTTTTGGGTTCGGGCAGTCAACAATCTACGTGAACCGGGTAAACCTGGATCACTGAAACTGGTGGTAAACGAGTTGAGTCGGCGCGTAAACTCAATGAGTTGACTCAACAAAAGCTCGAACTCGAACTCAGGCAACCCTAAGAAAACCCTAATGATATTTCTGTAACTATTTCCTACTTTATTGGTATTTATGTAATTATTTATTTTTATTATTTTTTCTCAACTATTTTTTTAACTTAATTTTCAACAATGATTAATCTCCTATTTTTCATCAATATAACTCAAAATCTTAAGAGATAAAGCTAGAAATTTGATTTGTTAAATCTTAGTCTATTTATTTGGATTATAATCTTAATATATAAAATTTTAAAAAAAAACCAATGTTATATAAAATATGAATAATACTACATTATTAAATCTTACTATATTAATGTACTATATTTTCTTATTATATATTAAATTGATTATTTTTTTTCATATTAAATAATATCCCGTGCGATAACGGTGAAAAATGCTAGTTATTATAATTATGATATAATGTTTTTTTATTTAAAAAAAAAGAATATTTTATTATTTAAAGCTCGAGTCGAAGTGGAGCTCATCGAATCTCATGCGAGCTCGACCTCGACGAGCCAAAACATTTCTGCTCGAGCCCGACAAAATAGGCGAGCTCGGCTCAATCTCGGCTCGTTCACACCGCTAACTAAAATCACGGTATAAACCGCGGTAGATATAAGGCATGTGTGACAAACTCGACCTAACGACGTTTCTGAATCAAGAAATTATCATGTTCTTTTCATAATTAATTTAGTAATGAAATAAAGACTTCATAAATGTGGTGAAAATAACACTCTAGAAAATATGGTTGATTGTTTAATTATTGAAATAGTTAGGCTTAAATTCGAAACTCACGTTATTTCAGGGGATCATGTAAAAGGAAGAGTAGTTCAACAAATATAGAGTCTCTACCCGACGAATTGATGTTCGAGATTCTTCTACATCTCCCGGCTGACGATATTTACGGAGGGGCAGCATTTGTCTGCAAGAAGTGGCGCGATCTTACCCGCGACCGTAACTTCATAAACGAACACATCCACCGTTCAACTCCCGGACTTGTCGTCCAATTCCAACGCCAGACCGAGAACGCGGTTTTCCTAGCAATGAGACGAGGAAGGTTCGAGATATCCAAGTTCAGTAATTACAATTTCAAACACTTGTTAAGGGCTAGTTGTAACGGTTTGCTAATCGAGTGCGATACGGCAAATGGTTGTGCTTCTTTCGTAGTTAATCCTTCGACGAACCGACGCTTGCGTATCCCTCCCGGTTACTATTCCAGCATAGCGTACGCATCGGCTTCCATGTCGTATAAAGTGGTTAGCGGGTCAACTCAATATGACAAACCCGAAGAACTAGGTTGCGTTATATGGACCGTCGGAGTCGACAAGTCTTGGAGGACTGTTTGCACCGAACACTTATCTCTCGCAACTAGAAGAATTCTCAACACCACCCCGTTGACTACCGAGGGTTTCGTCCATTGGTCATCGCCAGAAAGCGGTCATATTCTGACTTTGAATATAGAGACCGAGGTTATTACGGAGATCCCGGTACCTAAAGGCTACGAAAGAGGATGGAAGTTTTATTTGTCGACGGGGACTTCTCTAACTTTCCTCACTGCAATGGGCTGGTTCTCGTTCGAGGTTTGGGAGTTGAGACAAGAAACGGGTGAATGGACTAAACTGCACGATATTGAGTTGGACTGTCAAGTTCTCGGGTTTGTGTATTTGAACCGTCTAATTGATTTCTCCCTCGTACCACTCGCACCGCCTAATTGCTCTACTGCCACCGTCAACCCGGTTGGTTGGTTAAATTGCAAAGAGGCTTTGGTCTTGCATGCTTTCCCAACTCGGCTTTGCTTCGTACATATTGTCCGTACACGAGAAATCGATTTCTTCGAGTTGGGTCACGATTTCGATAGCTACAACTTTATAGCTCATAGAAACAGCCTGGTTAGGTTAGGCAGATGTTGATTATAACTTTAGCCATCTAGACAATGGTTGCTTGTTGAGTTGTTGCAACATATATATATATATATATATATATATATATATATATATCATTTAATCTTCTTAGACATGGTTTAGTTGATGGTGATTGATTAAGTTATTGAGTCTATTTTTTTTTATAATTGGAGAATTGTGATTTCGAGTTTTCTTATCAAGGTAAATGTTGTGTTAACTCTTCAATTTAAATGTATAATCGATTCAAATTAATTTAACTTCAAACTAGGAAAAGGACATATTGTAAGGTAGAATTTTACATGAATATGAAATTGCTCATTACTACTTTGATCACTTGTTGTATGTTCAAGGGGATAGTTCAACTGGTTTCGAGATGTTAAATTGGTATATGTTTTTACGATCGAGTATTGATAGTCGGAATTTTAACTCCAATATGATACGTACTTTAACAGGTTGTCGAGTCACTATGATTTACATCGTCTGCAAAACATTCAAATTATTGGGGGCCAAGTGATATTTACTCAATTTCAAAAGGGCCTTTATTTTTTCTCTTTTTGTAATTTAAAAAATTTGACTATTTATATACAAATGGGCTTATAGTCCCCAAATTGAAGTAAATTACAGACACGCACCGGAACGTGTTTTCTCGCACAGTAATGGCGGAAACAACCGTCAAACCCTCCTCCGACCTTCTCGTACAGCAGCAGCAGCAGCAGCAGCCTCCGCCGCCGTCAAAACCCCGGCCGAAGCGATTCGTGAAGAACCAAATCCCGGACTCCATCCTCAACGACGCCGCGCTGAACGCCGCCATCTCCCTCCTCCCGGCCAACTACAGCTTCGAGATCCACAAAATAATCTGGCGCGCGCGGTCCACGAACGCCACGCGCGTGGCGCTCCAGTTCCCGGAGGGCCTCCTGATGTACTCCCTCGTCATCTCCGACATCCTCACCACCTTCGCCGCCGTCACCCACTGCTTCGTCCTCGGCGACGTCACCTACGGCGCGTGCTGCGTCGACGACCTCTCGGCGCGTGCCCTCGACGCGCACCTCCTCGTCCACTTCGGCCACAGCTGCCTCGTCCCAATCGACTCCACCACCATCCCCGTACTCTACATCTTCGTCGAGATCGCCATCAACACGCGCAAGCTCCTCCACGAGCTGAACCACAACTTCACCCCCGACCAAATCAACAGCTTCGTCATGGCCGGAACAATTCAATTCTCCAACGCAATCCGCGCCGTGAAGCCCGAGCTCGAGAATCTAGGGTTTAGGGTTTTGATTCCCCAATCAAAACCCCTCTCCGCCGGTGAAGTCCTCGGCTGCACCGCCCCGAGCGTGAAATTACAAACTTGCCCCGGGAAGGACGACGTCATCATCTTCGTGGCCGACGGAAGGTTCCATCTCGAAGCATTCATGATAGCCAATCCAGAAATTAGGGCTTTTCGATTCGATCCTTATTTGGGGAAACTCTTCTTAGAGGAATACGACCACGAGGGTATGAAGGGGGATAGAAGGAAGGCAATCGAGAGAGCTATGGGGGCGAAAACTTGGGGAATCGTATTAGGTACTTTAGGCAGACAAGGCAATACTATGATAATGAAGAGATTAGAAGAGAAAATGAAAGATAAAGGGTTGGATTATATGGTCGTATTAATATCGGAACTGTCGCCTAAAAAAATCGAGCTTTTTGGCGATGCGGTAGATGCTTGGGTTCAAATTGCGTGCCCTAGGTTGTCTATTGATTGGGGAGATGCTTTCAAGAAGCCATTGTTGACAGCTTTCGAGGCCGAGATTGCACTTGGAGATTTGGATGGGTGGTGGCAGAGGAAATCGAGGTGTTGTAATGGAGGTTCGGAGAGTACGAGGAATGAAGAATGTTGTGGTAATGGAAATGGTGATGTGCGAGAAGGGGTGGATTATCCGATGGATTACTATGCGCAAGATGGAGGGGGGTGGAATTCTTGTTACTCGAAGAAGCCTGCTCGTGTTAGTCGGAAAAACAATCAGTGCTGCAATAATAGTTGCGAAAAACTATAAAAATTCATGGTGAGTCTCGTTTTCGCTTATGGCGCTCCTATGGATATAGTTTTGTTTTCTATTTACCTTATAGTATTTGTGTTTAGTTGCATTTGTCTTCTTGATATATTGGAAGATTTTTGGGATTTCTGATATTTGGTTTTGCTGTTGCATTTAGATATATACTTTTGATCAATCAAATTTTTTTTGTTGCAATGCGATAGACAGACCGACATTTTTAGATCCTATGGTCTGGTCTGGAAAGACAAGCTTCAATTTCTGATAACAGTATGTTTAGCTATTGTTTTTTTCAGACCACTATTATTGAAGATCAATTCAAATTAAGGTTTTTGTGGAGTTGCGAATTGAAGTTTTCACCACCAGTTTCTTGATTGAAAAATCTGAATCAGAACCCAATTTCGATTAATAACTTGTGGCTTCAAATAAATTCTTGTACACAGCCCATGTTTTGTAAATCTTTGTCATGAGTATTCGAACAGCTCCACTTCGATTTTTCTTGTAGAGGAACGAAAATGCATAAACATGGTACTGAACTCGGTTCGAAATACGAAGTAAACCTCATTGTAAATACAAAAGGACTAGACGAAGAAGAAAAGGAGGTCTCACAGGATGCCATTCAGGCTCCACCAAACTCGACGCTGATCAAAATTAGTGGCAAAACCTCCTTTCTTTCGCAATCTGCAAATTATGCAGAACGCAAATTATATTGTTCAATCAATTAATCCGCTATCGAACAATAGCATGCAAATCAGTAATCACCCTTCACAGAAAATACAGCACAAATTTATCGACCGTATCATAAGTCATGATATGTATAACAACATTCGTCTCAAAAAAACGATATTTAATAAAGTTTTAAACAAGGATTCATAGCTTGCACAGAAAAAACAATTTCTGCAAAGCAATTTATTCATAAAAAAAAAACACTTGTATATCATCTATATATACTATATAGAGTCGAGTTTGTGTATATGCTGCTGGGCTTTTCCTCTGCCATCATATTACAATTGCAAGGAGTGACTACACTTGTTATTTCTTCCACCACCAAAAAAAAAACTCCTCTACATTCCATAACTTTATTATGTACAAAAACACACACACAACCCTACTAATTCCATTTCTCATTCATCTTTAAATTAACTTCCACCTCAACACATCACTTGTCCTCAGCAAATATATCCAACAGAGAGAGCGCCTGCCACAATTACCAAACCACAAAACATCACGTCAGCTAACGCGAAAGACGAGCATTTTTTCTTTACTTTTTTTTTTATATTAATACGATAAATATTTATTTTGTAAGAATTGCTACCTCGGGTATGTTCAGTTCGAGACGGAACTTGGGACCGTCGTAGTGGTGGAGAATTGGCCTGAAAGAATCCTCTTCCAAAGGCTCGCATATCTTCCTCGTTACTACACGAACCTGCACATAACCAATATATTGGTCGATTTTTGTCTCGTTGAAAAACAAATAACCTTGGAAACTACAATGTATTCCAAACAAGAAATATACCTGAGCAGGAAAACGTGATTCGCCAGGGTTTTTCTTGTCCTCCCAAGCCGAGGGGTCAATGTTAGTGCCACCAAAACTTGCAGCCTGTAACAATAAACGATATATCAGCCTCGACTTATGAAAGCATAATTGAGATGCAATTATTATTGCATTGATTGATACAACAAGTTAAGACATTTAAATAAAGGCCACAAACCTCAAAGACTCCATGGAGTTGATGTGTAGAGTAGTTGTAGAGGAAGAGAGGCAACCCGGGAGTTATTGCTCGAACGGAGTCGCGATAACGAGGCGGCAAACCTGAATTATGAGATTGTATGATTAAATTATAAACAATATATCACGAAGGCAAAAACACCCGAATATAATTTGTTCGAATTCCATGGTCTTGAATATTATTTAAAATCTAATCACACATTTTCAATAATCAATTTACTTATTAGGTATTCATTTTCGGAAATTAATCTAAACAAAATCAACCAAAAATTTGAATCAATTTTCCCCAAAATCATATCATTCACAGATACTCAACCCTAAATCAAGATCAATCAATAACAGATGACTACAGAAATGAAAATAAAAATCAAATCTTTAGCACATACCAAAGAGCTCCCTTTTGAGATTCTCCGACATAGTGTCGTTATTGCAGACGAAAATATAACCACCGATGGTCTCGTTCCTCGGCAGAGATTCCGCCGGCGGGAGGGTCTTGAACCGCTTATCCACCGACGACTTGTTTTCACCGTTTCCATTACTCTCCTTGTTCGATTTATTCTTCTTTCCCGTTTTACCCCCGTGCTCCTCCTCGTTCTTACCGCCCTTGTTCACCCTCCCGTTCACCACCACGTTGTTGTTGTTAGCAAAACCTTACCCTTACTGTAACTGTTAACTGTTTGAAAGCTTGTAAAGCAGAGAGCAGGAGGTAAACCCCCCTTTGTTAAACCCCGCCGGTTTCAACCCCTTAACCCCGGTGGTAATTCACCCCCCCCGCCGGAAACCCCTCGTTAATTCGGGAGCCTTCCCAAACATCGGCTGTTGAACCCCTAGGTTGAAATCGGGACTTCAGATCGTTCACCGGGGCCGCCCGACCCCCGCCCGTAAGGCGAGGCGGGCGACGGGCGGCGGAGCCCGCCGTCGCCGGCGTTACGGAAATCGAAAGTTGCGGCGCTCCTCGGCGGGGCGCTTGGATCCGTAATTGGTGCTCCAGATGGAATCGTTGAGTGATAAATTGGCTAAAATTGTTGGTCTGGAGGCGGAGATTGTCGCTGAATTGCCAGAAAGACGACTGATTGTTGTTGTTCTCCATTTTTTTTTTCTGCAAAAAATCAAAATCGAAAACAGAAGAGATTTTTTTTTTTGTTATTGAAAAATGTGAAATGGGATTGAATTAAGGAAAATTGGGGAAAGGGGTGAGTGGGTATATATGGGGGGGAGAGGAAGTTTCAGAGAAAGAGAGAGAGAGAGAGAGTAATAGCGTGTAGAATTGTCAAAGGTGGTAGTGGAAAAAGTATGCTTATACTGTATGCTAAGGAAGAAGACTGGGAGTGTAGAGAGAGAGAGAGAGAGAGAGAGGGGTTTTAGAGAGAGAGAAGGGCAAAAGTGGAAAAGAAGAAGGTGAGAAATAATAATGAGTCAATAATTAAAGTAAGTAATTAGGTGGGGGAGTGGGAGGAGTGGTGGTGACGGGAAAAACGCGGCTTTTAAAGATGGGGGTGACGTGGACTTCGGCATATAGTGAAGTGAATTAGTGGGGGTGTTTTTTTTTTAATTAAATATAAATTTTAATTGAATTTTATGTTGATTTATTATGTTAATTTATGGTGTAAATTTGTGTAATTTTTTTCTGCAAAGTTGATTGTTTATATGATTTTTTAGAAAAATAAAGTTATGCTTTTAGGTGAAATAGTAATTGGAAACTTTTGTGCTCACAATATCAAAGTTAGATTTAACTTTTTAAAATTGTGTTTAGAAAATCCATTCACTTATATTTATGGAGCAAATTACGGTTAACTATCAAATAAGGTCAAATTACGAAAAAAAGTTATATATATTTGAGTAATTACGATTACTTCCCTCAACTATGAATCTTCTTACGTATTCACATTTGCACTGTAAATTTAGTGAAATCTTCTAGATTATGAGGAATATTCTCCAGTATGTAAATTGTTTTACCTTATTTAAGCTCCACATTATGAAACAAGATGATCATAAGATTTGTCTTTACAAATACTAAATACAGATTGTGGTACATCAAAAACTGCATTTTTGCACAAAACGAGTACAAACTAGAAAACATTCAACGGAATATATAAAATTCTGTTGAATTAGACACCATCATTCGACACCATAAGGATGGATGTGTACTAAAATTCAGAGTTGAGAAGTGGTTGTAATTATACAAAAAGTGAGCTCCGTAATTTAATCTTAATTTAATAATGTTATATTATGAATTCAAAGTTTATTTTTCCTTTTTTTCTTTTTTGGAGATTTTTCTATTTATTATTTATTGGTAAAGATCTCTAGAAGGTCATAGTTATCTAGTAGTTTCTTAAGAAATTTGATGTGTTCACACAGTCAACTAGAAATTTTTTTGCTTCGGTGCTACACGTGTCTTCTAGTAGTTGCCACGTGCGAGGGGTGGGGCTTTTGGAATGGGCTCTTATTCTTGGGCCCATTTGGGGTTGTTATTAAATTATATTAATTATTATCATAAACGAAACAACTGCTTGACCTAGTCCAAAGGATATAATTGTCCAACAAATTGAATATGTTGGAACTTGGAATATGCCATTGGGATCTTTATTTGTGTGTTGTAGATCACACACCTATATTCGACTTCATCTTACACTCGTATAGAGTGTACGGTGTACCGGTATTTCGGTATACTGAAATTTCGATACTTTAAAAATTTGTATTGTTTGTTGTGTCGAACTATTCAGCCCTGTCATGGTTTTTAATCGAATTAATTTTGTTTTTCGCTTAGGGTACCGGTAAAACCAAACATATATTTGAATATTTTAAAAAATGTAATTCTTGGATTTTGAGATTCAAATTTCAATAATCAGCCATAAAAATGAAAATTAATTATCAATAGAGACTAATTTTTTATAATTGGAAAAAATGTCAATCTAAAAGTATTTTATAATTTGTTATAATCTTAAAGAATTTAAAATAAAATTAACAAAATCACATATTTATTTAAATATTTCAAAAAATATTACTGAATATCTAATCGCATTTCCGGTTTGGTTGGTTTGCCGGCTGAGTGAACATCCCTACACTCACACACACACAAATATATGGATGCGTGAAAAATATGTCTCGAATAGATACACGTGTATAATTAGATATGAGAAATGAAAACCAGGTTACATTTATCATTTAATTGTATGGGAAATGTTCGATCTAAAAAGTATCGGTAAAACAATTTTAATTCCTCTTGCTCCAGTATGACGGGCTTCAACTTCTTCATACGACATATACTTGGAAGAAATTGACCAAAACAAAGTGTAATTACAACCACTTCACTGAGGTAAAGTGTAATTACGTAAAAAAAGTGAAATGCTTTTTACGGTTTGAAAATTGCTATTTACAGTTCATAACAAAAATCATTTATCTCTCTAAAACCCCAAAACCTCCCAAAAAACACCAAAACACCCCAAACTGCAAATAGCAAAAAAAAATTGAAAATTCAAAATCAAGCTTGAAGAAGGGATGTGTTTCGGTTTTTTGAGGTAATTTCGACTCATATATGTGTAATATGCATTGGGTAGGTCGATGTCGCAAAAACATGGTAGAACGCCCAAGACGGGCGCCCATGGCGTGTATGAACGCCCGGTTTGGGCGTTAGTACACGCCCTGGGCGCCCGTCTTGGGTGTTCAATTAAGGTGCACACGCCGGCCCTGGGCATTCAATTAGTGTTTTGAACCGTAAATAGCAATTTTCAAACCGTAAAAAGCAAGTCCCTAAAAAAAATATCCTTCTTTTAAGAAATTATATTCAGTTCCTTGCAGTTTTTAAATTTCTTATATTCACCACCAACAAAAGAGCGTCAAATTGAAGGGGGTTTTGTAAATAAACCTAACGTTAGGGACTGTCGGAATTCGCGCCGAGAAATCGATGAATGTCTTGAACAAGTCAAGATAAAAGGTTGAACAACTCCCGACCAATCAAAAGATGTCCCAAAATGAGAGAAATATACTAAAAATTAAGGTAATTTTGTCTCAAATTTGTGGTGCAGTATTGACTTGGAAAGCATCAAAAGTAGGTCATCTAACAAATAACCAAACTTGGCATGTGAAATATATTCTTTCCAACTAATTAAAAACATTATCTAAGAAATTTATATCAAATTACACACTAATTAAAAAAAAAACATTTTTTGAAGGCCACAAATTACACACACCCATATTGGTGGGTGTAGATCATCAGTAAAAAATCTACCCAGTCTGACATTCATCGGGTGTACATAAAAAAAAATTCTTTTCGCGTGACATGTTAATTATATTCAATTAACACCAATTTAAAAATGGTTTTCTTAAATATTTAGAATAATCATTCAAATAGAGGATAAGAGAATATCCTACCTAGTGTCCGATCATCTCAAGACCTAGTCACAACAAGGATTTCATACTCAAAACTTTGTGCATTGACCGGTCAAAAATATAATAAATTATGGATTATTTTAATAAATCAAACTTACGTGATTTCAGTCGATCCATAATATTTGTTCGATATTGGTTTATTAAAATAACGATACTAACAATGCATGAATGCATATTTTCATTAGATAAGAATTATACTCGAAGCTTGACCTGAATTTGAGGTCGAGCCTCGAGCTATGTGATGAGTGCGACTAAAGCTCGCTCGAGCTAGACTCGATTGATTATTATCAAACCTCAACTCAAAAACAACTTTCGAAATTCAACTGAAATTTAAATAGAGTTGAACAAGCACAAGTTTGACTTGAAAAATTGATGGTACATGTGTCAAAAAATAACCAATTTCAAACAAGCTAAATAAATTTATTTTTTTGAAATTTAAATTGATTCGATCAAATTATATTTTCAAATGCAATTTGAAAATATAAATCAAAAATATAAATCATAGACTATATTTGCCCATTATATCATTTAGTCTTGAAATAAAGTTCATTTAAGATTCAAGAAGACCATAGGCCCGATCCAGTAACAGGCCCAACTAACATATATTTGTTCATTCCATAAATGAACACTCGGCCCAATTTCTTTGTTCTTTTATTTTTATTCTTAGATCAGTATAAATACGGGTGGCGACGTAGCTTAAATGGCTCGATCACGAATTGAAGAAGTGGAGTAGACCGGCTTGAAGTGAGAAAAGCCCAGATAAGGAGAAGTGCACGCGCTTCGCGTGACCACCAAAAAGGAGTGTCGGGGAGGGTTTCTCAACGTTAGCAATCCGACAGTCAAGTTAATCGTAAACGTGGAGAAACAATATAAGTGTATATAGAGAAACATAATTAGAATGTGTGTATTAGTAATATCTTGGAGTCTCGCCCTTTCCTTGTCCCCATAACTATATATATATAATTATATATACACGTCGTAGGGAAGGGGTGGTGGGTTTTCCATTCTATCTTTGATCAGATCACATGTGAGAGTGGTCTGACTACTACGAGTTGTACTTGTTTGTTAAGGGCGGGCTATCTAGCTCTTTGCAATTAGGGTCAATTCCATGGATGGAGCCCGATGGTGAGGTCGCTCTTGGTTATGCCGTAAGCGCAGGGCCGAACCCAGGGCGTTTAGTTAGGGGGCCAAAATGTGGGGTGTGAGTAAATAGAAGGAAAAAAATATTTTATATTGGCTAAAAGTGTGCAAATTTTAAATCTTGTGGGGACAAATTCTATAATCAGTAGATATAGGAAATAGCTTATTAAGTTTTTTTCTGCAGGGGCGGGAGCCCCCCTAGGCCCCACATGGTTCCGCCCCTGCGTAAGCGGGCATCTCCCTGCTGGTCCATGTCGTGTTGCAGATTTTCCACATTTATCTCTCACATACGGCCGAATTTAGTCACGTCCGCCGTCTATGTCTACCCCACCAAGACCGAAAAATCTCGGTTTTTGCAATTACGAAATGAAGAAATGGAATCGGCCGACTCGAAGTGAGAAAAGCACAAATAAGGAAAAACTCAAGCGCAAATAAAAAAGTATTTTATGGGGTGAATAAAGAGAAGGAAAAAAATATTTTGTATGGGCTAAAAGTGTACAAATTTTAAATCTTGGGAGGGGGGACGCCAAAGTCTATAAATTAATAGATAAATACCAAAATGCGGTAAAAAAATAATAGAAAATAGGTGATAATTTTTTTCTGGCGGGAGCCCCCCGGCCCCACATAGTTCCGCCCCTGCGTAAGCGAGCATCTCCCTGGTGCATGTCGTGTTACAGATTTTCCACATTTATCTCTCTCATATGGCCGAATATAGCCACATCCGTCGTCTATGTCTACTACCCCAATAGTGGACCGAAAAATCTCGGTTTTTGCAATTAAAGAAAACCAAAATTGATTAGCTGCACTATTGTTTAGTACTTATGTAAAAACACTTGCATTCATCGTCCCATTTGTTCTGTAATGAAAAATGCTGTTGGTTCAAAATACCATAGGCGGACCCTCCAACTAAAAAAAAAAAAAAAAAAAATATATATATATATATAAAAAGAAAAAGAAAAAGAAACTCTCTTTGTTAACTCCTTCCATTTTCTTATAAAACTAAATAAAATCATAAGTTGAGTTAGTGAATTTTTAGTATTTTTAATTTCTGAAAAAGAAAAAAAAATGGCAGGTATTGGTTGTGTTTCTTCTTCTTCTTCAGGTTTGAAATTGAAGCAGAGCAAAGAATCGATGTTTCAGTACAATGGGCTCAAAGCAGTTGAAACTTTGCAAGTGGGCCCACCTAAGTTTCATGCTAAGGGTAATTTTCATCTTTCGGAAAATTATAGATTTAACGCCTCAAGTTTGGACCACATACAAATTTGGTCCTCATGTTCACAAAAAAAAAAAAATTACATTTGGTCCATTATATTTCAATAATTTAACACTTTATGTCATTTCCGTCAATTTACTGTTAGTCCGTCAGTTAAGCCAGTGATGTCAATGCTTGATACCGTTAGTACTAACGGAAAATTGACAGAAACCACTAAAAGTATATAATTTTGAAACATGAAGGATCAAATGTATTTTTTTGTGAATATAAGGGACCAAATATGGAATTAGTTCAAACTTGAGGAATGATCTTCGTATGATTCATGTGTGCTACATATTTTATTCATGATCATCCCTTTTATTTTATTTTTTGACTAAACTACAATTAGTACCTGTATATAATCTCGAACTGTAGAAAAAATCCTATGTTAGAGAAACGACAATTTGTTGTTTTTATTAAAAAAAAATTGCACCTCTCGGTACAAATTTGTACCGGGAGGTGCAATTTTTTTTTTAATTTAGTTTAAATTACATAATCTTTTGTCCTCTGCAGCAAAATGCAGAGGAGTAAAGACGATGGCTTCTCAGACAATTTCGTCTCCAAAGAGAGAAACCGATCCGAAGAAAAGGATAGTCATAACAGGAATGGGCCTAGTTTCGGTTTTTGGCAACGACATTGACACATTCTACAATAAATTGCTCGACGGAGTAAGTGGAATCACACCTATAGATAGATTTGATGCTTCGGAATATTCCGTGAGGTTCGGAGGGCAGATTCGTGATTTCACTTCGAAGGGCTACATTGATGGCAAAAACGATCGCCGCTTAGATGATTGTTGGAGATATTGTTTGGTTGCGGGTAGACGAGCACTCGATGATGCTAGTCTTGGCAAAGAAGTTCTTGATACCGTAAGCATTTTGGAACAATATTTTTCATTTTGATTTTCGATTTATTTTTTTCAAAAATAATTCAGCGAGTTCTCATTTTCCCAAAAATGATCAGGTCCGAAATTTTTCGATTTTGGAAAAAGTCTTACCATTCCAATTTTTTTTGAAATTTTGATTTTCGATTTTTCTGATTTGTTTAAACGGTACTGGAATTTACCTTTTTCACTTGGAGAAAAATTCAAAAAGAAAATCGAAAAGTGGCAATTACAAGCCGGTTCGTCCGATTTCCACCCCAATTAAGAACAAATTTCAAAATAATACTTTTGTTCGATTATATATGAATTTTTTTTATCCGAAGCTTGACGCAATTAGTAAAAAAATTAATAACAAACCGTTAAAAATTGAAGTTTTTCGAGTTCAAAACGCAGTTCTTCCACTAACATTCAAACCAATCTCAAATATAAAATTTCCAAAATTCGAAAAAAATTCAAACAAACTTGAACGATCATTCACTTAGCTCGACTGCATTGGCTTCATAAACACGTGGGGATAAAAAAGTGAATATTTTAATTTCATGCAGATGGACAAAACGAGAATCGGAGTGTTGGTAGGATCCGGAATGGGAGGCATTACATCGTTTAGCAACGGAGTCGAAGCCCTAATACAAAAGGGCTACAAAAAAATGAGTCCCTTTTTCATCCCTTATTCGATCACCAACATGGGGTCCGCTCTTCTAGCAATCGACACCGGCTTAATGGGGCCCAATTACTCCATCTCAACCGCTTGCGCCACCGCAAATTACTGCTTCTCTTCCGCGGCCAATCACATTCGAAGGGGCGATGCCGATATTATGGTGGCCGGTGGCACCGAGGCGGCGGTCACCGCCACCGGAGTCGGCGGTTTTATAGCTTGCAGAGCTTTGTCTCAAAGAAACGACGAACCTCAAAAGGCGTCGAGGCCATGGGATAAAAATCGGGACGGTTTTGTTATCGGTGAAGGCGCCGGTGTATTGGTACGTGATATATATATAGGTTGCATTTGGATTTAAAAGATACGGATTCGGTTTAAACAAAGCTACGAATTTGAAGTACATTAGACATGAGTTTGTTATTATTCGAGGTGGAAATTGGAACAAAGTTTCCAATTATCGCCGATTTCGATGTGAAATTTTCCGATTTTGGAACAAATATTTCTCATTCTGAATTCTGAAAATTCCGATTTTTGGATTGGAATTGGAGTTTATATTAGATTGCGATTTCCGATTTGATTTTATTTACGGAAAAAAAAAAAAAAAAAAACCATTTTTTTCCCTTCATACTACAGTTATAGTATCGATGTTATTATCTATTTTATATTTGAGCTTACTAAAAACTAGAATTTTTTTAATTCCGCCAATTCCGATCATTAGAATTTCAAATTTTGGAACAAGCTTTTAAATTTCAATTTCCGAATTTCCTATTTCCTATTTCCGTTTTTTTTCCCATTTCTTTTAACGGAACCGGAATGAAAATTTTCACTTCCAAGGAAAATGAATTTTGTGTCTTCTGAAAGTGTTAATTCCGATCTGATCCATCTGATTTCGCCCCAATTAATATGAATATGAAATGCATGTAGATTATGGAAAGCTTAGAGCACGCCATGAAAAGAGGAGCGAACATCGTTGCAGAGTACTTGGGAGGTGCAACGACGTGCGACGCTCATCACATGACGGATCCTCGTTCCGACGGGCTCGGAGTTTCCTCTTGCATTCTCAAGAGTTTAGAAGATGCGGGGGTCTCCCCCGAAGAGGTTGCTTTTTGTGTTCGATTAATCAAGGCTCGATTTAATACAAACTTATGAGGTTATTATTACGATTCGAAAAAATATTTGCTAAATCAACAGGTCAACTACGTAAATGCTCATGCCACATCAACGCTTGCCGGAGATTTGGCCGAGGTTAATGCCATCAAGAAAGTCTTCAAAAATACCTCCGAGATCAAGATGAACGGTACCAAGGTAACATATATACGATTAGTTTATTGCATTTTAGTAATTTATGCGTTTTATCGAATTGTTCCAAAAACTTCCCGTGTTATAAATATTAGCAAAATCCCTATATGATGCATTTGTTTTAGCTCACACCCCCCTAACTTAACTTAAAATTGCATCACAAGGGTATGTTTGCTAATATTTATAATGGATAGAGTTTTTTAGCAATTAAACTAAATATAGAGGTGCTGAATGCAATAAAAGAATGTGTTTTTTTTTTCTTTTTCAAATTTAGTCGATGATCGGACACGGACTCGGAGCGGCCGGTGGGCTCGAAGCGATAGCTACGATAAAAGCAATCAACACTGGCTGGTTACATCCAACAATCAATCAATATGTAAACATATCCAAAACACAATTTTATTACATATGACAAATGTTATTCTTATGTAATTAATGTCCTAATTTTTCAATTTTTTTAATTTTTTAATTTCCAGGACTTGGAAACCGATGTCGATATCGACACCGTCCCGAACGTAAAGAAACAACACGAGATAAACGTCGGTACGTCATCTTCCCCAGTTTCTTCATCCGTAAAAATATGTAAAAATATAAATGCATAATTATATTGGATTATACAGCTTATATTAATCTAATTTATAAATAAAAAAAATTGCAGCGATATCTAACTCGTTTGGATTCGGTGGGCACAACTCCGTGGTCGTCTTCGCACCATTTAAGCCGTAATTATATATTTTCTTCAAATGCAAGTTTCAAGATTTATATGACGAAGAACGAGAAGAAATTTCCTCGAGGCCATTTTTTTTTCCGGGTAAAATCGTACATGCAACCGATGATAAGAGCACGTACATTCGTAATCGATTCAATGAATAAGATTATTGTAATAATTAAAATGTTTATTTTCATTGCAATAATATTTTATTTTATTTTACAGAGAAAAAGGCAAATTATTAAAGCATAAATATTTTGCTTTTCGTCACGGTCTTGTGACACAAGCAAAATCTAATTTACAAATAAATAATGAATTTAAGCATCATAGTACGAATACTATGTTATATAATACAAGCTGCAAACGTCACTTGGCTCGTCATCATCACTCTCAGATTTCAATTTGGGCAAATTGCACTTCACCCCCTAAAAAATACCTGTTTCGCACTTTCCCCCCTCAAAATACAAAAATGATATTGCCCCCTTCAAAATATACAACTCGGTGCATTTTGCCTCAAATATGTATTTTCGGTCTAATTCTCACCGAATGAAGGGTGTATATGTCATTTTACATCTTCCGCTTGAGAATCCTCCTTTCAGAGTTTCTTAGGGTTCCCAAATTTAAAAAAAAAAAAAAATCTTGTCAAATTGATGAAATTCGCTTCCGAATTAGACGAAATTTTCTTCCAAATTCGACAAAATTTGTTCTTTGTTCTTCGTAATTCTTGTAATGTAAGGTGAAAGAAGGTTAAATGACATATAAAGCCTTAAAAGATGATATCAGCCTTCTAATTTACTCAAATCCGACAAGAATTAAACCGGATATACACATTTGGGGCAAAGTGCACCGAGTTGTATATTTCGAAGGGGGACAGTCTTGTTTTTGTATTTTTAGGGGGGAAAAGTGTAAAAAGGCATTTTTGAGGGGGTGAAGTGCAATTTGCCCTTTCAATTATAAATATATATATAGTTGACAAATATATAACAGGCTACTTATATATATTCTGTATTCACACTTTCTTTTACCAAAAGTTTCAGCCTATTTGCATATAAAGCCAATTTAATTTGAAAATCAAATAAAATAAAATATAATCACACTTTTTCTCCACAAATGAAATAGCCAGCTTCAGTTATCAACTTAATTAATTAAATATTCCTCAAACATTTTGATTTTTAGTTTTTTACTAATATACACTACTCAACTTGACAAAGCAGCTCCCTCTATGCAAATGTATTATGTCGTTTATCGAATCCTCTTCGTACAACATCTGTTTCCGAGCCCGCCACCTACTTCTGATCTTGTGAACTGATATATGTGCTAATGAACTTTTACTAACGCGAGATATCTGACATCTTTACAACTACGCTCTCTTTTTGGCAAACGCTTCAGCCAACCTCGGTTCTGATCATTCACTGAGCTTTGGCCCACTAATCTTGATTATGGGAAGTTCGGCCCAATGGTGCCGAACTGACCCCATCAAAGTTTTAAATTGATAAGTAATTATTGTATAATTAAATTGTAAAAATTATTCTAAACTTTTAAGAGTTGGTACTAAAGTTGGTGAGCCATGGAAATAGGAGATGGTGTATACACACTGCAAATGGTGGTGACAACAGTAATTTCACATGGCTAACTTGAGATTAATTACTCATTAAGCAATAATTATGGTTTATAATTGTCAAATTGATGAAATTAAATATGCATCTTTAATTAGTGTCCTTCAAGATTGGAAGAAAAAGGGCAAATATATAGAAATTGATGCGTTGACTTGGTCAAATTGGAATATGCTTCAAGAATCTGAATAATCTTTAAATTTAGTATTAAGTAATGATAATATAACTATGCTACTTGATGAATCTTTTTGTATAGTAGCCTTGGAGGAATTTTGATAGTATACATTCTAAGTAAAACTCATAAACAATATTTATTTTTCATAATTAAATCACTAATTAACCAATTTCCTTCAACTTAATGGTTTTTTTTTTATGTTGGTAGGTAAGCTAACATTATATTTAAAAATTAAAAAAATCTAATTGGTCCAAACATAAAATTTAGGGGAATTTTAGTTTATAATTTGAAAATTTTATTTTTTTAATTTTTTCTATTATTGTTCCTAATTATATTATATATATTAATAATAAATAAATAAATAAACAAAACTCACAAATCAGTTCTTGAACTATTACAATGTGAACACATTTTTTTGTTATTTTCATGTATTAATCGCAGGTATTTAAAGTAGGGTGACTCCTTTCACCACTTAATATGTATATATAATTGTAATCTAATGATTGTCATCACATGGATTATGACCCAATTTGCTGTTTAATTATTGTACTAATCTCACATTGGTTTAACCTAATTAAGTGGTCTATTTATGTAGGCACCCCACTTTCAAGAGAGAAAGGAAAAAAAAAAGGCTGAGGTGGATTTGCAAAAAGGAGGAAATAGAGTGGCTGAACTGCAAAATTTCATAAATATATTCAACATGATCATCAAATTGGCCTCCACATAGGTGGTACAATCATATATTTATTATTATTGCATTTATTTATCTTTCTTACACCGAAGCGTAGGAGCGAAAATTGGAATATAATTCCCGATTTTGGTCGATTTTGATCTGATTTTTTTTTTTTTTGATAAAAATATTTTCATTTTAAACTTAAAAAATTCTGAATTCTGATTTTTTTTTTTTTTTTTAGTTTTGTTTTAGATCGAAATTGGAATATACAAATGATTTTGATTTTATGTTCACTTTTAGTTTTAGAAAATATCAAAATAATTATGAAAAATCTTATTTCATCATAAAATTGTGAATGGCAATATTTTTATATCTTTTATACTATATGTGAATTAAAAAATCATTTCTCTCGATTTTAACCCGAAACTTTTTGATCTTGAAATGCATTTTTTCTTTACGGTCTTTCTTTCTTTTTCAGTAGAAAATTTGTAATGAATTGCAATTAATTTTTTTATATTAAAATTTTTATTTGTTCAAATAAGTGCTAATTTCGATTTGATCAGTAAAATTTCCATTTCTAAAAAAAAAATATTAATTAAAAATTGTGGTCAAAACAAATAATCCTCTCATAACTCACAACTTATCAAAGATTCCATGTTTGTCAATATATTGTGACGTCATTATAGATTCTTGACTTATATTCTGTCTGGATTTATTATTTAAAAAAACAAATACTAAAAGTTCTCAAATATTATTATTTTTTAAACAATAATACATAATATACTTTTTCTTCATTTTATTGTAGTTGTATTTAATAATTAATATCAGAAAAAATACAACTCTTGACGGTTCCAAGGGTCATGGTTATTTAAAATTGTGCATAATTAAATAATTAAATTAATTAATTAAAAGTTCTTTAGCAGTTTAGCATAGTTAATTAGCTGTTTCCCTAATTACTACTAATTAGACAGACAGACGGCCACATAACCTTAATGTAATTGGTTTCCTTGACACTCAAAAAGCTAAAAAAAAGTTGGTTTAAATCTTTAATTAGTGATGCTAAATTGCTAATCCCATAATATTTTATTAATAATTAAAAATTAACTCTACCGAATGCCCACAAAATATATTAAGAACTAAAAACAATTTTGCTGACATGGACTCAATAAATCATTCTTATCTAATCTAAATACACATTAATGGTCTTTTAAATGTTAGGACAAAATGCACTTCGCTCCCTAGAAATTTTCACTTTTTGCACTTTTGCCCCCTACAAATTCGAAAAAGAGATTCTCCCCTTTTAATATTTTGTAGCAATTGCACTTTGCCCCAAATTGTAATTTCGGCGTATTTTTCATCGGAATTGCCATGAATCTGTTCAATTGAAGGACATTTGTGTCACATTTTTTTATTTTATTTTGAATATCAAACAGTCACATATTTTATTTTATTTTATATTTTGTGAGTGTCAAACGAGTCACTCGTTTGCTCTCTTTGGTTAGTTTCAACATGGAAAAGTATACACACGCACACGAACTAATTCTCTTTGGCTAATTTGATTAATTATTAGATAAGAATCTCCTTTAATTATTTTGATAACACGCACAAAAAGTAACTCATCTATATTACAGTTAAATCTCTATAAACTAATACAGTCGGGACTAGCAAAAAAATTATCAATTTAGTGAAATATTAAATTATCAAACTAATAATATAGTATATTTACACCGACTCGAGACTAGAAGAAATTATTATTTAAGCGAAATATTAATTTATCGAGGTTCTACTATATTTTCACTATTTTCCCATTTTCGTGGGGACAAAATTCACACTCATAATTATTTATTGGATAATTAGCACTTAACTCCATGTTGTTTGAATTTTGTGCATATGCCCATCTTGTACTTTCAATATTAGCACATGATATCCCTGTAGTTTGAACTTTGTGCACATAACTCTTTTGTACTTTCAAAAATTTCCTTTTTTCCCTAATCGAAATCCGATGATGTCATAATTAATTTATTAAATAGTCTTGAAAAAGAAAAACAAATAATCAACTCATAAAGATGTAACCAACAAGGTGTTGGGGTTGGCATATATTGTTTAATTAATATCCTTAAAAGGGGACAGGCAAAAGAGTTGCTTAATTACAAGCGATGCAAAGTTGTCTTCATTATTAAAATTAAAGTTTAGGACTAAAGTAATAATTAATCACTCCCTTTTATTTTTATTGTTTTATTTTGAAGAAAAAATCAACAATTAACAAAAACTATTACTACTAAAACAAAGTCTGACCATGTATATTTACATTTATTTTATGAAAGTAATAGTTCGTTAAGAACTCTATCGGAATCACGTATCTAATGCATTATCATGTTACATTTTCTAACAATGTTTCAGGGGTGATTGTAATTACCGATAATATAAGGACCTTAAAGTTATTTTAACATATCTCAGGGGTGTAAGTGTAATTTATCCTAAATTTTATATAAATTAAGTGGAAAAACGAAATAAAATATTGAATAATACTCAAATTTCTTGTGCAGTCAAACCATGCCATTGAATTATTGACTTTCCATTTAATTTCTTTCAAAATTTCATAGTTCAAATCATCACAACATTACAAAATAGAACATGAACAATAGTTTTGGTGATGTCTTAATTATTACCTTCATCCATCTGTCTCGTTCAATGTTTTCCTTTTTTTTCCATTTCTATAATTATATGTAAACGAATGATGAATTGTGAAACAATAATAAGTGAGACACGTATTCTGAAAAATGAGAAAATCAGATACGACGATTCATATCACTAACAACTTAAACTTTTAAATGAAGTGATGATTCAACAGCTACCATTTTTTTATTTAAAAAAAAATGAACATGCCATTAAAACAAGATTAGTCATAAAACACTTAAACTTAAGCATTCACTATTTAATGTAGGTAGCTATAGTTATTTACCATCGATAATTCGCCACATTTTATTCAAATAATAGAAGGCAAATGGGTAGCTCGCATCGGTATAGCTTAACTGATTTAGAGGTGGTACGTTGGTTCAAGATCCTATGATTGCGTACTGACAACAATAGTGTGAGAATTTCGACTCCAATGCGAATAATTCTTTGTAGACATCAGATCCAAGTCCGCAACCCTAATGGACCGTTGTGTCATCATAATTTACATTTTTCCATAAAAAAACATATTGGGTCAGAAGATTGGGCACTAAGGCCCGATGAATTTCGCATTTTGGTGCAAGAGAAGGCCAATTGATATCATGAATCATGCCACCCTCGATCAATTCAATGGGTCCTAGTTAAACTACAATAATTGCATATTATTTCATAAAATAATCTAAGAATTCATTAACATTAACTAAACCTAGTCAATTATGAGCAAAAATAGTAAGTAAGAGTGGAAAATTAAAAAAAGAAAGGTCAATTATTGGAAAGATTGGAATAATCTCCAACAAGTCCTCAAGAAAAAATGGAGTAAGATCCAATAAACTATTGAATTTTGTGCAAGTGGGGTGTATTAGTCTTTATCTATATTTGGATTAATTATGAGAAAATAGTAATTGATACAATGAATGTAGCAACAATTCTAGTGATTAATTAAAAAGTTATGTCTTTATCTTAAATAATTAAATCAATCCTATCAATTAAAATATTCACACACAATTTACTACTTCCTCCTTCCCTTAATATTTGTCACTTTTGTCATTTTTTCATATTTCAAATTATTTGTCATTTTACTATTCCAATGAATAATTAATTGCAATCTTTCAATTTTGCCCTTCCTCACTCATAATTAATTAAAATATAATTATTTAAAAATCAATTACTGACATGGGCATTTTAGTGATTTACTATACTTTTTGCTACTATCTATGCATATTTATTGAGTTTATGTGTACAACTAACAAAAGTGACAACTATTGAGGGAAGGAGGGAGTAGTATGTTAGGATAAAAATATATTTTTTTTAATAAATATTTTCACTATGAATATCTTTTAATTGCATTTTATCGGGTTTTTCGCAATACAATAGGATAAAAATTAGATACAAAAGTATATTCTTGAAATAATAGGTCCAAATTTATAAGAAAAATTAAATAATTTAATTTGCTTGTTCTTTATTTTTATTTTTATTTTTATTTTTAAGAAATAAATAGTAGTACCAAAATATGACCTAATTTATTACTCCAGATAAAATTGTGGGCGAGTCAAATTCACGTGTGTGGCATCGTACAACATGGAAGGTGGGTGTGGTCCCCAGCCGACCACTGCAGACACAATGACAAGAACGACTTCGTCATCTGATGCCACGTGGAACGATCTGATGACATGTACTGCCACCAGGACCACTCGATTCTGAATCAGCTGAGCCCACACCGAAACCAGGTTCCGTACCGGAACGCTCCTCCCCACCATGTGTTGGTGGTGGCCCCACAAGTGGCAGTACTTGTAATAAAGGCGAAAGGTGCGGGTCAAAAAATTAATTTTCCTGATAAAAAACCCCCCAATTAAAGATGCATATAAATAGGGAAAATAAAAAGGAGATTTGGGTGAAGAATTCTTTGCCGGGTTGAAGTGGAGCCAACCCTGTTGCCTGCTGCGGAGCAGACAGCCAATCACATGCCCACAACCACATTTACTAATCTTATTTTTTTTTTATTTTTTTTTTTCTTTAGAATATACTAATTTTATTTTAGGCAAATTACGGCCACCGCCCCTGAACTAAAGTTAAATTACGAAAAAACCTCTCATGTTTGTGTAATTATAACCGCCCCTTAATTAAGCATTGTCCTCATTCAACATCGTAAGGGTGGACGTGTAAGACAATATATAATTGAGGGGTGACTATAATTACCCAAACAATAGAAGATTTTTCGTAATTGACCTTAGATGCAAATTTATAGAAACTGTAAGGGTAAATTACGGGGGGGTATGGTCAAATTACGAGAAAGCCCCTCAATCTTGTGTAATTACAACCACCTTCCTCAGCTATGAGTCTTCTTACACGTCCACCCTTATGGTGTCAAATTCAACATAATCTTCTAGATTCCGTGGAATGTTCTCTTGTTTGTACTCGTTGTATGCAAGAATACACTTTCTAGTTTCTAATGCACCACAATCTTATATTTACAAGTCAACAGACACATTTTATGATCATCTTGTTTCAAAATGTGGAGCCCGAATGCGATAAAACCGGTACAAATTGGAGAATATTCCACATAAACTAGAAGACTCCACTAGATTTGACACCGCAATGGTGGACGTGTAAGACAATTCATAGTTGAGGGGGACAGTTGTTATTATCCAAATAAGAGATTTTTTTTTTATAATTTAACCATACCTCAAGGGTGGCCGTAATTTACCCAAACTTTAATTACATTTACGTGAGGGGGTATACATGCAAATTCATAGAAACTTTGATTAACTATAAAACATATCATTGAGATCCACATCTCTTTATGTCTAGTACCAATAATTGACCTAAATAAAATTACTAATGTTATTAGAAAATTAATGTAGGATTTTAAGTTTAAATCAAAACATTTTATTCAATATTTTACACTATTAAACTTATATATAATAATAAATTATATATATAGTGTAATTTGATAAAATTATTATCAAAAAAAAATTAAGAGGCTACTATCAAGTCAAATCTTAAGCAGGCTTCCCAATAGTCCGCAACTATATATAAAAAATAAAAAAGAAAAAAACAACTGACCGTAACAGAAGTATTTATTTATTTAATTTTCGTAATTAAAATTGACCCACCACCACGAAATGACGTCACGTGAGCCGTCCAACCCTAGTTAAGGATCTAACCGCAGTTACTTAGGGTCTGGCACTGCTAACCACACACACGCACAGTGCGTGTGCAGTGTAAAAGGAGACAGCCAAACCACGTTCTGTGAAAACCAATACAAAATTTTTTCACTCTCTCTCTCTCTCTCACACACACACACAGCACCACCGTTCTAGAGAGAGAAAGCAAACAAATCAAGGCGTATATTTAGCTGTTCCTCGGGATATCGTGACGCCGTTTCTCTCTCTCTCTCTCTCTCTCTCTCTCTCATTTACCCTCTCATCTTCTCCTCTGTCTTCCAATTTTCCGGCGGTGTTCTGATCGGCCGACGGATTTATTCCGCCGTTTGCGGTGGTTTTCTGTCGATATATTCTGGAGCTCGATTTGTTGATTATAGAAGCTCTAATTGATGATTTCGAGATTAATTGTCCAAAGGAGGAGGTTGTGAATATTGTTGCAGTGCAGTTATGGCGAATAGGTCTTCATTTTCCCAGCAGCATCATCAGCCAAATAGTGTTTCAACTGAAGGTCAAATTTGCAGTGTGACCTTATTTTTATTTTGTTATTTTCAATTTTTTCGTTATGAGTGTTCAATTTTTCATTTTGTTTTCCGTTTATTTTGGTGAATTTTCAGGTAGTTGGGGGAAGGATTCATTGTATGAAGAGCTATGGAAGGCTTGCGCAGGTCCTTTGGTTGATGTTCCTAAGGTTGGGGAAAGAGTTTACTATTTCCCACAAGGTCACATGGAACAAGTGAGTAATTTCTGTATGTGGAATTTTTTATTGGTTTATTGAAATGTTCAGATCTTTGTTGTGGATTTTAGGTTGAATTTATCTTCAATTTTTAAGTTCTTTTCTCGAATTTTTGTTATGAATTTCCTCTTGGGTTTTGCTTGATGTTTCAGTTGGAGGCATCTACAAATCAGGAATTGAATCAGAGGATACCGATGTTCAATTTACCATCGAAGATCCTTTGTCGTGTTTTCGACATTAAGCTACAGGTATAGATTTTCTGTTCTGAGAATGGTAATTGTTTTTACTGATTAAAGTACTGGCAATTTGGGTATTTTGAATGTTTATTAATTTGTTAGGTATAAGTAAATACCAGAAGCAAACCCTTCGTTTTTCCTCCCGAATTAGCAATTACGCACCTGTTTCTTTGTTAATTAGCTTTTGAAATAGCGAGTGATTCAAGACTAGTTTCACTTTCCAGGCTGAACAAGACACTGATGAAGTTTATGCACAAATAACGTTGATGCCGGAAGCAGATGTAAGAACTTAATTTACTCTTGTTGCTTTTTAATTGGTGAATATTTTTACCCTTAAAAAAGGGTTTACTTATAATTTGGTGAAACTGTTTGTAGCAAACTGAGCCAAGAAGTCCCGATAGTTCTCCTGATGAGCCTCCTAGACCTTCAGTGCACTCATTCTGCAAGGTTTTGACCGCGTCTGACACGAGCACGCACGGTGGATTCTCTGTCCTTCGTAAACATGCTAATGAATGTCTTCCTCCATTGGTAATACTTCCTCTTCTATACTCGATTTTATCCTATCTGCTATATTTTTTCCGTGTTTTTTGGATCACCTTCTTCGCTTGTTGACCTTCGATGCTCTCCAATCAGGATATGAACCAGCAGACACCAACACAAGAACTGATAGCCAAGGATCTACATGGAACTGAATGGCATTTTAAGCATATATTTAGAGGTGATTTCTTTTTTTAACCTTTTAGATGCTCATGTGCGACTGGAAGTCGTAGATGTAGATTTGAGTTGATCCATGGATGTAAATTAACAGGCATTAATTTAGTGAAGAATGATAATATCGTGTTTCCATTTTGAAATATTAATTTGATTTAAACCGAACAGGTCAACCTCGGAGGCATTTGCTTACAACAGGATGGAGTACGTTTGTTACATCGAAGAGATTAGTTGCTGGGGATTCTTTTGTATTTCTGAGGTACTTTCACCTTTTACACGATGATCGCACATTAATGATATATTTCTTCGTATGTTAACTGGAATTTTTGTTTTCTGAATCGAATTAATCATTATTTACATCTTTTTTTCGCCCTCTTTTAGGGGAGAAACCGGGGAATTACGTGTTGGTGTGAGGCGCCATGCTCGTCAACAAAGCTCCATGCCTTCATCGGTGATCTCAAGTCAGAGCATGCACTTGGGAGTTCTTGCAACTGCTTCTCATGCCGTCTTAACTCAGACCCTTTTCGTTGTTTATTACAAGCCAAGGTCTGATATATAAATTCCTTCTGCAGATTGAACTATGTTTTCTGTCACAAGCTATTTTTTTTAATTCGTCCTTTTTTTTCTTCAGAACAAGTCAGTTCATCATAGGCCTGAATAAGTATCTAGAAGCTTTGGACCATGATTTTGGGGTCGGCGTTAAATTCAAGAAGCGTTTTGAAGGGGACGATTCTCCTGAGCGGAGGTTTTCGGGTACAGTAATCGGGGTTGAGGATATTTCTCCTCACTGGGAAGATTCCAAATGGAGAACATTCAAAGTGAGTATATCTTTACCGATACTCGTGGATTTGTCTTTAATTAGTGAAAACATAAACTCACCCTTTGTTTTTCTTACAATCCCACCAGGTTCAGTGGGATGAACCTGCATCCATTCAAAGACCTGAAAGGGTTTCCCCTTGGGAGATAGAACCATTCGTTGCCTCTAACCCCACTAATACAATTCAGCCACTCACAATGAAGCATAAAAGGCCTCGGCCACTTGTTGAAATCCCAGTTCCTGGTTAGATTGAATTTTTTTTTCCTCTCTTTTTTTAATGTTTTTTTCCCTTCTGTTTGCACGTTATGACCTAGTTTATTGTTATTTTCAAATCTTGTAGAAACTATGACGACTTCGCCTTTATCACCTGCTTGGAATCTGACTCAGGATTCCCATAAAATAAATCGTGTCTCTGACGGACTAAGGAGCAACCATTCGACTAATTCGCTTAATAAGCAAACAGATGCTCCTTCAGACGGAGGGCAACAATTTTCTCTCCAAATAAATGCTTCTCCAAACATGGCTGCTGCTGAAGAAACAGACGAGAGTAAAAGTGCTTCAGCTTGGTCTGTTATTACAAACATTTCAGCTCCAAGCTCAGGAAAACAGGGTAATAGCCACAACAATGAAGGGACAAAATCAGATACTATTGCTTCGTGTCGATTATTCGGGTTCGACTTAAAACGACCTTCAGTAGTGACCCTTTGTGACAATAATTCACCTTTTAAATCAGTTGATGTGTCAAATGATTTACTGTGCTCGGGTGATTCAGACCAGAAATCTGGTGTTTCAAAGGAGCTAAAGCAAGACCAGTTACAAACATTATCAAAGGAGGTTCAAAACAGACAAATCAATTCCTCGAGAAGTCGCACTAAGGTATATATTGAAAATAATGGGAAGAAGCTGAATCTGAATGTATTACGAATTACAATTACTTACATCAGTATTTGTTATTTTTGCATGAAATTCATCGAAAAAGGTACAAATGCAAGGGGTTGCAGTTGGCCGAGCAGTTGATTTGACCACATTGAATGGATACAATGATCTCATAAACGAACTCGAGGAAATGTTTGAAATTAAGGGGGAGCTTCGACCCCGTAATAAATGGGAAATTGTCTTCACCGATGATGAAGGGGACATGATGCTTGTGGGCGATGATCCATGGCCGTAAGTACATATATATTTAAATAACCGAACAGATTCTTGAAATTCTTTTGTCTGACCATATTATTTATTGTGATTTACTTTTTCCTTGCAGAGAATTTTGTAACATGGTTCGAAGGATTTTGATTTGTTCGAGTCAAGATACGAAGAAAATGAAAGCAAGCAAGCTACCTTTGCCGACTGCAGAATGTGAAGCAACTGGCCTTAACTTGGAATGCATTGAAGATTAAGAATCGTTTTTTATTATAGTTTCGTCCGACGTTCCACGAAGAATATGCTAACCGAGTGGAAATATTAATCCAGCTAGCCAATGATCGGAAAGATTTAGCTTAATTCCAGCCTTTGACTCGTTTTTTTTTCAGGTATTGCCAAGACCGGACCATGATCTCGTGGTTGCAGGTAACGGAGTTAGATTAGAATCTGTGAATAGTAAGAAGGGTGAAATATAGATGAGAAGAAAGCCATTCTCATCTTTGTATTTGTATATATTTTAGTGTATGTTCTTTTGGGATGAATTTCTATGTATTATCAAATGAGTGTGTTTATTTATTTATTTTTAAATGCAAATTTATGTTAAATCCAAGATACCTTTTTTTCCTTAAAAGTTATAATATTAATTAAAATCATGTGACAAGTTACTGATAATTAATTTGTGATTGATTTTATAGTATTAGGAAATTAACCTAGGATGTGAAAATGACATGAAGAAAATTGATGACCAAATAAAGATATTAGGCAAGCATATAGTTTATAGGTAGATAGGCAATTATTTCTATTTTCTTGGTATATTCCGACATTATGCTGGACCAAGATCTTGACATTTGATGTTACTACTGACACTGATTATCGACCAGATACAGTAGAACCTCGATAAATTAATAACATCTCGTAAATAAAAATTTATCTCGGTTCCGATTCGGTGAAAATGTATGAAATTATTAGTTCGATAATTTAATATTTCGCTAAATTAATAGATTTTTGCTAGTTTCAACTGTATTAATTTATAGATGTTTAAGTGTAGAAAGTATATCGAAGTAATAAGCCCTAAAATTTAATTTCAAATACTCACAATTATCCTAAAATCTTGGAATAGCATACACTCGTTTCTACCACACCAAATTGAGCGATATTTTATGAGGGCAGAAATGTCATAATCGCACCATCTTCACCAGGCCAATAAATAATATCAGTACAGGACCACAAGATAACATTTATGGATGAATGCATAGGGTTCCTTCATTGGAAAATAAATATAAAAAATAAAAATAAATAATGAATAAATAAATAAAATTTGTCTGAAGTTCTTTTATTCGGGTCTTAAATCGAACTCGGAGACATAAAATAAATAGAAACAGGGTATGTTCAATTTAATTACAACTGATTTAGATTCAATTCTAATAGTTATGTAAATATTTCAAACAGAATATATTTGGCTCAACTTTATTCATTCCAGTTTCTATCATCAAATCATTTTCCAAATTATTATACGATAGTGTACATCGGTCTACTGAACATATTTAAATCGTTGACTACGGATTCTTCGTTAAAAAAATAAAAAGAAAACAAAAATAAAATAAAATCATGACATGCATCCGATAAATTATACCGCCCACAAAAATAATTATGGAGTTATCAATTAAAAAAAAAAGGGTAAATTACAAACACCCCCTGAAGTATGGTCGAATTACAAAAACACCCCTCTTGTTTGGATAACAACCACCCCTCAACTCCTCAAATTTAGTGGAATCTTCGAGATTATATGGAATATTATCACTTTTGTACCCGTTTTATCCTATTCAAACTCTACATTATGAAGCAAGATGATCATAATATGTTATTTTTAGCTTGTATATATCAGTTTGTGGTGCATTAAAAACTGTATTTTTTACACAAAACGAGTACAAGCTAGAGCACAGTTCACGGAATCTAGATGACTATGTTGAATTTGGCACCATAAAGGTGGAGGTCTAAGAAAAAATCATAGTTGAGGGGGTAGATGTAATTATCCAAACAAGAGGGGGGTTTTGTAATATGATCATACCAAGGGGGGTATTTGTAATTTACCCAAAAAAAAATTGCAACTTGCATCTGATCCAATTAGTTCCCCTTGGGAACTGCAATCTTCATATATTTCAATTCATATATCTAATTTGAGGTGTATATATATTCAACGATTGGAAGTACACAATTCGATGACGTTGTATCTCTACTACTTTCAATGTTGGCTACCTTTAATTTGTCGGTTTCAATAATTGATGAAGACTACATATTTGTTATTATGTTGGAATATTAATATGGAATTTCTTTCTTTTTTTTTATTTTGCTAGAATTAGTAAACTTTTATTTAGAAAATAAATCACCACTTTTAATAAGAATTCCATTAAAAATGTAGTTCTAATTTTTTTTTTCACATAATCCTCTTATACTTTTAATATAATCACATAACCCCTTGTAGTTTGAAGGTTATGCAAATAACCCCCTATGATATTTTGATATTCCGCTTTGTAAATAACCATGTTTATTTACTCAAAAAGAAAATCATGCTTAAGTACAAGAAGTCATGTTCATGCACAAAATTCAAATCACATGCACGGGGTAAGTTCCTTTTTTGGATCAAATCTTATAAACTCGTTCAGACACCCTTCGATGTTATATGAAGGGAGTTAGATACTACACCCGATAGATTTGAACCACAAATATGATTATAAAATAATAATCTACTCACCATACATATACATCGTTGTGTAAATTATGTGCAGATGAATAGTTCAAATCCACTAAATATGAATAAAGATAAAGATGTGTAACATCTAATGTCTTGTTATATGAGATATATTTCCAATCATTACAATGTAAAAAGACTAAATAATATTTATTGACTAATAAAATTAGAAGAGCAAAAATAAATAAATAAATTATTATTTACATTCGTGTGGCAACAAATGCAGAGTTAGTTTTTATCCTCTTATAAATAACCAATTTCGGAAAGAGAGAAAAAAGGGCGGCCAGCAAAAATGAAGACCACCACCACCACACCGCCGCCTCTCCACTCCCTACGTCCACTCCGCCGCCGCCACTTCAACCGCCTATTCGCGGCGGCTTACACCGCCGCCATACTATCCCTCCTCTACCACCACACACTCACACTACTCCAATCCACCACCACCACCACCACCGTCTCTCTCTCCATATCTCTCCTCCTCTTCCTCTCCGACGCTATCCTAGCTTACATGTGGTCCACAACCCAGTCCTTCCGCATGAACCCGGTCCACCGGAGATCATTCCCGGAGAACCTCCCGGAGTTCCAGGACCGGAAAGATTTTCCGGCGGTGGACATATTCATATGCACGGCGGACCCGCACAAGGAGCCTCCTGTCGGCGTGGCCAACACCGCCCTGTCGGTGATGGCGTACGACTACCCGACAGAGAAGCTGTCGGTTTACGTGTCGGACGACGGCGGCTCGGAGCTGACGGCGTTTGCTTTCATGGAGGCGGCTAAATTTGGGAAGGTGTGGCTGCCGTTTTGCCGGGAGAATGACGTCACTGACACGTGTCCAGATGCTTATTTCGCCTCAAACTATGCTTTAACTGATAAGTCCCTCGAAATCAAGGTAATTAATTATCGATTAAAAAAAAAAATTCAAGGTGATTAATTGTTTTATCGTGTTATTAATGTTTTAAAAATAAACCATACAATTCAATTTATCTAACAACTTATCACCTAATAAACTCATCAATTAAGGTTTGTATAAAATATAAATACAACATATGAATATTAAATACCAACATAATACACTCATATACAAAAGCTTGGATTTTTTTTTTAATTGTAATAACCAAATAAGTAAAAGGGTAAATAGCACTTAACCCCCTTGTGGTTTGGACAATTTGCACACGACCCCCTTGTCGTATGAAATTATGCACATAACCCCCTTGTGGTTTTGATATTTTGCACATGACCCCCTTATGGTATGAAATTAGGCACATAACCTCCTTGTGGTTTTAAAATTTTGCAGATGACCCCCTTATGGTATAAAATTAGCACATAACCCCCTTGAATAGAAAAATGAAAAATACTAAATTATCCTTATCAAGTAAAAAATTCTTGTTTTAATTTTAAAATAATTATTCGATAAAATAAAAGGCTTAATGTATTGCTTTTTAAAATGAGAAATATAATATATTATTGTGTTTTTTTTTTTAAATTTGGACGCCAAAAAGTATATAATACTAATTATTGTACGATTGACAATTTATTCGATTTTAAAAATCAATTTGAAAATATTTATCATTAATTATAATTAGTATATTACTATTTTCTATATAATATATTATGTTATAGCTGTTATTGAACTTTAATTTTTTTAAGAAACAAAGTCTTTATTTTTTTTTATTCTTTTGGAAAAATCTAAAAAAAAACATATCTCTAAAGTTGAAATGAGAATTAAATTAAAAAAAAAATATTTGATGTAAAATAGAAAAAACACAATAATATATTATATTTCTTATTTTACAAAAAAGTATATTAAGCTTTTCATTTTATAGAATAATTATTTTTAAATTAAAACAAGAAATTTTTACTTGATTGGGGTAATTTAGTCTTTTCCATTTTTCTATTCAATGGGGTTATGTGCTAATTTCCTACCATAAGTGGGTAATGTGCAAAATTTCAAAACCACAAGGGGGTTATGTGCCTAATTTCATACCATAAGGGGGTCATGGCAAAATGTCAAAACCCCAGGAGGGGCTATGTGCCTTAATTTCATACCACAAGGGGGTCAAGTGCAAATTGTCCAAACCACAAGGGGGTTAAATGCTATTTACCCTAAGTAAAATTATCAGGTTTAGTTCCAACTCTGCTAACGAGGGTTGATCGATGTTGATGCTAGTTAGTTACATGCACGTGTGAACATATGGTTGCATAACTCTTTATACTACTACTTGCTTGTGCTCCTAAATCTTTATTTAGTTTTCAATTATGTGAAGAATCATTGGACATATATATTAAATTAAAATAACATAAAGTTATATATATGAAGAATTAAGAGTTAAGACAAAATTAAAGTGCGCACACATTAGTCTAGCTAGCTAAATCTTGTTTTAATAATTTATTATTGGTTCAATCTAACTAGCTAATTAGAGTGAACCATATCATATTATCTAACATTTTAAATTTTCAATATTGCATTAAATACATTTTTTTCTCGTTTTATTCTTATTAATTCAATTTGAAATATTAACTCTCTCACAAACCATTAACAAATAAAGGTTATTTTAATCTTTTTTATGTGTTTTTTTTTCTTCTTAAAATCAATCCAGATTTATTGAGTTTCTTAATACTTATACAGAACTCAACAATGACATCTAGTTAGGAACGAATAGAGTAATACATTGAAATAAAAGATCCAATAGGCAAATTAAATGTCGACTAATGAACAATGATATTTCTATGCTACACCCGGTAAAGATTACATTAGGTGTTTTTTCACCGTTGATCTACACATCAATGTAAGTGTGTATGTTTGTGTGTATATGAATGGTAAAGATCTATCCTGTGTATTTCACCCGATATAGCATAAAACAGACCTGTTTGGTTTTACCTTATAAAGTCTAATCCAAAGTTCAAAGGGCATTTATTGCAGATGATGTATGAGAGCATGAAAATGAAGGTGGAAAATGCAGTGGAAAAGGGTAAAATAAGTGAAGAATATATTACAAGTGAAGAAGAGCGCCAAATTTTGAGCCAATACTGTAATAAAGATTTCAACCGCCAAAGCCATCCTTCTGTGATTCAAGTTCTGTTAAATTCAAATAAAGATAAAGATGTTACAGGTAAATATATGCCGAATCTTGTGTACGTATCGAGAGAGAAGAGAAAGACGAGCCCACATCATTTCAAGGCTGGCGCCCTCAACGCTCTGGTAAATATCGTTTCAATTTTAACAATATTTTTTTAATTTTCTAGTTTGGAATTGGCAAAACTCAGAACACGAAATACGTAGTTCTTTGAGTTAGCTTTCTAGTTCAATTTGAATCATAGAGATTGGATGTCAGTTGAAAAAGATACGCATGAATCGATGAGTAATGCTACAATTTTGATGTTTTGGTTATCTGAAGTTTAAAATGTAGCTGATTCATGCATAACTTTGTCAATCACCGCACATCTAATCTAGCTGATTCTAGTTGGATTATAAAATTAATCCAAAGGACTACAGTTTTCAAGTTTTAGCAAAAACACGGAAATTTTGAAACGGCAGTTAACATTTCAGTTTTAGTTTTTATAGTTATATATATACATTTTTTTCTTATGATTATTTTTTTTTTTCTTTTTGCCTTTTTATTACATTGAAGCTTCGAGTTTCGGCGAGCATGACGAATTCGCCAATTATATTGACATTGGACTGTGATATGTATTCGAACGACCCATTAACGGTCCAAAGAGTATTGTGTTACCTTGCCGTTAATTCCGGTAACACCGATTGTGGGTACGTTCAATTTCCACAGCGTTACCACGGTCTCAACAAATCGGACATATACGCCAGTGAGCACAAACGTTTGTTTTTAGCCAATCCAATTGGCATGGATGGGCTTAACGGGCCTAATTACGTTGGAACGGGTTGCTTTTTTCGTCGTCGGGTATTCTTTGGAGGCCCGTTTTCTTATATAGACCCGGAGAATCCGGATCTCGACCCGAATCATATTGTCGACAAGCCCATTAATAGTAAAGAAGTTTTGGGTATGGCCCATCATTTTGCTTCGTGCAACTATGAGAACCAAACCAATTGGGGTTCCAAGGTAAAGTTTATTCTCTCTCTCTTTTTTCTTTACTCGTTATGGAATAACTTTTGAATAGAGAAAGAAAAGTTCCCGATTTTAGTTAATTGTCCGATAGCAGTGACGGAGTCAGAATTTAATTTAGTCATCGTTGAGATCGATTAGACGTTAAAAACCCTCTAGATGGACCGAGAATAATACACTACTCGAAGAAAAAAAAATGATAAATCTCTATATAAAATATTAGTGTGGAAATTAATGTGAATGATTCGGTGCGATGAATTCTGGACTTGAGATGATTTTAGGTTGCTTTTGTATACTACACTGCTCGAAAAAAATAACAAATCTCTATATAAAATATTATTTCTTTACGCAGGCTTTGTCATTGATGCACAACGTTGTATTTCACATCACGAATTATATAAACCCTAATGTAGTTTGAAAACTAATTTGAATGGTTCGGTGCGTTTCGAGAGATTTTTAACATCTCACTAGAATTTGTTTGTGGAAAATGCAGTTGGGCTTTCGGTACGGGTCGTTGGTGGAGGACTATTACACGGGGTATCGGCTTCAATGCGAAGGGTGGCGGTCGGTATTTTGCGATCCGAAAAGGCCTGCATTTTTGGGTGATGTTCCGATATCTCTAAACGATGTGTTGAGCCAGACGAAGAGATGGTCAATTGGGTTATTAGAAGTCGGCTTCTCTAAGTACAGCCCAATAACATTTGGTGTAAAGGCAATGGGAATTTTGATGGCCCAAGCTTACGCAAACTATGCTTTTTGGCCCATTTGGTCTATCCCTATCACTATTTACGCTTTTGCCCCTTCGATCGCTCTTCTACAAGGGATTCCCATTTTTCCCAAGGTAAAATAATTTCCGATTTTTATGAAATTTATATATTGCAACTTCTAATCAATAGTCGGTACAAAACGTGAGCAATTTCGTTGACACGTTTATCCTATTTGCACTAATTAGGTCCACGAGCCGCGATTCTCCTTGTACGCTTTCCTTTTTCTCGGCGCGTACGTGCAAGATTGCCTGGATTTCATCTCTACACGAGGCACATTCCAGAGATGGTGGAGCGATCAAAGAATATGGCTCATAAGGGGTCTTTCTTCTTTCTTATTTGGATCCATAGAATACACTTCCAAGCGTCTAGGTATGGCGACGCACGGATTCAACGTCACGAGCAAAGTGATGGACAACGAGCAAAGCAAGAGGTACAACCAAGGAATGTTCGAGTTTGGAGTCGCTTCTCCCATGTTTGTTCCGTTAGCGATGGCCGCGATTTTGAACTTGGCCGCGTTTCTTGGTGGATTCGTGCTTGTTTTGAAGAAAGAAGGAGGCTTTGATAGATTCTTTATGCAGATTTTTATTGCTGGTTTTGGAGTGTTGAATAGCTTGCCTTTCTATGAAGCTATGGTTTTGAGAAGTGATAAAGGGAAGATGCCAATGAAGACTACTATTACTTCTACTCTTCTTGTGGGAATACTATATGGAATTTGCTTCCTTTGTACTAATTAATATATAGTGAAGTGAAATTTGTAGAGAGTATGTGGGGTGTATATGTTGAAATGGGATTATTATAAGGTTGTATTTGTAATTATTTGTATGTTTGATATCATTTGAAAATACGTACGCAGAAAAAAAAAATCGAAAGCACTGTTCGAACTCCTGTATTTTTTCGAAGATTTAAAATCCCCGGACCATCTCTAGGCTAGGGAAGGTTTGAAGCCGACCATATATGTGCACTGGGTAAACTTATACTCTTGTATAATGGCTTGCAAACCATACGAGAGACGTAAACCACACTAGACTAATCATGTGTGACAAACGCGACCATTGGGAAGAAGATTCAAAATTGGGTCAACTAACACAAATTCACTTGCTGCAACCGATTGATCATCCCTTACGGGACTTATAATCACGGACTGACCCAAAAATTATTGTACTAATTAATTATCAAATAAAAAAATTAATTCAAGTAATTATAACTTATTTTATTAACCAAACAAGATGTACATATTCAAACACAAAAAGAAATGGAAATAAAATAAGGCCCACGGGCTTATTACTAAATGGGTTCGGTTCATGGATAGGCCCATGAATCGAACTCTCGGTTCATAAGAGCGATCCGAATTCCGAAGTGACCCGACCCGCAAACCCGATTTAAATCCGTATTTCGTCAAGCTTTCTTTCTTGTGCAGAAAGAAGAGCATCTCCTTCAGTTTTATTTTTCCCCCAAACAAAAAAAAAAAAGTGAGAAAAATCAAAACTAGAGAGAGAAAGCTAGAGAGAGATGGATCCGAAAACCACAGAGTTGTCGCAAACCTTCGAGCGTTTCAAAGCGGCGATTGTGAGGAAGGATTTTGGTACTTGTACCAACCTCCTCTCGCAGCTCAAGGTACAGTTTACACCATCTCAATTTTTATTTTATTTTTTTAATTTTTTGTGGTTTTTTGATAATTTCATTGGTTTTTATTTGTGTTCTACGCTTTCTGTTTGTTTGTTTGGGAGATATATATCACAATTTTAGACTTTTGTTGTTAGCCCTAATGGATGGTTATTGACATTTTTCCGGTCTCTGGATTTTAATTTAGTTGTGTGGATCTTAATTTTAGTTGGGTAAAATTGGAATTTTTGCGCTTTGACTGTTATTTTATTTGAATTGTGGTAGCTGAGTTGAGATTTTTGATGGATGAGGATGAGTGATTAGTGAAGTTTCACACTTTATAATTTATGAAATCGAGATGGCATTTGTTGGAAATGATAATTGGGAAGTGTTTGGAATTTCCATATGCTTGTTGGGTAGCTTAATACTGCGTTGGAGCAGCAACTTGGTCGGAGTTAAATTTTCGAAAAAAAAATTGGAACGAAATCATTTTATATCTGTGGTGTGGTGTAGAAAGTTTTCATATGGTCTTCTTATCTTCTAGAGGTTCACAGAAACTGAACCGATACCGTTCTTTGTTGGTAAAATAATGGAATTGGTATAAGCTTTTATGTATTATTGTTTCTAGTGTTTATAAAATGAGCAAGTATTGACTATTATTTCTATCGGATTTCGTAATGAATGATTCAGAGAAGAAGGGATTGCGTGATTTAGAAGGATTTGGTGTTTAGACGTTTAAGTTTGTAGATGGCTGGTTCCGTCACTGTCAAATTGGACGGACGCCCAAATCAACTTGTGGGATTTTGAGTTCTTTGCAATTTACATAAAAAAAATTGAGGCCTTGCAGCATTTTTTGAGGCTGATTTTGATATATGGTGAAACTTATTATTTACTTGTTGGCAGGTTTCATTGACAGGGTACAAAAGTCTACCTCCATTATTTGAGAAAACACCGAATGCCATCCATGAACTGACACTAGCAAGTATTGTTTACGTTACCTCTATTTGATATCTTCATTTTGGTAGTTTTATGTATTTTTCTTTTTTCTACGAACTTATATGACATCTAACTTTGATTGTTTTCAGGGGACATTTACGAGCATGCAGTTATCCTAAGTGTAAAGACTGAGGATCAGGATGCTTTCGAGAGGGACTTTTTCCAACTGAAGCCTTATTACACTGATGCTCGGTAACTATCCATGTTTAACTTCTACTCGTATAAATATGTTGTAGTGACAGTTGAGTCTAGCCAAAATGGGACTGAGATTTGAGTTTGAATTTGTTGCTCACTAATTTGTTTTCGCATTTGTTTAGTTATCTTACCTCGGCCCTCGCTTCTTAAAAACTTAATGTGGCCTTATTACCACGTCTCTTCTTTATGAACAGTGATATATGGTGAATTCTGTACGGAGTCCAAATATGTATGCATGATTGCTTAGGACTCGTTTGCCTGCCTACTTGTAGATTTTTAAGTTGTCTTAGACTAGTTCGCCTGCCTGCTTGAACGCATGGATGTGTGTTTATTGTTTGTTTAGGTTTTAATAGATCATCCTAAATTTCTGTAGGACTTTCGTATCTAAGATTCTCATGCATGTTTCTTGTTCCAAGAGATGTTTTTCTTTTTGTAATCAATTTAGAGTTGCATACTTTTGGCTTATAGACATTACTTATCGACCCTTCTTCTGTGTGACTGTGCAGTGGTCTCACACCATCCTCTCAGGAGTATCCTATCTTAGGCCTCAACCTTCTGCGACTCCTCGTGCAAAACAGAATCGCCGAGTTCCACACTGAGTTGGAATTACTTTCTCCCACTGCTTTGGAGAACCCTTGCATAAAGCATGCTGTTGTATTGGAGCAATCCTTCATGGAAGGAGCTTATAACCGTGTTTTGACTGCCAGGCAGACAGTACCCCACGAGACATATGTCTATTTCATGGACTTACTAGCCAAGACAGTCAGGTAAACTTGTCGTTTCTTAATTTTTATGCGCCATTCGACAGTTTATATATATATATGTTTGAAGACAAAACATAGTGCTAAACAAATAGTAAGGAAGCAAAACGAATATTATAGTGCTAAAACGATTTATGCTTTAATTTGATAATATGATATTTATTTTTTAAATTGGTAGGGATGAGATAGCTGGATGCAGCGAAAAGGCTTACGATCGGCTTTCAACAAGTGATGCCCTGAAAATGCTGCTATTTTCTTCAGAGAAAGAGTTGCTCGAATATATTAAGGAGGTAAATTTCCGTGGCTCGTGTTTTCTTTCTCAAACCCCAACTCTATATGAAAGTAGGTGCATCAATAATGATTTGTGGTATTTGGAAAATGCAGGAGCATCCCGAGTGGGAAATAAAAAATGGATTTGTGGTGTTTCAAAGAGCCAAAGAATCTATCACTTGCAAGGAGATTCCATCTTTGGAGCTGATCAACCAAACACTCGGTTATGCTAGGGAATTGGAGCGGATCGTGTGAGGAATTTATTGCTTTGTTGAATTTCGTTTTGTATTTTCTGTCCAATTTATGTACTTTTTATCTGGTTGAGAACATACTTGTCAGTGATGAACGATTTATTGACTCGTTATTGACTCGAGAAGTGAGCTTGAACGGGTTCATCGGTTTGGAAACTATTTTTGGTTGAATCTAATTGGTACCGAAGCCAATATTCGTAAGGAGAAGTTCTAAATTGAATATTAATGCCGTTTTTCTTATTATCTTTCATTTTTCTTTGTTTACTTCCAGAGATTTAGAACCTAAATCAACTTGGTCCGAATCACATAAAATTAATAACGTCAACCAGACTGATACATGAGCCGATTACGGTTAAAAATAGTGGTGGAAATCAGAACAAACATATTGGATTCGGTTGAATCCAATCAAAAAAATTTCAAAATTTGGAACATTGTTTTGTATTCCGAATTTTGAATGTTCCAATTTTTGATATTTTTTTTAACAGAATTGGAACACGATAAATTTCGACTTTAGATACGATTTTAATTTTTGAAAATATTTCTGAAAATTCCAAGCCCTTTGTGACAAGCAAGCAATAATCCGATCCTATCTATCCAATTTCCACCCCTAGTTCAACATATCACAAATAGCCAACTGCCGATTAAGCCGGGAAATCGTAAACTTACAATACAAAGCGTTGAACATGCATTTTAAACCATCAAACCAACAGTTCAAATATAAACTGTGAGCAGATAAAAATATAGATCCCAAATAAGTAATTATTTCACACCAAAGGATATATCAAGATCCACAATGATTACAGTTCTATACCGTCTCCAAGTTAGCTTTTCCGACCAATCATACTGAGTAACATATAAATTGAGATAAATTACAAAAAGAAAAAAAAAGGTTATGCAAAACCCCTTTTAACAGAATCGAGGTTAAATCGCATATTAACTTACCATCTGCATTCCCCGGCCATAAAAGCTGGTCGAAGCGAGAATGACAACAGGTGGTGTATATGTTTTGACATACAAGTCCTGAGACTAAATGGTCAGCTTTATGAATTTTAACTACATACTATGTAAAATATGGGGGGTTCCCTAAGTTAGCTTCGATATCCATTAAGAATTATTATGAAACAGGGCCATAAGATTTGCGTGGCCCACTTTTCACGCAATTTGCCTGCCTCGATTATTGAGCATCCTTGCTACTGCACCTTGGATCATCTTGACCGTTAATTTCACCAATTCTCTCCTGTAAAATGAAAAGATTCACTGTAAGAAACTCGTATTTATTCTAAATTTTTCGGTAAAAGAAGAGAGCCACAAAGTAACAATCATGCACCATTCGAAACTTGAGTACATACATGAGAATGATTAGGAAGAGACAAATACGACGAATATCTTTTTGTAAATCATTGGCTCAAATATTAGTAGTACCTTTAAAGATGCATTTTGAGCAAGAAGTCGCTCGTATTCACTCCTTATACGAGTCACTTCTGCCCTGAGAGATGCATTTTCGTCTTTTAAACCATCAGCACGCTGGGCCAGTTCATCGCATTCTGCCTGATTTTCAAGAGAAGAAAACATTAAAGCTCGTGAAATTTGACGAAATGCAAAATAGATTATTAATAAAAAAGGGGGAAGATATTGACAACTACCTGTTTGCGCAATCTGGATCGACGAGCAGATTCCCTGTTTGACTGCTTTCTTCTCTGTCTTTTGAGCTCCCTTTCATCCTGAACTTGCAGGAAACATATAGGTGGTCAATGTCTTGGGTCAAAAGAATAAAGGCCAAGAGGTTTCTTTCTATAGCAAAAAAGATTGATATACAATCACAGAAAACAAAGTGAAGAAGATTATCCCAAAATACTTGTAAATAAGATTATGTCATCCTGGACTCTTATTAACTTTCATCTCGTTATATTATGAAATGAAATGAACACATTTGTAATTTCTCAAATCACCAAACGCAATTTCTTGAAGAAAGAAAAGAATGAAGATGAGTATCCACGAAAATAATAACAATGGAACTAGACGTTCAATACGGATGACTCAATCCAAATTTTCTGAATTCGTTATCATCGATCTGTATTTTCCAAAAAAAGAACAGAATCGCCTGTCTCCAAAAATAATATATAAAATAATATGAAGACTACCTTGAATAGGTTTAAAAAAATAGTGCCTATATTTTACCAAGTATTGCCTATTTCATGAAATATCTATACTGAAAAAGAAACAAATCATATTAGCCATCCCCGAGAGAAATAGAGGGTAACTACTCGTATATGTTTTAGACAGGACAAAGAAAAATGTAACAAGCAATTCTTATACCGTGGTGCATCTCCTTTCTACAGGTCAAAACTAAAAAACGGTGTTCATCTATTGAAAATAAGCATTTATAACGAGCTGGCCCACATGTGTACAAGAAATTTCTTGTCGACCAAAAAAAAAAGTCACATATTATTAGGTAAAAGAAATAGAAGAAAGGAAAACCTGAACCCAGTGCTGTGACTGTATACTATCTCGTGATCCAGTAGTGACCATTGCTCCTGCAACTGGAGTAGCAGAAACCTTACCCCGCATTGCAGGAATACCAGAAGATGGTGTGGCAGCGGCACCCCAATAATCCATTCCGATATTTAAGTTAGTGGTGGGACCAGGTACACCACCCACAGCTGAAATCGGCACCATGCCCATTGTTTGTTTTGCCATTGCATGAGATGTATTTGGTCCTCCATTTTGAGAACTGTGGCCAGTACTGCCATTCTGAGAGGGTTCTGTTGTAGCAAGATATGAATACGAAGGGTCATAAAAAAGAATGAAGAAAACTGATTGAGATTCCAAATAAGGAAAAATCCTCAGACCCGTACCTGAATCTATCTGGCCACCGGACTTAGCTTGGGACCCCTGTAGAAGGCAACAGAAAAAAAAGTGAAGAGGATAAACGAGAACGATGTCATTATTTGATCACAGTTGCAAATATCTAAGAATCAAAAGTAGACTCCAAATACTATATTAGGAACCAGAGATTTAGCAAATGTGAAGGTTGTTTCCGCTATAAACCTCAATATAGGAACCAAAAGGAAGACCACTGTGTGAACATGAATTGTCTATTTTCTGTGTTTTTGCTTTCTGGACAGATCCTAAGTTTTCTATGCTGCCATAAAGCAAAGACCTGATCTAAGTCCCAATTGATTGTTCAAAATTATGGAAGACAGCTGCTTGCAACAAGATAAAAGTAAATTAAAAGTTCAGTAAAATTAATGTTCAATCTGTATAGTACAGATAGACAAGTAGGGTTGAATTGAGGTTTTATTTCTATGAAAAACAGAGTTGTAGGTTTTACTTCCTTCAAATTTTATTTTGCATATTCCCATCTTTGCCAATTCTAAGTTTCATGAGATGATATGACTGATTTAAAATATAAATTGAATTATAAATGTACGCAAACTTAATGCAACCACCAGAAACAACTATACAGTGACGTTGTTTTTGTTCATTACTTGTAATCTGGTGTTTTGAATAAAATAAACTTCTTGTTCATCCAAAGCAAGTGCGAATATCTGATCAGAGAGGATTCAAATCTAAGGACATCCCAGCAAAATAAATATGCCAACAGTAACACTTCTCAACAGATGTATGGGCAGACCGGTACAAAATTAATGCATGGGATTCTAAATTTCTGTAAAACTCGTGTACGGAACTGCGTTATATAAACTTACATTATGAGAATTTGTATCACTTCCTTCAGACGAACCTTCACTCGCACTCTCGGCACTGCAAATTTTATCAAAAAAGTCATGAAAGCCCCAGATAATTTTATGTTCTCAAAACTGTTTAATAGGTAAACTAAGTAATCAAAAGTTTGAGGACAGAATCATCTAGAAGCAAAAAAGAAGAGAAGAAATGCAGTCTAGTATAATGAGCCTATGAAATATATATATTTGCGAGTAAACATATAAAAAATAATAGGAGGGATATTTTATGTCAAAACCAGTTCCTAGTATCTTGTCTAAAATGAGAATCAGTCACAAATTACACAAGAGTGACTTTCATTTTACAGTAAAAGTCTAAAAGCCATTTATTTGTATCCCTTCAGTTTATCTGTTCCCCGAATTCTCCGTACCTTTTAGAATGAGCACCATTTGCAGTGGCACCTGATTTCTTGCCAGAATCGTTATTCTTCCCCGTAATCATATTTAAACTGCCCAAACTTCCCTTGGATCTTTTGATGGGAAGTTTTCCCTTCCCCTCAGATGACTTGCCGTCCACCTCCATGTTCCCTGGAACATTACCCTTCACATATATTTGGAAAAAATGGTTATCATTTCATGTAAATAACTTGTTAAGTACCATAATTAGAAAACTAACATAAGTGCTATGATGACTCACAGAGGCTTCAGGAATGCCGTTAGGAGAAGGCATAGGAAAGGGACTAAAAGGATAAGATCCCTAAGTAAGTTTAAAGACATGAAGTAAGTTAGGAGAATTTAAGCAGAAGAGTATGATGTTAACAATCGAATCTGAAAAAAATGTTGACAATGTACCGGAGCCATATTTGGATGTCCGTATATACCCGCATGGGGATACATGGCAACATATGGATGTGGTGGAGTGCCATAGGGTGGAATAAATTGCTGCAAAGAGCAAAATTAAGAATGCCAATCAAAAGAGAGAAATTAATTGAACAAAAAAATGAAAATGAATACGTCATACAGAATCATCAACTAGGAAAGACAAAACTCCAATGCTGACACTAATAAGTCTACTAGACTTTCAATTACTTAGGCTCAGATTGCAGTAAAATGAGATATATAACTAGAGGAACCTAGTATCACATGAAAGATGAACTTTTTGTAGATGGATATATTAGGAGTCTAGAAGTAGTATAATTCTATCCGTAATTCACAAGTTCCACAACAATTGGATCCTGTTAGATGCTACTCTGCTTTCCAAAAGGGGTTTGATCATTTTTAATGTTGTTTTGGTAGTATATATTCTTGACGAAACTATTCCTCATTTGCCATGATAAGCAAAAAAGTAGACCATAAAATCCCATGACCCAGGAAATAGTTTGATAGTGATAGTGACAGCGCACATCCTCTGGGCCTCGACCAGCCCTGATAATGTTTTCCTACTTCCATATTCGGCAACAAGGTTATGATGTTGGTAAAAAGCTCATCAGCTTTCCCAAACTACCCTGCTTTCCATCATTTTATGAGAACAAATACGTGTTATCTCTGGACGCCTTAGCTATATGATAATTATACAGCTTTCAGAAAGTTTATCACATCTTTCCAAAAACAAAAAGTCCATTGTTATGCCTATGTGAAGTTGAGATAGTGAGATACTTCAGCTATCAGGTAATGAGCCATGCTTACAAAGATTCAAGCAGGTAATAGCCACTATCGTAAAGCAGAATTCAGTTGTGTCTAGCTATATAAGGATATGTATTCCCAAATTGTCAATTTAAAAATAACGATTGCTTAATGATCCTTGAAAATTGAAATAAATAAGGCTGCAAAACTACCATACCTGGACTCCCCACATGTAGGGATGTGACTGAGGACTCGATGCCATGAACCCATGTGGGGGCATAGGAGAATACGCCTGTAGAACAGCAATAAAGAAACAATAACTTAGTAGATGTTAATGAGGGAAACGCCAAGTCGATATATTTCAGAAAATGTTAACCTGAAAACCAGACCAATCCGGAGCAACTGCACCTGGAGCAGTCTGCTCCTGAAAATTCGAAAAAACATGGAACATTTTGAAATATGAGAAAACTAATAAGAAAACAAAATCCGACAGTTCACAGGCAAAAAATTACCTGTGGAGTAGAAGTTTTCGGCTCCTTCGCTTCTTTTCCATCCTTGGGTGATTTATCCACTTCGCTACTACCCATGGTTTTCACTAAACTTCCTCCTATTCCTATATATGTTACAAGACTCAACTTCAAACCATCCTGTCACAAAAGTATCACATTACAATCATTCACTGCAGTAAAGAAGTTCAATAAAAACTATATCCCGATACAAAAAAGATTTCACCAACTCTTATTACGACAAATGTTACCTAGTTTCGACTACTAGAGGTGGATTCAATGATTCAAATCCTCACTCTCCTCTATTTTCACCACGTAACAGGATGCACCATTTTTAATGAACAAAATAAATTGCACAAAAAATAGGTCTCCTCGGTAACTCTAACAAGTAATCATGCACATGAACACCGCTAAACTATAATAACGAACACTCCTCTAATTCGGTGATGAAAGTTACACTCATCAGCTAAACTCGATCATCAAAATCAACAGTTATCTCAATTGGAGTAAGAAGGTTTAAGCTGTAAACCATCCACATAAAGAAACAACAATAGATATAAAACAAATCATCCCCAAAAGCAAAGAATAACAAAAACAATTCAGCAAAGGCCACATAAAAATCAGCATAAAACACAAGAGTTCGTCGAAGATAAGAAACGCGCACTTCAACGAATTTAAAAAGTTATACCGCAAATTAATAAAATAAATTAACGAGCCTTGACTCGGCAACAAGAATCAGCGCGTCAACTCAGCTAACACCAGCTCAAACCCCCGCTCTTTGACGATTACAAAGCAGCTTCCGAGTCAAAATTACGCCTGAAAATGAGTTCGGGAGATAACCGACTCGAATTCAACAGAATTTCTGAAATTGGTCAATGAGTGATTGGGGGAAACAAAATTGGGGAAAATTCGGGGGGAGAGAGAAAATTAGGGCTTTGTTCGTGAGATCGTCGACATGGTTGCGTCGTTGTCCCGTGGATTTGCAGAGAGAGAGAGAGAGAGAGAGAGGGGAGAGAGAGAGAGGGGGTGGTGTCCGACGTGGATTTGACGGAGTTGATGATTGGTGAGAGTCGTGGACTATTTAACGGCTGAGATTGAGTCACGTACGAAACTCTAATGTGTCGCGGTGGCATCCAACAAACAAATTTGAGGTCGCCGTTATTTATGGGATTAGGTCAACTATTGTATGAAAAGTCGTTGAATTTAATTCAATTGAAGGGTAAATTACATATACCCCCTGAGGTATGGTCAAATTACAAAAAACCCCCTCTTGTTTGGATAATTACATCTACCCCCTCAACTATGATTTTTTCTTAGACCTCCACCTTTATGGTGCCAAATTCAACATAGTCATCTAAATTCCGTGAAATGTGATCTAGTTTGTACTCATTTTGTGTAAAAAATACAGTTTTCGATGCACCACAAACTGATATATACAAGCTTAAAATCACATATTATGATCATCTTGCTTCATAATGTAGAGTTTGAATGGAATAAAACGGGTACAAAAGTGATAATATTCCATATAATCTGGAAGATTCCACTAAATTTGATGAGTTGAGGGGGGTGGTTGTAATTATTCAAACAAGAGGGGTATTTTTGTAATTTGACCATACCTCAGGGGGTGTTTGTAATTTACCCTTCAATTGAATTAAGGTGGTGTTTGAATTTTTTTTATTTAAAAAAATATAATTATGTGTGTGTAAAAGTTTTTAAATAAGTAGAAGCTGGTGATTATGAGTAACGTTACGAATTATTGTGTATTCAGTCGAATTAAGGTGGTGTTATGAATTTTATTTTAATAATATTATTATTATAAATAAAAAAATTCATAATTTTATGAGTTTGTAAAAGTTTTGAAGTAAATAGAAGCTCGTGATTATGAGTAACGTTCCGAATAATTGTTTATTCTTAAAAGTTTGCGATATTTGGGAATATGATGAACGATTAATTTGTAAGTATTGTATTTTCGAAACAAAGTTTAATTTACAAGTTATTTTGTAAAATATTAGAAATGTTCTCACAATTTAGATTTAGAATGTCTAATACAATATAAACACAAAAAATTATTGCAGTGATTTTCAAATTATGGTGTGAAGTAACTTATTCTAAAAGAATAAAAAAAATAATAATAATACATTTGCACACACTCGAACATGGATTAGGAGCCGAAAAATCAAATACTCTAAAGCGGATTCTGAAAAGGAATGTTCCAATATGATTCGTCCGATTTACACTTTATACTTCAATTAACATAGGCTAACTGCTAACATATTATTTTTAGAAATTACATTCACCACCTCCTAGCACTCTGTAAACTTCATACACTCCTACAACAGATTGTTAATATAAGAAATCTACAAATTGGGGGATGGATGTAATTATATAAAAATGAGGGGTTTGTTTGTAAATAGACATTACCTCAAGGACCGGTTGCGATTTATCATTTTTTATTGATCCACTTTTAGGCCCAAACTGAAAATTATTATTAGTAGCCCAAACTTTAGTTGCTCTTATTGGGCCTTCACAATTCAATTTTAAATATATATTTTTCGGAAATATTTTAGTTAAATGCAATTATTTATTTATCAAAAAAATAAAATAAAAATCTAATGAAGTCAATAAATGTTTTTTTGTCAAAATTCGAGCAAGCTGGCATGCCTATTTATTGGTAGTAAATCACTAAATCTACATAAAATCACCACTTATTGCCTATATTTATTGGCAGGAAATCTACATAATCGAAATACTTACTATTGGTACGAAATCTAGATAGTAAAAATATTGCCTATATTATTGGTATTAGATATTAATGCTTATATTATCAACATATCCACACAAATAGACATGTGTCAAGTTGTCAACTAATCCAATTTTGAATCACATTGCCAATAGTTGCTAGCTCGAGCCTATCACACATGGTTAGCCTAGTGTGATTTACGTCGTTAATGTAGCATAGAGACGGAAACGGTGATGTAGGGAAACGGAGAAACGGACACGAGAAACGATATCTCCAAAAACTCAGGATGCGGTAGCTTGGGGCAAACATGTAAATATTAAAATTATAAGGCTATATTTACAAATATGCTACATAAACATATATATATAAATTCTTTTTATATATTTTCACACAAACATATTTAAAATAATTTTACTATCAACTATCAATTTAAAATTGATCAATAAATCGAGTAAATAATTAGAGAAACAATAAATTTTTTTGAAAAATTGCTATTCAAATATGTTTCTAGTTTTTTGGAAATTACAAAATGGGCCATAAGATATCTGACGTGTGTCCTCGAGCGTCCGACACGAAACGTGTCCGAAACGCGGAAACATTAACAAGTTGAAGTTTCCGTGCTACATAACTTCTTTTATATTGTTTGTAAGCTATTATACAAGAGCGTAAGTTTACTCGGTGCATTTATATAATTGGTTGCGTGTTCCTTCCTTTAAAAAAATAAAAACAATAATTGAATTTATTACGCTGCCATTTATAATACTTGGGTCGATTTAGTGGTGTAAACGAGTCGAACCGGGTAGGCCCGACCCATTACTTTTAGGAAGCTTAATAGTAGGCCCATTAATATACTTCTATTTTTCATCTAAAAAAAAGGATATATATTTATTTGATAATATATCATTTTTTGCGTTTTTATGTATGTTTTGAATGCAAAATTAAAAAACAATTTTATATGTAAGGTATTTTAGTATTTTATTCTACTGATAATATGTTCGACCAGTTAATATTTCTTATGGTCGATCATATTGATGAATCAGCTTTGTTTATGCAGCTAAGAAACAATTTGATTCAAGCATGGGTTACGAAAACCGCATGTAAGTACCATTTTTTGAATTCTGATTTGAGGAATTAGGGTTTTTTCAGCTAATCAATTTACGAAAATTCATGGATGTATGTGGAATTATGTTATTAGGGTGTTTTCTTTTGTACGGAATTGGGGGTTTTCTTTTGTATGGATGCCTGTGTGTGAATTGGGGGGTCTTCAAATTTAACTAGGGTTGTTTTACTAATGAATTGGGTTTTTTTTTTCTGCATAGTGAATTCAGGTACCGAGATGAAGATTGTGAGCTATTGATGAATTTCGATGAGGATGAGTCTATCAGATGGGGAAAAGTTTGTAGAGGAAGAAGAAGTGGGAGAAAGACGAGTTGAATTTTAAGGCGAGGAGAAGTGATTTTGAGGTTTGCCTTCGCATCGATATTTTGTATTATCCTTAATTGTTTTTTTCATGGTAGAGTTGGTGAATATGTTGATGAGTTTATGGAAATTTGGTGAAGTTGTGTGGGGTTTGTTGATCATTTATATCATATCTATACGTGCGTATTGAAGGTGGATTCTGTGTTTATGCTCATGGTCACCATGCATGCATTAGTTAGTTTGTTGTCATCGTATTCAAGTCATTCTAGCATATTTTTTTTTATCGGGAAAGAATCTTTCTTTGGACATAATCGATCTTAAAAATAAATTTATCAAATTTGTCCGACACATTACAGTGCATAAACTTCGAAGAAATGCATTTCTCAGTAAAATCGGCTCATTGCATGGCTTACGATGAGCGACAGACGAGCACATAGTATATGACCAAACTTGTATACAATGCTATGTGCTTCGTCTATTAGTCATACCATCTTCAGTCCGCAATAGAATTAGGCATTTCCTTTATTTTTAATATTAAAAAAGTTGCTAATATGATAATGCAAATAATCGAAAGAGTGTCTACTTAATTGATGTATTTTTTTAATTTGAGTTGGATATTATTCGTTGATTTTGCCTCAAAATATATAGGATGATCAAGAGGGTGTGAGAAATACGGATGATGATAATTCATAGATGACGGGGGAGCGGATCCTGCTAGCCGATATGAAGTGACAATGAACAATCTCCAAGTCGCGCTCCACAGGTTTGGATGAGATGTTAGTTATACGGTGTTGTAAATATAAAATGTTTCCATTATATTATATATTTTTGTGATTTCTGTAAATTAAAAAAATGTCATATTCTTTGCTTCTGTGCATTTGCATTCGAAATCATGATGAGGTGGTAAAGTGTCGTGTGCATTACGTAATTGCATTGAGAGTCAGATGTTTTGATGTCGAATTACCGTGATTATTACTCAAATTCGTGTGTAGATAAGAGAGTCAACGAATGAAGTTTTTTTAGGATTAACAAAATGTTATTTACTGTATCACTCTCTTTTTCACATGCTGCACATTTCAGTTAATGTTGTTGACTTTTTTTACACTCGCACTGCCGCAAATTCTTACACCTTTTCCCATTGTAACTGAAATCTGGTCCGCATTCCGCATTGATGCTGCTATTTTTTTTTTCTCTCTCTTGGTCACGTGTCCTCCTATTTACTCCTCTGTCTCTATTACGTGTACATATACACATAATGAATTAAGTCGTATGTATTTTATTTTTCTTGATGAGTTTCTTATTCATAGAAAATATATTTTTTAGTATATTAACCTAAATTACTTTGCATTAATCATCATTTTGACCGATTTTTTGCTAGTAAAAAATGTGGGCTATGAATTTAAAATCCATTGTCAATTGAGTCAATCGAAACAAGCTCAATGAATTTGTTATTGTGGATTTGAAATCCCTCCCTCAAATCCTCCCATCCAAACGCAGCCTTAGAGTTCGCGTGCACCTCTCTCTTTCTCTCCCTCTTTAACAAAATATTTAGACTTTACCAATGAATTTTCAATATCTAAGAAAGATTGTCCGATTATTGTTATCATTCACTTTATTTTGGCCTAGATTTTATCGATTTTCTGCTTTTTTAATTAACATTTATTTCTTTTATCGGGTTTTGAAAAAAAGGAGTCAAGGTAATTAATTGGTTTCTTCGCCGAAATTTCCTGTTTAATCAAAATGTATTCCCACTAATTTTATATATTTTACTGGTCTCTCTATTATATATACCCTCAACCTCTTCCGCTTTAGCTTCACACACCTCACTCTCTCATTCTCTATTCCCCTCTCTCTGATATCGTCATACATCCCATCCCCCCCCCCCCCCCCTCCCCGGCCCTGTATCGTTGGTAAAGAGGCGATTTACATAAATTTACGATGAGTTCCCAATTGAAAAGAAAGGTTGCTTGCTTATTTATTGTCCACATTAACTATCATTAACTTTATTTTGGCCATTGTTCTGTTTTTAGATATTTTCAATTAACATTGCTTTTTGGAGCTTTGAAACCGAGATTAATCTTGCGTTTCAGTTATTTGTCTCTATCATTGATAATCAAAACGTTCGTTATCTTTAAATTACCCACCCCTCTCTATGAGTTGCAGATCGACGCGGAAGTCCTTTTGCATCGCTTATGTTTGTTCATAAGTTCTTAAAATTTGTTTACTTTGGGCTGCACGGCACATTTTAAATCAATTTTTTTTGTAAAGATTCCTTTTTACTATAGAGATTTGGGTGTCAAATTGATTTTATCTCATGCATGTTATGCAGGCTGAAGAACGAGAAGAGGATGAGGAGATTGACGATCTCAATACGGGCAAGAGAAAATTGGAAACCGAGAAATGTACTGGCGGTGTTGCACTAGCAGTTGAGACGTTTTTGGCAGAGCTCGAAGTTGCGGCAGAAGAGGATGCCAAACTGAATCGGCAGAAAAGACCCGCCATAAATAAATTGAAGAACCTATCCCATCTCAAGGCTGGCTTCTCAAAGTTTGTTATTTTTTGTTCTCAATTTGTTCTTCGGTTTTCTCGTATTTCAGTCATTCGTATTGGTTTTAATTTATTTGCATGAGAATTGCTCCTCTGTGTAGGATAAAGCTTCAGTCAGAAATTCTTGATCACGGAGGGTTGTCCGTTCTAAAAACTTGGCTCGAGCCACTCCCCGATGGAAGCTTGCCATGCATCGACGTCCGTGCTACTGTTTTGAACGTCTTGAATGATGTATGGATAGAGAGTCATCGTTTATATGTTTTGATGTATTGTGTAAAATTTCGAAACTTGTTTGGATGTTAATAGTTAGTTTTCCTCCTGCAGATATATATTGATTGGGATGAGAGTGATAGGCGAGAACAATTAAAGAGAAGTGGCATTGGAAAGGTCAGGTTTTGTTTTATTGCAATTAGGGGTGCAAGTTGGAACGGAAGTTCCGATTTTCGCCGGTTCCAATCCGAAAAATTCCGATTTTGGAACGACTTTTTTCATTCCGACTTCCAAAATTCCGATTTCCAAATTTTTCCAATATTTTTGGATTGGAATTGTAATTATATAAAAAAATTGGAATTTCCGATCCGATTTAATTTCCGAAATTAATTCCAAAAAAATTCGATTTTCTTTCTGAAAAATACACCTATAAATAATATATATTATATAATATTTATTTTAATTTTTTTATTTGTTTTCTGAAATAGTAATTTGATTTAAGTTTTGTTTTAGGATTTTGACATATTGAATTGTTGTTATATTAGAAATTATGATGTGGTTTATTTTTATTTATTTTATTGAACTGAAATTTAGTAGTGTAATTTTGTTTTTATCAACGTGGATGAATTGTTTTTGGAAAATTATGAATTTTTCAGAATTTTTTCGCTAATTTTTGAAATTTTGAAACTTATTTAATTTCCGAAATTTCCGGGCCTTTTGGAATTGGAATGAATTTATAGATTCCGAAAACTTTGGAATTGGAATTGAAATTCCAATTTTTTTTGCAAATTTTCCGAAAAGGCTAATTCCGATCTGATCCGTCCGACTTTCACTCCTAATTGCAATAAATGATCTTGTGAACGCATCTATTCTTGTTTCAACTTTTATATAGTAATGGAAGGACTAATATTTGACGGGCCGTGCTATTTTGGACAGGTCGTTATTTTTTTCTCAAAGTCTGATGAGGAAACTAGAGCGAACAGAAAGGTGGCTAAAGAGTTGGTTCACAAATGGGTAATATAATTTGTTCATTTTTCTTTTGTGTACTCGGTACTTCGTTTATTGGTGGACTTGTTAGGGTGAAAGAAAACTTGAAGTTCTTACTTGCAAATAAAGTTTGGATAAGAAATGAAAGTACTAATTTCCACATTTAATGTCACCGTCAATTAGGTATCTTCATTTATTTAGTAACGATTGTTTTCCTAAAGACTTCAAATTCTTCAATGATATCTCAAAACAGGGTCGAATAATTTTCGATAAGAGCACAAGGCTTGAGGAGATGAAAAAGTTCGAGAAGAAACCTGCTAAAAAGTACTTGTTTTTTTTTTTTTTTTTAAATCTTTTTTTCAGCGACTAGGCTGCTCGAATATTCTTTAGTAAACCAATATGCACACTGAGACAGTGTCCTTGTTAATCTTCTACAGGGTGATAAGGAAATCAAAATCAGCAATGACATATGAAAACGAATCATCACAGTAAGATTTTGCATCCTATTTTTTATTTATTTTTTTATTTCCATCATCGTTAGCAAGTTTGGCCAACTATATTTATAATATTTATTTATATATAAAAATTCATAGAGTTATCATCTTAAGTTTAAAATTTATTCTGTTTGTCGATTTGAAGGAGCCAAGATTCTGGCGTGTCATCATCTAGGCCGCATGCATCGAGGCCTGACCCAGCTGCACTGGATTATGCGGTTCGCCCTCAATCGAAGATCGACCCCGTTGAAGTTAGAGCCAGGGTTAAAAACTCTGGACATAATGAACATCGTGCTAAGGTTGAAGTTTGACAATAATTAAGTCTTTTTTGGCCATATTAATATACACATATACCAGAATTTCAACATTTTACTGTTTAAATTCCTTATTCAAAATTTCATTTTATGCGTGCAGCTTAACAAGAAGCTTCAGGAAATGCGAGCACCGAAGCGCAAGCAGCTTCAGGCGACAAAACTGAGCGTGGATGGACGTCGCATGGAGAAGTATACTTAGTTACCTCGCTCGCCATCCGGTCGGGTTTTCTAGCAGTTATCGTATGGTCAACATGGTCAATATGAAGAACATTTTTTTTTTTTCCCTTTTTCTTTTTTTTGGTCTGCCTCCCTGAGGCTCGGCCGGAGCCTCATTATGTTGCTAAACAATGCTCTCTTTGTTGTATTTAACTTCTAAACTATGTTTTTCCTTTCTTGGGTCAATGCTACTTATTTAAAATTATTATTATTATCTTTGAATGCGAGGCCGTACTTCAAACTTTAAATGCATTAAGCTTGCTGTAATTGGTATGATCAGATGTTCGTTTCTTCTTAGTCCAGTATTACGTCAATAATTACCAAACTTCAAATTGAGGGTAAATAGTCGAAGGAATCTGAGGTAAGTTCTGCATTTCTCTATCTCCGTAAAAAAATGGTTTTAGTTGGTGTTTTTTTGGCTTCACCGTATTTCACGGTTCCGTATTAAGTTTCAGGTTGTGATTTTGTTAGGTTCGTCCGTGTTTTCTGCTGCCCTTGTTTAATTGATTTTAGGTAGTATTCGGTCAATAGTTGGTGGTGGTGGTGGTGTTTTGTAATGAATTTCTGGCCCTTGTATTCAGTGGTTTTAGGTGGTGCTTTTGTCCTTCTCCTTATTTTCTGCCTGCTTTTTAACTTGATTTCTAGGTGGTGCTTTTTTGTTTGTTTTCGTCGGTTTCGTTTCTTACGCCATTTTTTCCGGTGCAGTTCCGACCCACCGCTTTGATTTCTGTTGTTGCTTTTGTTTGTTTCCTCGTCCTTGTTTTCTTCGTCTTTCCGTGAAGAATTTTTCGTCTTGCTTTTAAATCACAGCCCATATTCACTTGTCTCCTTAATAAATTTTTGGGTATATATTTCTATTTACCATCAGATATATAGTGCACACTTTGGGTTAATTGGCTTATTGATTTAGACCTGCATATTATGAAATAAATATCAATTCCTTTTAAATTGTTTTCAATTGCACTTAAATCTAGACATGTTCAAGGTTCGAATTGGGTCGATTTATGGGTTTAGGAGTTAGGACTTAGGACCGATAGTTTTATGGTCCGATATCCCGATCCTTAACCGCCCCTTGAAACACACTCGGAGCACCGTTTCAGTTTTTTATATTGGAAAAGAAAAGGAAACCCGATGGTTAACCGCCAGGTTGGAACCATCGGTTGACATGTCCGAGATATGGAACCCTTGACCAACCCTTGAAACACAAAATTCGGTTTCAATTCCGAGCCGTAGAATTGTTGACCCGATTAATTGGTCCGTTGACCATGAGCCGGGCCATGTTAGAGTCCGGGGCTGTGAACATGTCAACTTCAAATGACACGAGAATCCATGAAAAAATAGGTGGTGATGTGCTAAATTTAAAACTAACATCGGTATCGCATGTATATTCCAATTTCAATAAAAAATAAAATAATAATAAATCGGAATTCAGATTAAAAAACAGTGTTCCAAAATTGAAATTTTGGATTGGAATCGGCCGAAATCGGAAATAGCGCTCCAATTTCCACCCATTAATTTTAAATTTATTTTTTTACTAAAGAATTAGGATAAATTACAATCACCCCTAAGGTATGATCAAATTACGAAAACCCCCTCCTGTTTGGGTAATTATAACCACACCCTCAACTATAAATTTTCTTGCACGCCCACCCTTGCGATTTCAAATTTAGTGGAATTTTCGAGATTATATGGAATATTATCACCTTTGTACTCATTTTATCCCATTCGAACTCCACATTTTGAAGCAAAATGATCATAATATGTGTTTTTTGTCTTATGTATATCAGATTGTGGTGCATCAGAAACTGTATTTTTACACAAAATGAAAAACTAGAGCACATTCCACGAAATCTGGATGATTATGTTGATTTTGACTAAGGAAAAATCATAGTTGAAGGGGTAAATGTAATTATCCAAACAAGAAGAGTTTTTTCGTAAATTGACCATACCTCAGGGGGTTGGTTGTAATTTACCCAAATAATTAATTAAAAATAAAAAAAATGAAAAGAAATGCGCACAACGAAGGCCGTCACTTTAGACTGATCGACTACTACCACCGCGTACTGCATCGCCGTCGCCCGCCTTCATTCTGTACCCACCGCCACGTCGATCTCCTCCCGGTAAACACTTCTCCTCCGCCTTCTCCACTTATACATTTATGAAATTTCATTTAACAAGTAGATCAATTACTTCAAATGAAAGTGGATGATTAATTTTATTTGAGCTTAATGTTTTTATTAGATTCACAAGTAGACTAAACCGGCGATTTCAATTTATTTCGCGCCACAGTTGAAAAAAATTACAATCAAGCATCACCGGACTTGAAATTTGCGGAGAAATGGCTGTGTGAGTTTGCATCTTCAATAATTTCTGGTTATTGGTTTCTTATGATGAACGTTGACTCATTCATTGTAACTTGAATTGCTGATTTTAGGGTTGCTTCTGCTCCGGGAAAGGTTTTGATGACTGGTGGATACCTAATTTTGGAGAGGCCGAATGCTGGGATTGTATTGAGTACGAATGCTCGATTTTATGCAATTGTGAAACCACTGTATGAGGAGATTAAACCTGAATTTTGGTTGTGGGTATGCAATGCTGGACTTCAATATAATATTATTGCGTTTTGTTAAAGATGAATGTTGGAATTGCTTTTGGTTTTTCTCCATTTCATTTGCTTCATAATATGCCTTCTTTTGTCCAATTGTTAGGTGTTTGTCTGATATAGTATATTCCAATTTTTATGTGTTTATACTACCATTACGGAGGACTATCGAAAGCAAACTAAATCTAAATTTGCGACATGTTTTAAAGTGCACGTGTTTCTTGGAAGCATGGAAATGTTAGGTTTGTTATATATTAATAATAATCTCCTTTTCCGTGTTTTTTTCTTGCTATTGAATAGATCAGAAATGTCAGCGTACAACTATTATGTATGGAAAATATTTGAGTGCAATTGCAAGCTTTATGTGTGGTTTATCAATACTCGACAATTTTGATCTTTACATGGATGTATTTTATTGACTCAGAAGTCAGAGAGCATATTCGTTCTTAGTTGATTATTAGCAAGCTTCAAGCTGTAAAAGTGATTGACATCTCATTTCCTTCTCTAGCAAATAGTTGTGCTCGTTTGTATTTTATTTAACCCTTGCTACATAATTTTAAATGTTTATCAGGCATGGTCGGATGTGAAATTGACTTCTCCTCAGATGTCAAGAGAAACTACGTACAAATGGTCGCTTAAGCATCTGATGCTTCAGTGCGTCTCCTCAAGGTGAGGATCATTATTTTTCATTATTACCATTTGTGCATGAATCGTGCATGAATTTATATATCATAACATTTGTAGGCGAATTATGAATGAATAACTTAAATTGAATGTCACATTATTTTGTTTGCTTCCACAATTTATCACAAAATACAAACTTTGATCTGCATGGTTCTACTGGCTGAATCAAAATTTTCTGCTCTTTGCTAACTTCAGTGACTCAAGGAACCCGTTTGTGGAATATGCACTTCAATATGCAATAGCGGCAGCACATGCCACATTTGACCAAAATAAGAAGGACGAGTTGCAAAAAATTTTGTTGCGAGGTCATCATTGATACTGAGCTTCTAGTCTTTCTTTCTTTTCTTTCCTTCTTTTTAAGGAGCTGAAGTATAGAAACTTTAACGTTTATTCTGGATTGGTCGTGCAGGTCTTGATATTACAATATTAGGTTGCAATGAGTTTTATTCATATAGGAATCAGGTAATCTACCTCCATGGTCTACTGGAAAATTTTCCTGATGTTTTAGTATTGTCATAGTCTCACCCCGAAAGGTTAATTAGTCAAAATTGAAGGCCTGGTTCTCATATTCGAATTTCATCTCAGTGCTCTCATTAATGATTTGAATATTAAAAAAATTATGTTCTCACATCGGTGAAGCATTTCAAAGATGTATTTTCATCCGTCTATATGACGCCTTTTACGATAATGAGAAGTATTGAGTTTCAAAATAGCACGCAATATCAGCTTTGTAGACAAAGAAGGGGAATTATTAATAAATCGAAGCAGTGTTTTTGTTTATTTGGTATTCTACTGGTGTTTTCTTTTTTCCCCTAATTAGAATGTCTTTTGCAAATCGTATGGTTTTATGAATATGATACTGTAAGGCATGATAAGCCTGGTACAAAAGATTCACTGGCTGCAGATGTTGCATGGAATTCAAATTATATGTCAGAACAGATGGACAAATATATGTTTCATGTACAAACAGTTCATAAAATTGGTTTCCGTTCCCTATGCAGTTAAACATTCTGTTTTACCATCGAATGGAATCCACATAAGACATGTATACATGTGTTTGTATATATATGTGTAGTATCGACGATTTCTGTATAATTTGATAGAAAAATGTCATGTTCTGCAGATTGAAGCACGAGGGCTTCCGTTGACTCCAGAGTCATTAGCTTCCCTCCCACCTTTTACTTCCATTGCATTCAATGCAGAAGAATCAGGAGAGAAGAATTGCAAGCCTGAAGTTGCCAAAACTGGATTAGGTTCATCAGCAGCTATGACAACTGCTGTTGTCGCTGCTTTACTTCATTACTTTGGAGTAGTCAATCTTCCCTCTATGGCCAATGGTCATGTTCAAGGGAATGAAGGGGCTGAAGCGTTGGATGTTGTTCATATCATTGCTCAAACTGCTCATTGTATTGCACAGGGTAAAGTAGGCAGCGGATTTGACGTGAGTTCTGCTGTTTATGGCAGTCATCGGTACATTAGATTTTCACCGGAAGTACTTTCTTCTGCTCAGGTAATGTGTCTCTCTTTGTTCCATTCTGCCAAGTTCTGATTTCTTAATGACTGTGGTATCTCGGGGAATAGTTCTGTATGCTTCTATATTGAATCCTTAATTGAAGCAGCTAATAAATGATCACTAATCGGGATAAAGAAAGACATAAAAAGTTGGATTTTTTCTACAAAAGTGTGTCCTTTCTTCTATTTGCTGAGCTGGCTTAAGATGATTGCTATTAGACTATTCGTATATGTTGTTTGGTAAATTGACACGCTATTTGGTTACAGGGTGCTGTTCAAGGAATGTTGATAGAAGATGTCATAGGTGATGTTCTAAAATCCAATTGGGATCACGAGAGGACTAATTTTTCGTTGCCTCCATTAATGACTCTAGTAAGTCCAGATTTGGGTGGTTTTTTTTTCATCTACTTGTGTAAAAAACCATGGTTTTCAATCTCACTGTTTTATCAACTGGTTTTCAAGCTAACTGTTGTTTCAAAAGGGGACAACTATATATGGTTCTTCTACCTCTTACACGAAAATCAACAGAAATGACTTCTCGATGAAAACTTAACTATACAAGCTATAACCATTTCAACTTAATGTTGTGCTGCAACTTTTCTAACTAATCATGCAATTTTTTCATCCTCATGTTTTTGAATTCAACAGTTCCTTACTTCCTTAGCTAGTTAACTTTCAATTGCCGAGTCCCTTCATAGAATCAGTTACCGAGCTGAAAGGAAAACAAGCAGGCTCTACCCAATCCAGAAGTAATGGAGCTTGAAAGTGAACTTGGAAACCATGTTGTATAGCGTGAAAAGCTCCTTATTTCCCTATGATTTGGTCCCAAAGTATGCGCAAAACGAACACTCACCATCCCAAATTCTTTTAATTCCTCTCATATGATACAGATTGCCCTGCTTCACATCTTATCTCCATCCTCACCCACCCAAAAATAGAAAAGAAAAACAAACATACCAAAGAGCACATCCAACTGGAAATGAAGTTATCGGGATCTTTTTGTAGTTTTGTTACTATCGAGTACATGCTTTCTTTCTTAAATTTGCTAGAATTGAACTTATTTGCAGTTACTAGGAGAACCAGGAACGGGTGGTTCATCAACACCATCAATGGTTGGTGCTGTAAAGCTGTGGCAAAAGGCTGATCCGCAAAACTCTCTCGAAACATGGAAAAAATTGTCTGAAGCAAATTCCGCCCTTGAATTCCACTTTAACAACTTAAGCAAATTGGCAGAAAACAATTTTGATGCTTATAGAAATGCCATCAACAGCTGCAGCAAGCTGACATCAGAAAAGGTATCCATTCCCATATTTCCTGATCTATTTAACAGCTGCCGAAGTGACTTTCTTTTTATCTCAGTAATGATCTCTGACAAATACTTCGACTGATTTGTAACTTTACAGTGGACTGAAGGAGCCACTGAACCAAACCAAACAGAAGTTATTAAATCACTATTAGGAGCTAGAAATGCCATGCTCGAGATCAGGTCTAACATGCGGAAGATGGGAGAGGCCGCCGCAATTCCTGTACGTTTTTTTCCATGTCAGCGAAAGCTTCCTTTTTCCTTACTCGCATGTTAATTGCTTACAAAGATTGCAAATCAATATTTTTAACTTGCTTGCTCTAAATCCCAAAGTAAAGTTGTAAAAGTCCGATGCATTATGATCCTTGTATCTGTTTGAACGAGTTCTTCTCATATATGCCTTTTTGCAGATAGAACCTGAATCACAAACTCAACTGCTAGATACCACAATGAATATGGAAGGAGTTCTATTGGCTGGTGTACCTGGTGCAGGTGGGTTTGATGCTGTCTTTGCTGTCACCTTGGGTGATGTTAGCAGCAATGTGATCCAAGTCTGGAGTTCACTCAATGTTCTTGCCTTGCTAGTGAGAGAAGATCCTCGTGGGGTTCGTTTAGAAGACAACGATCCACGAGCAACACAAGTTACAGCTGGCATTTCTTCGATTCGCATCGAATGAAAATCCTTTTTTTCCATTATTTTTTGCCGTCAAAGTTCAGGTAGAAAAATTTGTAATTTTTAAGGTCTCAAAAGGGACACCTATTCTTGAGCAAGAAAACAGTCAATAAACAAAAATATCTGTTGTAATATCAGACATTGTATCTTTCGAAATTTAATTCAGTGTTGGACATACAAAAAGTACTTGAATGCATTAATATACAGGTAACTGTCATTTTCTTCGGAGAAAAGATTGACATGCGGCGGTATCTTGAAAAAGAAAAAGAAACGTATATATATATTCACCAGTAGTCTTTACAAGAGCAGTTTCCATCTCTAAAATGGTGGAATATATTCCGATCCCTAACAATAATTTCCCGTTCGTAAATTGTTGAAATGAGTTTAGTGTACGTGTGACAGTCGCTACACATCCTAACGTTTCTCACTATTCTTACAGGACTCCCCTCAGATGTATTGATCAGCGAAAACGCAATAGCCAGCTTCTGACTATGAGAACTCAGCCTCTGCCTCTTCTCTTCCTCACTAACATCAAACAACACCTGTGAAGTATCTGCAGAATATCCCTCGAATTTCAACTGCCACTCCATCTGGTGAAGCATCTCATATATTTCGTCACACTGAGAATGAGAAGTATCGCTCGAGACAAATTTATGAACCTTTCTCTTGACTTCAACGGAGCTCGATCCTGGCTCTTGGCCTAGCCCATTACTAGCCATTTTAACTCGGGTAATCGACATTTCTTCCCATCTTCGAGCTTGTGCGTATATATTACAGAGATTTAAATAGTCGCCTGCGTTTCGTGTGTTCATTTTGAACAGGTTTTCAGCTGCTAATTCCCCCAACTCCACATTCTGATGAACCCTGCAAGAACTGAGAAGGCTCCGCCATATAACCTCGTTCGGCTCGATTTTCATGTTCTTGATGAACTCGAGAGCTTCACGGATCAACCCGGCCCTACCCATGAGATCAACCATGCAGCCGCAGTGCTGGATAGTCGGCTCTACCCGATGCTCGATTCTCATTCTGTCGAAATATTTCTTACCCTCTTCGACTAATCCTGCGTGGCTACAAGCACTCAAGACGCCCACATACGCAACATCATCCGGCTTCAATCCTCGTTCGAGCATTTCGTCGAACACCTTCAGAGCTTCCTCGCCGTGCCCGTGAGTTGCCAGCCCCGAGATCACCACACTGTAAGACTTGCGATTCTTCTTCTCCCCCATCTCTAGAAACAGAGACATCCCTTTATCCAGGCTCCCACTTCTTACATACATATCCATTAACGAAGTTTGAACTGCAACGTTGAATCCAGTCAAGTTCCGAATTAGATAGCCATGCGTGCATCTCCCAGAATCGAGAACACCTAAACGAGTGCAAGCAGAAAGTACACTCACCAAAGTACTCTCCTCAGCTCTCCATTTTCCCTCCCAATTCATGTCGGAGAACAACCTCAGACACTCTTTCCACATGCCTAAATTCGCATGTGCTGCAATAAGTGCACTCCAAGAAGCAATTGTCTTATGATCCATCCGTCTGAAAACCGCACAAGAACGCTTCACTCTGCCGCATTTTCCGTACACGTTGATCAAACTGTTCTGCACCATCACATCTTCAACAAATCCCATCTTGTAAATCTGCCCATGAATTTGTGCTCCCTCCGCAAATGCCGATAAAATCGAGCACGCCTTGAGAAGAGGAGGATACGTGAAGTTATCCGGCTCCACCCCAAATTCGAGCATTTCAAGATATGTGAAAAACGCCTCTTCCGAGTTCATATCCTTTACGTACCCTCTGATCATGGTATTGAACTCGAACGAATCCGGATCATCCATCTGCCGGAAAATCGAGCACGCGTAATCCATGCTCCCCCATTCCGAGAGCGCACACGTCGCGAGGAGATTGCTCGCGCAAAACGAGCTCCAAAACAATCCCAACTTGAGGATTTTTCCATGGACTTTCTTGAATTCATCCATGCTCCTGCATGTTTTAACGAGGGAGATGCATTCTTGTTCCTTGACACCGAAATCGATTTCCGGGTTTTTTCCATGGTTGTCTTTCGGTATCGAGAACTGATGGGGCTGATTTGGGATTGATGCCACTACCATAATGGCGGTTTTACTACATCATCGGATGTTCAACTGTCACAATCAACGTTGAAACTATGAAGCAGAAAGATTGGGTAATTAAACCATAGTACAGTGTCTGAGGTTTTGGAAATTTAGATTATATTTTTTTTAGAAACATTTTGTTACAGGGAAATTAATTATTCGATCGAGGAAGATGGAGGTGTCATCACCAAGAGATTTGGAATGGAAATTTCAGCCAGAAAAAGTTCCAGGTCAGGTATTTGCAGATATTTTCGTGGATAAAGATAATGTTTGCAGTACAAGGATATGGGCTCCATTTACCTGTTTAAATTTTACAATAAAATAATAGATTTTAAATTATTGAATTAATTATTTCATTATATTAACCACATACAAACTCGTTTTAAATACAATTTTTTTTAAATATTAATGTATGAATTCTATGAAAGGTTTGCATAATGTAAGTTTGATGAGATTAAAGAAACACAAATTTAATTATAGCTATTCAAAGTTTTTTTGATTTTTTATCGAAATTTTAAAGTTGTGTTTAAGATTGTCTGTTAAGCAATCGAGTCGAGTTTTAATTGAGCTGAACACAAATCGATCTCTTTCTCACCTTTTTCAGTTTCAAACTCATGAGTCGCAAAACTATTAGTCAATAATTATAATAACAGTTAATTAATTAAACGAAAATTTCAATCGAAATACTTTCCATGAAAATTCACCGCATGCAACATTGCAATGTTAGAGACCTCCCCATAGACAAAAAAATGCTTCCATTTAAATATATGACGTGTGCGAGGTTTTTAATCAAAAATATATATATTTATTTATCTAATTTTATCATCTTGATATTATTATAAAATAGTTCTTAAATAAAAAATATTATTAAATTATTTTATATGAAAATGTTACTAAGTTAAAAATAGTTGTTTTCATGAAACAGAAAATAAAATTTTATATTTTAAAATAAAAGTTAATTTATTAAGCTCAAGGGGGTATTTGATGCAATGAATTACTTTAGGGGGTTATTTGATAATTTTCAAAAGTTCGGGTGGTATTTCATGCATATGGTAATATTTAGGGGTGCGAAATGTATTCCAGCCTAATATATATGAAGGGTAAATTCCACTTTCCCCCCATGTACTTTGGCTCGGTATTACTTTACCCCTCATACTATTGATTGCATCGATTTACCACCATGCACTTGAAAATTTGTCTCAATGTGACCCTCGTTGTTAGTTGTCAGACATTTGACCTTAACATCATTTGATCTAAGCTCTGAAACTACCAAAACGCCACATCTCCGAATTTAAATAATTATTAAAAATAATAATAAAAAAAAATACGAAAAAAAAACAAAAAATAAAATAATAAAAAATTCAAGACAATGAGAAAACATAGTCCACGACGACAACTACAGTTTATCTTTTATTTTTCTTAATAATTATTTAAACTGGTAGATGCGACTTTATTGAAATTTTTAAACTTAGATCCAATAGTGTTAAGGTCAAAAGTCTGAAGACTAACGATGAGGGCCACATGGAGACATTTTTTCAAGTACATGGGGCAAATCGATGCAATTGAGATTAGAAGGGGTAAAGTGATATCGAAAAGACATCAATAGCCTTGGGATTTGTCATGTCACATGTGCAACACATTTGGGTTGAGAATCGGTCATTTTGACCCGAAAACAAGCAAAAAAATGGCTAAGTGACACAACTAATTGAGTACAGGTGAACTCGTGAATTTCGTTTTTTTTTTTGTTAAGGACCTAAGGTGGTGATTCGCAATGTCAATATGCACCCGTGCGCTTCGGAAGCATACCTGTTTCTAATGCATTGAAAAACCGGTTACTTATGATTTTGTTCGGATGATATATCTCTTCCTTATCGGTTATCAACGTTCCTCTAACATCAACAATCAACGGAAAACATAGGTTGCGGATTTGTTGATTGTTTCTTTCGCCTTAAGCTTCATTTTCTTTTTTTTTTTTCCCGAAACGGTCATTTCTGCAATTATAATTTTCCGAAAAAAATGAAATAAAAGTTGCACGCTGCTCCAAACAAAACGAAAAACTATCTAAAAAGAGCACCCTAAGCAAACACATACGTTGAGATCCGACATCGGAAACATAACATAGTACATAGTACATGCATAAATATGGGCAAGAATTATATTATCAAATATAATAAACAAGAAATCCAGATTAAAACATGAGAATTTTTTTTTTCACAAGCTAAAAAAAAAAAAAAAACAAACAAAAACCTAAGCATATCAGACTATACCAAGCTATTCTTATGAACATTAAATAAATACTCATGAGAATTGAGTTCCAACTCAAGGGATTCGATTTCTTGTGTACGCACATTGTAGAAAACGCAAACTGGAGATAAAAAAACTTCCAAGGCCAACACTTTCTCCTTTAACCAACCGATTGGTGAGACGTCTTCCCATACCAAATTTACGAATTTGCCCTTTAGAGGTTCCAAGTCAATCTTGGGCATCTTAGTCCATTCCCCCGTTTCTGGTTTCATCTTCAAAACCTCCCATGAAAACTCGCCGCACTCGACGAGCAAAGTCAGACAACTCCCCATTGACAAATACCTGAATCTCTTCTCGTAACCTCGAGGAACAGGCGTCTCTGTAATAATTTCAGTCTCTACATTCAAATTCGCAACGCAAGTTCGATCACTGCGAGTCCAGTGAATAAAACCTTGACTACTCAAACAACGATCGATATCCAAGTGTTTGATATCGACACGCCTCCAAGAGTTATCGACTCCCACAGTCAGTATAACGCAACTGTCTATTCCTGAAGGCTCGAATATGTAAAAACCCATGACGACCACTTTATACTGATTCGACGCCTCGGCGTATGCTATCATGGGATGATAAGCAATGTCAGGTCGAAGATAAATCGAAGGGAGGCCAAAGATTTCACATTTTACGGGATTCACAATAGATAGATTGTAATAGTCCTCGGTTTCCACGCACTCCAATATCAAACCATTACAACTACCCCAAACTCTTCCTACGGTCCCGTAGCTGAATTTCGATACCTCAACCGAGCCTCGTCCCGGTAACAGAAAACGTTTATTGATTGGTTGGGGAGAATCGTGGTTGTCGATTAAATGCACGAGAAGTCCAGGAGTTGAATGCTGAAGGTGCTTGTATACGAAGTTACGGCTATGGATCGCGTTGTACCATTTCTTGCAAACGAGAACTGCCGTCTCGTAAATATCTTCGGCCGGGAGATGTAGAAGAATCTCGAAAACCAAATCTTCGGGAAGAGACTCTATGTGCGATAAAATCCTCCTTCTTTTACTCCCCCAAAACATCTGGATATGAAATACAAGCGCTTACAAGTATTAGACGCAACCATTTCAGTATTTCGATCAACTACACCTTGCGGAAAAAATGGGTAAATTGCACATCACCCCCTCAAAGTTTCTAATTTTTGCACTTTACCTCCTCAAAATTTTAAAAAGTTAATGTCCCCCTTCAAAATATTATTCTTGTTGTACATTGCTCCGATAGCAAAATTTCAATAGAATTATTCATTGATATTGAGTATTTTCGTTGCATGTTGCCCCTTTATATGTTATCTTTGTTGCACGTAACCCCCTTAAAAACACTATCTTTTTGCAAATTGCCCCTCTAAAATGCTATTTTTATTGCACAATGTCAACTAAAAATTGGCTTTTGTGGCAAAGTGCAACCAAAATAATATTTTGAAGGGTGATTATCCAGTTTTTGTGCGAAAATGGGAAATTTGTAGGGGGTGAAGTGCATTTTGTCCTATAAAAATTGAATCTTTAGCAAATTTCTTCAACTATTGTTGTCAAACTATTATTTCCTTGACATTTGCAGAAATAATAAGGGTAACTATTAACAAATTAAAATTTCCCCTTAGGCATCTTCTGCATATGAAACACAAGTCCCTCTGTAATAACATCAGTACTTTAAACCTAGAAATTCTAACTATTTATTTATTCAAAAAAAATTATTTTAATTCACAAAAATGGCAGAGAAAAATTCAAATTTTATACACATGTAACTGTTCATTTTTTATGTGCATAAGAAAAAAAAAAGGTACATACGAAGGTACCTTTGAGTTTGCTTCTTCGTAATTTGCCATCAGATTAAGATCGATGTTCAATTGGATCCGTCACTGACGGCTGAGGGCAGAGGCGGAGGAGGAGGAGGAGGCGGAGGAGGAGGCGGACTGACGGTTGTTTTGGTTTATTCACAAATGGGGCTTTGTTAGAGCAACTCCAACGGGTTATTAAATGGGTTATCAAATCCCTTAACCTCCATTTGACTCCCCAATTTTAAAAACTCTCTCCTCCAATGGGGTTATTAAAATAGGGTTCTATTTTGATAACTCATCATTCGGGCAGTAAAAATACATCCCAAAGAAATAGTTATCAAATATTCTCCTAAGAAATAGGAGCACATGAAAAAAGAAAAACCTCAACATAATTGAGTTTTCTTTTCTTTACGTAAAAATCTCAACGGAATAAAATTAAATTCTCTACGTCTTCAACAAATTTCCACTGGAAAAAAAATCTCAATAGAATAAAATTAAATTATGCACGCCTTCAACATATTTTTTTTTTCTTTCTCTAGAGCTTCAACAAAGTTTACGGAAAAAAAATCTCTATTTATATATATATTTTTTTTCTATTGAAAAGGTAAAAAATTGATTAATATTGATTTTGACATAGTTTACCAAAAAAATCAATTTGTATGATTATTTAAAATGGATTGAAAAATAAATAATATATAAATAATAATAAATTTGTTTGATAATTGTTTTTTGATACTTGTGGTTGGAGTTCACTAGTTGTATAGAGATATCAAAGTATAATCCTGGTTATCAATGAGTATTTGATAATCCCATTTGATAACAATGGGTTGGAGTTGCTCTTAAGGCTTTAAATTTGCTTGCTTCTGATTAATCTTTATGCGGGGAATTACAGTTTTTATCCCTTAAATGTTTACCAATTTCACATTTGGTCCTCATGTTCACAAAAAACACATTCGGTCCCCATGTTCCAATAATTTACATTTTTAGTCATTTCTGTCAATTTACCGTTAGTCATTTATTTAAGTCAATGGTGGACACACGCTTGATTCCATTAGTTTTAACGGGGAATTGACGAAAAAAGCTAAAAATGTTAAATTTTTGCAACATAAGGGACCAAATGTGAAATTGGTGCAAACTTGAGGGACAAAAACTGTATTTTTCCCAATAAATATATGTTCAAAATCTTGCATGTGTCATATTTAGGTGGTGTTGGCAAATGCTCTTTGAAAGTGATTATGCGGTTTTTTTCTTCTCATAATCTGTTTTTAGGTGTTTGCAAAATCAACTTTTGCTTTTGCTTCTCTTAAAATAATCTGTTTTAAGCTATTTTTTTAAAAACACCCCTAACCCTGATTTTTCAATTTTAGTTCATTTTCCGAAATATTTGCAAACACCCCCAACTTTTAGAAATAAGCACTTAAAACTAACTTAAATCACAATCACTAACTTCTGCTTTTAAATAATCATTTGCAAACACCACCTTAAATAGCTGACGTCGTGTTATCAGATGGGCCTAAGGATAATTCAGAATTCAGAAGCATAGTTTAGTTACTTTAAGCCCGTAATAAAGCTCGATTGGTGCTTATCAAGCCCGATTAGTTTTAGATGGATCAATCAAAAGAAGATTAGTAGTCATGAAATAAATAATTATTTAATTTAGGGTAAATTCCACTTCCCCTGTACTTTGGTTCGGTATCACCTTACCCTATTTTACTCTCGATTGCAACGATTTGTCTTTGCACTTGAAAAATTATCCCTATGTGGTACTCGCTATTAGTTGTCAGACATTTGATCATAAAACTATTTGGTCTAAGCTCTGAAATTACAAAAAACGCCACCCCTATCAGTTTAAATAATTATTAAAAAACAAAAAAAAAAGAATAAACAAAAAAAACAAATAAAATAATTTCAAGACAACGAGAAAGCATAGTCCATGATGGCAAGTCGGCAACCATTTTTTTTTTCTTTTTATAATTATTTAAACTGGGAGGAGTGACTCTTTTGTAATTTTCAGACCTTAGACCAAACGGTGTTAAAGTCAAATGTCTGAAACTAACGGCGATGGCCTTATTGAGACAATTTTTCAAGTACAGTGGGTAAATCAGGGGCGGAACCAGGATGAAAATGCAGGGGGGCTAGCTAAAATTTCGGGGTTCACAAGACATTGCAAAAATAAGTTTATATTGATATGTTTTAATTAAAATGTCATATATATTATAATTTTATCGTATTTTAAGCATGACAAAAAATTCTAAATTAATTAAAATTATTCTAATAATGTATAATATCGTACTTAATATTTGGGGATTCATGGCATCGTCTCATATTAATTTTTAGAGTTATTGATAAAAAAAATTCAAAAATATGTAAATATTCATAAATATTATTTAAAATAATACAAGTTTTCACCATTTTATTTAATATTTTTATATTAAATATATATATTTGCAAAAACTTTAGGGGGGCAAAAGTAATATTCAAAAAATATAGTGCCAAAATACCGACAAATTTTTTTTTTTTTTAATCTTGGGGTCTCAACAGCCCCCCCTAGCCCTTTGTAAGTTCCGCCTATGGGGTAAATCGATGATGCAATCGAGAGTAGAAGGAGGTAAAGTGATATTGAACAAAAATAGAAGGGGGGAAATAAAATTTAACCTGTAATTTATTAAGCCGCCGTTCTGTTATGGCATATGCTGAGGTTTCCAAGTTGTATAAAGTGGTCTTCATCTATGTTAGGAGTTTTCACTCTTCAATCATACATTTTCTTTTTGAGTAAATTCAAGTCCATTACAAAGAGAAGTAGGGGAGGGGGGACTCGAACCCTAGACCGTTACCCTATTGGTAAAGATTATGTACCAACCCTCGTAATGAGGGTTGGTACTCTTCAATCATACTAAAGAGTGACGCCGACGGTCAATACAACACTCTTCAATCATACTGAAGAGTGTTGTATTGACCGTCGGCGTCGGCATCGACATGTCTTGGAGGGAACTTGATATTAAACACTCTTACTCTAGTTTTACATTGACTACCGATGGTTTTTATTCTGGCCATGTTTTGACTTTGAACGCAAAGACTGAAACTATTATAGAGACTCCAATATCTGATGGTTATGGAAAAAGAATGAATTATGTATCAAAGGGCAACTCTCTAAAAATATTCACTGCATGCAGTGAATATTCATGGGAGGTTTTGAAGATGAAGTCAGAAACGGGAGAGTTGACTAAGGTTGCCAAGATTGACTAGGAAGCCCGATTGTCTGAATTTGAACATTTGGTCCCTAAATCCCTTGTCTACGTTGCCCGAGATCTACCACGTCTTAGACCCGTTGGTTGGTTTAATTATCCGGAGCTGTTGCTAGGTTTTAGCGAGTTGTGGCTTGTGGATTTTTCTAAAGTATTAGATTGCACAAATTTCACATTTGGTCTCTCATGTTAAAAAAAAAACACATTTTGGTCCCCCATGTTTCAAAAATTCAACACTTTTAGTCATTTCCATAAATTTTCCGTTATTACTAACGGAATCAAGTGTGTGCCCATCACTGCGAGTTAACAGTATAATGACGAAAATCACAAAAAATATTAAATTATTGAAATATGAGGGACCAAATGTAAAATTTGTGGCTTGTGGAATTTTCTTCTCAAGTTTTCATCTCTTAGCTACTTGTGAGTTTGTGCGTTATTAGCACTCATAAAATCAACAGGTGTTGACTGCCTAACCCATGAAGAGAGATTGGACTCAATAGACTTGAAGTATCTGCCGGCTATGTAGCACGAAAACTTCAATTTTTTAATGTTCCCACGTTTCGGACACATTTCGTATCGGAAACTCGAAAAGACATCTGTTGTATAGTTTAATAATTAATCACTAGCAACCATACTATGCATAAGGGATTATTTTTCCTAGTAACAAATAAAATGGAATACGAGGAAGAGGATTTTTTTCACGTACTCTTCCTAAAAATGGAATTTTGTATTCTGAGAAGAGGTGTCACATGTGTTGAATGTAAATTCCGATGCTTTTTCTTGGTCGACTTTTAAACTTTGTAATAAAAGAAAAAAAAAAATCCGGAGGTAAAACCGTGAAAATAACGCATTGAATGATTGTGGTCGGATGATATTATCTCTTTATCAACGTTCCCCTAACATTAACAATCAACGGAAAGCATAAGTTGCGGATTTGTTGATTGTTTCGCCTTAAGATTGATTGTTTACGAACCAACCAACCAGTCTGAGATGGGAGTTACGAGATTTACAGATCAGGTTCCATTTCAATATTTGACATTTTAGTCCATTCTCCGGTTTCCGATATCATCTTCAAAACCTAATTTAAAAAAAAAAGAACAAATTCTGGTGGGAAAGCAACCTACTACCTTACCTATCTATCAATTATTTTTTTCTAAAGAATTCGCGCAAATTACTCTTCATACTAATGGGTAAATCAGTGTCACCCCCTGAGGTAAGGTCAAATTACGAAAAAATCCCTTATGTTTGGGTAATTACAATCTCTCCTCTTTTACATGTTCATCCTTGCGGTGTCAAATTTAGTGGAATCTTTTAGATTATGTGGAATATTCTCCAGTTTGTACTCATTTTAACCCATTCGAGCTGCACATTTTCAGACAAGATGATCATAAGATGTGTCGCCTGGTTTGTAAACATCATATTGTGGTGCATCAGAAACTGTATTTTTGCACAAAACAAGTACCAACTAGAGAACTGGAATTCAAGAAGATTGTGTTGAAGTTGACACCATAAGCGTGGACGTGCAAGAAGATTCACAATTGAGGGGTAGTTATAGTTAAACAAACATAAATTTTTTTTTCTTCCATAATTTGACCTTACATCAGGATGACCGTAATTTAACCAGGTACAAGTAGATAAACTTTTCTAATGATCCTTTTAACACTAGTAATGCAGTTGAAAATTGAAATTTACCATACCAAGCTGTCCCTATGAACATTAAAGAAATAATCATTCGAAGGACGTTCCAACTCAAGGGATTCGATTTCTTGTGTACGCACATTGTAGAGAACGCAAACCGGAGGTGAAAAAATCCGCAAGGCCAACATTTTCTCGTTCAAAGACGCATTTCCATACCAAATTTACGAATTTGCCCTTTAGAGGTTCCAAGTCAATCTTGGGCATCCTAGTCCATTCTCCCGTTTCTGGTTTCATCTTCAAAACCTCCAACGAAAACTCATCGCACTCAACGAGCAATGTCAGACAACTCCCCATTGACAAATAATACTTGAATCTCTTTTCATAACCCTGAGGGATACGAGTCTCTGTAATAATTTCAGTCTCTACGTTCAGATTCGCAATGCAAGTGCCTTCACTGCGAGTCGTGCCTTCACTGCGAGTCCAGTGAATAAAACATTGAGTACTCAAACATCGATCGATATCCAAGTGTTTGGTATCGACACGCCTCCAAGACTTATCAACTCCCAGAGTCAGTATAACGCAACTCTCTATTCCTGTAGGCTCGAACTTGCAAAAACCCATGACGACCACTTTATACCGATTCGAACCCTCGGCGTACGCTATCATGGGATCATAAGCAATGTCGAATTCAGGAGAAATCGAAGGGAGATCAAATATTTCAAATCTTACGGGATTCACTATAGAAAGATTGTAACGGTCCTCGGTTTCCAAACACTCCAGTATCAAACCATTACAACTACCCAAAACTCTTCCCGTGGTACTGTAACTGAAATTCGATACCTCAACCGAGCCTCGTCCCATTGGCAGAAATCGTTTAATATTATTTAACTGGTGAAAACCATAATCGCGACCGCGATCGAGATCGTGATCAATTAACTGCGCGAGAAGTACAGGAGTTGAATGCTGAAGGTGTTTGTGTACGAAGTTACGGCTATGGATCGCATTGTGCCATTTCTTGCAAACAAGAATTGCCGTCTTGTAAATATCTTCGGCCGGGAGACTTAGAAGAATCTCGAACACCAAATCTTCGGGAAGAGACCCTATATTTGTTGAAGTCCTCTTGCTCTTACTTCCCCAAAACATCTGCATATGATTACAAGTCCCTCTGTAATAACACTAACACTAGTATAAAATTGTAAACCTATAAATTGTTATTATTTATTTATTCAAAAAATATTATATGTTAATGTGCACTAAAAAATGGCCGCATATAACCCTGTACTATGAAATGCGACAAAACAACTCCTGCCGTTCATCTATGTTACAAAAATTGCCCTTTCAATAGTTCTTGGAAAATTTCTGACCAAAATACCCCTTTGATTGTGTATAAAAGGTGTGCATCATTCTTCACTCATTTGTACTCAATTTCTTCCTAATTTTCGTTCCCAACCCTTTTTTTAAACAAAAAATTCTGAACAAATCTTATATTCTAGATTTTTTTTTTAATTTCTTTTTAAATGTATAAATAAATTACTCTGTTTAAAAATGTCTTCTGGCAGTTCAAATTCTCAAAATTCATGTTTTAGATCCAAACACTACATGTCATATTTTTCCGGAACCACTTTTGTTTTTATGCACGTGTTCGATTTTTTTTTTTGCCATTGAATTTCTATCAAATAAGAATATGCGTAAAAAGGTAACTACACTGCAAAAACTAATACCGTTAGAGTTGACTGGTAAGCTGAGGGGCTGTTGCTGTTTTGTCGCATTTCATAGTACGTGGGATATATGTCACAGTAACGATAGTACAGGGGTGCAAATTGTATTTAATCCCAAAAAAAAAAAAGTATTATGCGAAATTACCTTTGAATTTCTTCCTTATATCAGAGTAAGAACAATGTTCAACTTTGGGTCCATCACCGGCGGCTGAGGGAGGAGGAGGGCGGAGGCGGTGGCCGACTGACGACTTCTTTTCTTCTGATTTATCAAACGCATATTGGGCTCTATTATGGGCTTCATTGAAGATACGTATCTTTAGATTTGGGAAAGGAAATATTGACAAAGCCGAAAGTTGCTGAAAATCTGGAGAATTGATTTTAATTTTTAGGGTAAATTACAACCACCCTGAGGTATGGTTAAATTACGAAAACCCCCTATTGTTTGGGTAATTACAATTATCCCTCAAATATAAAGCTTCTTACACGTCCACCCTTGCGGTTTCAAATTTAGTGTAATCTTCGAGATTATATAGAATATTATCACTTTTGTACCCGTTTTATCCCATTCAAACTCTACATTTTGAAGCAAGATGATCATAATATTTCTGTTTTTTTGCTTTTATATATCAGATTGTGGTGCATCGTAAACTGTATTTTTACACAAAACGAGTACAAACTAGAGCACAGTCCACGAAATCTAGATGATTATGTTGAATTTGACACCATAAGGGTGGATGTGTAAGAAAAAATCATAGTTAAGGGGTAGATGTCATTATCTAAACAAGAAGAGCTTTTTTCATAAATTAACCATACCTCAGGGTGGTTATAATTTACCCATATATATATATATATATGAAGTGATAAAGAGAATATGAAAAATGGGTCTTTTATAATTCAATTTCCAGCCAGCATATTTACATGTCATTTTTTATAACTCAATTTCAAGAAAATATATTTTATAACTCAATTTCCAGCAACTATAATATATTTTATAACTCAATTTCCAGCAACTATATTTGCATGTCATGAGGTGTGTAGTGTGATGCGAAAAAACCCAAACCATACTAAGCTATTTCTAGGAACTCCATAGTTGTGATAATGTTAAATTACGAAAAAATCCCTTATAGTTGTGATAATCTCAAATTACGAAAAAATATCTGATGAAAATCAATTCCTTGGCATTGTAGAGAATGCAAACATGAGATGCAGAAATATGCAACCTCATTCAAACACCCACGCCAGAAAACGAGCAAAGATAGAGATGTTCCCGCATACGTAAATAGATACAATTAATTAACATGTAGAGAATTAATGTACTCCCAATCTAATCCAAATTAAAAATTCCACAAGCAACCATTGCCTAATACTTTAACCATAATAAGCTATTTCTATGAGCTCCATAGTTGTAACAACTAGAATCGCGATCTAACTCAAACAAGTCGATTTCTTGTGTACGGACATTGTAGAGAAACCAACCCCGAGATGCAGAAATACGAAACGCCAGCGCCTCCGGGTAATTTAACCAACCGACTGGTATGAGGCTAGAGTGACAAGATTTGCTCATCAAGTGTTCGAATTTGCACTTCCGAGCTTCCAAGTCGATCCAGAAAACCGTAGTCCATTCTCCGGTTTCGGGTTTCATATCCCACACCTCAAACGAAAAATCATTACAGAAAACGATCAACGACAGAGATTTCCCGGTCGGCAGATAATACGTCAATCTTTCCCCACCACAACCTTGAGGAACGGGAGTCACCGTAAAAATCTCAGTCTCTACGTTCAAAGTGAAAACATACGCACCCTCGCCCTCGTTGTGAGGCCAATGAACGAAGCCTTCAGTAGTCAACGGTTCACTGACGGATAAGTGTTCCGTAAGAAGATTTCTCCAAGACTTGTCGACTCCCACGGTCAACACCGCACAGCTCCATATCTTCGAACCGTTATACGTAGAACAACACATGCTGACGGCTTTATACTTCTTGGAGAAGATATCGTCAGCACAGCCGCCATAACAGAATAACATAACAGAATAACTGTCGTCGGGTTCTTCTCTAGGGAGATCAAAGCGTTGGTCCGTTGCGGGATTGGTGATATAATGAGTACTAATGCCGTCGTAAACAGTCTCCACGATCAAACCGTTACAACTGCCCCAAACTACCCCTCTGAACTCGAAATTGAACTTTGATACCTCGATTCTGCCTCGTCTAGTTGCCACAAAAGTGACGGGGCGAGTGGAATCGAAACGGCACTCGACGATAAGTCCAGGTGTGGAATTGTGAAAATGCGCGTATACGAATTTAGGGTTACAGATCATTTTGTACCACTTCTTGCAAACAAGCCTTGCCCCTTTGTAAATATCTTCGGCCGGGAGTTCTAGAAGAATATCGTACAACAATTCTTCCGGGAGAGACTCTATATTCGTTGAAGGCCGCATCCGCATCTGCATATAAATTACAATTCCCTCTGAATTACACTTGTCTAAAATTGTTAACCTAAAAAAGCAAACTTTTTTATTTGTTCAAAAAAATTATTATTATTATTATTAATTTTTTTTTTCTGAAGTACACGGTACAACATTAAATACAAATATGGTACATACAAAAGAAAAAAAAATCGAACTTTCTGCAAAATTTGTATTCACCACATGACATCGTCCACGTGCATAAAACAATGGATATGAGTACTCACCTTAGGGTTTCCTTATTCTTAATTTCTCACCCGAGCAGGAACGATGTTCAAAGTCCCGGCGGCGGAGGAGGGCGGAGGAGGACGGAGGCGGAGGCGGAGGCGATGGCGGGACGGGCTTCTTCTTTTGCTTAATTTATACATCGACGGCCGAGAATAATTGAAGCATACGTTGGGCTTTTATTATGGGCTTCAAATATACTATACTATGTTTTATGGATGGAAAAAATACAGTTTTTGTCCATCAAGTTTGCACTAATTTTATATTTAGTTCCCATGTTCACAAAAAATATATATGGTTCTTATGTTTCAAAAATTCAACATTTTTAGTTATTTCCTTCAATTTTCCATTAAAACTAACGGACTCAAGCGTGTTCCATGATTGCCTTAACTTACGGACTGATGGTAAATTGACGGAATTGACCAAAAGTGTTAAATTATTGAACATGAGGGATCAAATGTGTTCTTTGTGTGAACATTATGAACCAAATGTGAAATCGGTGCAACTTGAGGGATTAAAAGTGTAATTTTCCCATTTACTGGTTTATCTTTAGGCCCATCGAATAATACAAATCCCAGTCATTTAATATTGGGTAAATTACGGCCACCCTTAGGATATGTCAAATTACAAAAAAATCCCTCGTGTTTAGGTAATTACAACTATTGCCCTCAACTATGAATTATCTTACACGTCGACCCTTACAGTCTCAAATTTAGTGGAATCTTCTAAATTATGTGGAATATTCTTCAGTTTGTATATGTTTTATCACATTCGAGCTCCACATTTTGAAACAACATGATCATAAGATGTGTCTTTTAGCTTTTAAATATCAGATTATAGTGTATCAGAAACTGCATTATTGCACAAAAGAAGTATAAACTAGAGAACATTTCACGGAATCTAGAAAATTATGTTGAATTTGACACCATAAGAATGAACATGTAAGCAAATTTATAGTTGAGGGGTGTGGCTGTGATTATCCCAATAAGAAGAGTTTTTTCATAATTTAATTTTATTTCAGGGATGAACATAATTTACCCTTTAATATTTACTACTAAACTTCGATACAAAAAGTAAAATAAATTAATTAATTTGTTCAAAGTTCTAAAAGTTATTGGTACTAACCTTTAAAATTTTAAACATGAGGCTAATGATTATTCCAAAAACTAAATAAATTTAAACATGATCTCATTGAACAATACATCTAGGCTCGTTTGGTTGCGAAAGAGGATTACTCAAGATATGATTACATAATTTAATAAAATCTTTATCAATTTTTTTTTAATAAAATCCAATTATATTATTGAACGGAAGAAATACAATTTTCATCCATCAAGTTTGTACCGATTTCACATTTGGTCCATCTTGTTCGCAAAAGAACATATTTTGTTCCTCATGTTTCAAAAATTCGACACTTTTAGTCATTTCCGTTAAAACTAACGGAATTAAGCGTTTGTCCACCACTGTCTTAACTAACGAACTAACGGTAAATTAACAAAAATGACCAAAAATATTAAATTATTCAAACATGAGGAACCAAATGTATTTTTTGTAAATATGATGGATCCAAATGTAAAATATGTGCAAACTTGAGGGATGAAAAATATTTTTTCCAATTATTGAACTATAGAAAGTCCAATTAGAAAAACTGCAATGTAAATTAACATATTTCTTGGTCGATCTGAAAAGTTATTGAGTATATATAACAAACATCAAACAAAATTCAATTATTTAGTCAATCATGGCTAATCTCCCTAACAAAACGAGGCCATATTTGAGTAATTTCTATAACAAAGATTTAATAAAACAGTCTTGAAAGAAAATTACAGGCCCCCCTATGCAATCCAGTCTAATCTAAATTAATATTGATACAAGTAACCCAAATTACACTAGATATTTATGACAACAAAATTACACAAGCAGCCATTGTTCAAAAACTTAGCATCCACTTAACCACACTAAGCTATTTCTATGAACTCCATAGTTGTGATAACCGGATAAATAATACACCTCGAAGTAGTCGATTTCTTGCGTACGAACATTGTAGATAACGCAAAGCTGAGATGCAGAAATACGCAACGCCAGCACCTCCGGATAATTTAACCAACCAATTAATCTGATGTGGGTTAGACAAAATTTATGAACCAAATGACCAAACCTGCCCTTTAGAGGTTCCAAGTCGATCTTGAAAAGCTTAGTCCACTCTCCCGTTTCTGATTTCATCTCCCACACCTCAAACGAATACCCACCGCAGAGAACGAGCAATGATAGAGATTTTCCCGTCGACATATAGTATTTGGGTCTTTGTACACAAACTTTTGGTACGGGAGCCTCTGTAAAAATTTCGGTCTCTACGTTCAAAGTAAAAACATGAGTGTCGTCGCTGCGAGGCCAGTGAACGAAGCCGTCGGTAGTCACTGGAGCTCCGATGGATAAGTTTTTCATATGAAGATGCCTCCACGACTTATCGACTCCTGCGGTCAATATCGCGCATTTCAATATCTCTAGAGGCTCGTTGTACTTGGAACAATGCATGAGAACCACTTTGTACTGCTTGGAAACCTCGGCGTACGCTATAGCGTAACAAATGCCGCGTCCCAATTTAGGAGAATATGCAGGGAGATCGAAGCGTTTGTTTGTTGCAGGATTTGATATGTAATTATCCTCCACGATCAGACCATTACAACTAGCCGGGGCTCTGTCTCTGAACACGAAATTGAATTTTGATATCTCCACTCGGCCTCGTCCCGTTGCTGCAAAAACTGCGGGCGATGAATGACGACGGATGTCGACAATGATCCCAGGAGTCGAATGGTGGAGATGCTCATCCACGAATCTACGGTTACAGATTATTCTGTGCCACTTCTTGCAAACAAGTCTCGCCCCTTTCTGGATATCTTGAGCTGGGACTTCTAGAAGAATCTGGAACAACAAATCGTCTGGGAGAGACTCTATATTCGTTGAACTGCTCAACTTACATCTCCTGAAACAATAAGGTCGACTGCGTCGATTCGCATCTCCACGATTCAATTTTCCCCCAAGCATCTGCATATGAAATACAAGTCCCTCAGTAAAGTTACACTAGTACAAAATTGTAAACCTGAAAATTCAAACTAATTTATTTATCCACTAAATTTATAAGGTAAATTACGAAACCCTTGAACTTAGGCTAAATAACTAAAAACACCCCCACCTATTTGTAATTACCAAAAACTCCCTGAGGTTTGTTTCCGTCTTACACCAACTTTTCCCGGATTTTATTTTATTCCAAGAAATAGACTTTACACAATTTCAGATATTTTATTTTATTTCTCACCTATTTAATATAAGTTATAATAGACTGTAGACATTTTCTGTTAAAAAACTCAATCAACAACTCAATCAACAAGTAATCAGAGGGAATTTTGGTTATTACGGATAAGTGGGGTTGTTTTTCATTATTTAGCCCAAGTTCAGGGGTTTTCGTAATTTACCCAAATTTATATGTGATCATTGCAGAAAAATAACACACAAAAAAAAATTCGACGCTTAGCAAAATTTATATCTACATTCATCACGGATACAACTGTTCTTCGTGTGTAATCAGAAAGCTCAAAACTTTATGTTTTCCGGTGGCATGAAAAAATTGCTCTGAAATCGTTTTAGATCGGAAGGCAAAACATGTTTTACGAGTAATTCTTGTCTGAAATTCTCAAAGAAAAGATAAAAAATCATGAATGTACGATGTTACCTCGGAATTTCCTTCTCAATTTCTTATCAGAGTCGCAATGATGTTCAAATTGGGATTAATCACTCACGGGCGGAGGGCGGCGGCGGCTGACTGAACTCAATTGAAGCATGCACTGACATCCACCATCAGCGGGCCATCCCTGAGATCGTACGCGGCGGCGGCGGCGGCGGCGGTGGCGGTGGCGGCGGGCGGACTGATCCAAGTGACAAATTAAAAAATGTTTTCTGATGGTTTTCTTTCTGACTTATATACAAGTGCTGATTGCCTTAGAACCCAGACAGAGATTGGGCTTAATAATTCAACTATGTATTGGGCTTTCGTTATGGACTTCAAAAGTATCAATTTATTTCAAATTTATAAAATTAGTAAATTTTTATTCAATTTATATAAAACTTTTATTTTTGAGAGATATATAAAACTTACGAGTAAATTACAACCACCCATGAGACATGGTCAAATTACGAAAAAAAAATCCTATTATTTGGGTAATTACAATCACCCCGCAGCTATAAATTTTCTTACACGTCAACATTTGCTATGTCAAATTTAGTGGAATCTTCTAGATTATATGGAATATTCTCAATTTTATATCCGTTTTATCCCATTCAAGCTCCATATTTTGAAGCAAGACGATCATAAGATGTGCTTTTTGGCTTGTATATATCAGATTGTGGTGCACCAGAAACTACATTTTTGCACAAAACGAGTACAAACTAGATAACATTCCACGAAATCTAGAAGAGTATGTCGGATTTGACACCATAAGGTGTGCGTTTAAGAAAATTCCTAATTGAGGGATAGTTGCAATTATTTAAACATGAGGGTTTTTTTATCGTAATTTGACCATAACTCGGGGATGGTTGTAATTTACCCAAAACTTTATTAGGTGATGAGGAACCTCTTCATTGGTATTTTTAATTTTCAACTTATTTCATTTTTCCTTTCATTAGTTATTATTGGTCGATTTGACATTACACCCGGAGTGATTATTAGATCGGAGTGATTATTAGATGTTACACCAGGTCATTTACATAAGTATATTTTTAATCACTGATGGAGTTAAATAATCACTCACTAATCAAACATACACATGCGTGTGCGTGTGATTGTGTGCGGATCAACAATTAAAAATTAATGTGTTTCACCAAATGTAACATCAAATAAAGATATTTTTAATCATTGATGGAGTTAAATAATCACTCACTAATCAAACATACACATGTGTGTGCGTGTGATTGTATGTGGATCAACAATTAAAAATTAATGTGTTTCACCAAATGTAACATCAAATAAATCCGGATCCAGTCCCTTGCACTTTGTAAATTTCTACGTCCATCCTCTATAAAAGGGTATTGATGTAAGAAATCAACAAATTACAGGGTGGATGTAATTATGGACAAATAAGGGGGTTTTCGTATATGTTTATATTACTAAGCTGCAAAGTCAGAATACATTACTAAGCTGCAGTCTCATGAAAACCTCGAAAGAAAATTCCAAGCAACAGCCCTTGAATGTTTCTACGAGCTTTAAAGCTGTGATATTCGGAAGCATAATCTAACTCCGGAGTCGGAGAAATATGCAACACCAATTTGTTTCTATGAATTATAAACTTCTGATAACCAGAATCATAAGGTGATTTTAAAAACATTACATATGATAGAATGACAAGCATAATGCAAGTCGAGGAGGTCAAGCTCTCGCGTACGGACATTGTAGACAACGCAAAACCGAGTTCGAGAAACGTGCAAGACCAATACTTCTTGATTTAGCCAACCCCCTAGTTTGATAGATCTAAAGAACAAACATCCCAATATGCCCTCATGAGGATCCAAGTCAATATTCGGTTGCTTCGTCCATTCTCCCGTTTCTGGTTTCAAATTCCACAATTCCCATGAAAATGCACGGCATTTAACGATTAACGTTATAAGAGTTCCCGTTGACAAATAACAGTTCAATCCTTCTCCACAACCTTGAGGTAAAGGCGTCTCGGTAATAACTTCAGTCACGACGTCCAAAGTAAAAACACGAGTGCCGTGTTTATGAGTCCAATGAATGAAACCTTCCGTAGTCAACGGATTACAATCGAGAAGTTTCCTAGATGTGGGAGATAAGTGCTCGACGTCGATATGCCTCCAAGACTTGTCAACTCCAACGGTCAATATCAATATACCGCGCCGCTGTACATAATTATCGTAGTACGTACAAACCGCTTTATACTCCACTGAAGCAGCAACGTATGCCACACCAAAACAATCGTAGTTTTCCGACCAGTTATGATAAACAAACGGAGGGAGAGCCAAACGACGCCCGGTTGCAGGATTTACAGCGCAAACCCGTTTACTTTTTTTCCCGACATCAACTTCCAGAATCAAACCGCTGCAACCTGAACCAGCTGAAACACTCCCTTTGAAACCGTAACTCATCTTGGAAATTTCGACTCGGCCTTCACGCATTGCCACGAAGAATCTATCGCCGCGTTCAGATTGATGTACGAGAAGTCCGGTGGTCGAAAGGTGGATGTGTTCGTATCTGAAACTACGGGTTCGGACCATATTGTACCACTTGCTGCAAACAAGTCTTGCCCCTTTGTGAATGTCTTCGGCCGGGAGTTGTAGAAGAATCTCGAACAACAAGTCGTCCGGGAGAGAATCTATATTTGTCAAAATACTCTTCCTTTCACATCTTCTACTCGAACGACTATGGCGATCCACATATACACGACTGCGTTTGACCCCACATATCATCTGCACGTGATGATATACAAGTTCTCAGTATTTGACTCATCTTTTCAGATGATAAATAACATGATATATATACCTTCGAGTTTCCTTCTTTAGTTTCCATCGGGTCCGGAACGAAGTTCCCCCTAGAAAAATTCAAATTTTGCACTTTCCCCCCCCTACAAATTCAAAAAGGAAATTCTCCCCCAAACGAAATTTTGTTGCAGTTGCACTTTGCCCCAAATTACAATTTTTGGAGTATTTTTCATCGGAATTGCTATAAATTATAGAACTAATAATTTAGTAGGTTTTTACCCGAGTCGGGTCCGGAGGAAACTATTACGTAAGCGAGGTTATTAATATATCGAGAATATTAAGTGCAAGTGGATTATATAAAGGATGAAGAACATGTTCACCACACGAAGCTAGTTGGTTTATAAATTTTGGAAAAATCAAACAAACACGTTCAGCAAAAATAATATAATTAAATCAGAAAATACCTTCGAGTTTCCTTCTTTAGTTTCCATCAGAATCGGAACGATGCTCAGATTGACTACTAGCGTGCCTTTCCTGCGGCGGCGACGGCGACAGCGGCGGCGATTGGACGGCGTTGGGGGCAGATTGTTGACGGCTCCCGATTAGTTATATAATGCTCTTTTATGTGAGTTTTGAAGAATAGAAATTGGATTGTTAATTGATGTTTTAAGTTTTAACCACAAAGCCGCACAATTAAGTTTTTTATAATTCAATTTCCGGCACATAAATTGATCACAATTTTAAAATTTTCCATGTTTTAATTAAGGGCAAATTGCACTTTGCTCCCCTATAAATTTCTGTTTTCCCACTTTTCCCCCTAAAAAAATGGACATTTCCCCTTCAAAATATTATATTGATTGCACTTTGTCCCATAAGCTATTTTTTTGGAGCGCGTTGTGTAACGAAAATAACAAAAACAATTTAAAGGGACAATGTGCAAAAAAATAATGTTTTGAAGGGACAACGTGTAATGAAAATAACATTTATAGGGCCAACATGCAACAAAAATACTCAATTCCGATCAATTATCCATTGAAATGTTGCTATCGCGGCAATGTGCAACAAGAATAATATTTCGAAGGGGGTATTCACTTTTAAAAATTTTAATGGGGGAAAAGTGTGAAAATTAGAAATTTATAGAGGGTAAATTTAGGGATGTTAAATCGGTAAAACCGAACCAAAATTTCGGTACGCCAACATTTCATACCGTTTACCGAACTGAATATACGATTTGGTTCGGTAAATAATCAAATTACATAAATTTTATGTAAAAATATTTAAAAAGAGGGGATGACTGTACTTACCCAAACAAGAGGGTTTTTTTTTCTAATTTGGCCATACCTCAAGAGGTTGGCCGTAATTTTCCCTTGAAAATGTATTATTTTCCTACACATTGCCCCTTTAAAATCTTATTTTTATTGCACGATGCACATCGAAAATTGGCTTTTGGGGCAAAATGCAACTAAAACAATAATTCCAGGCAGTTATCTCTTTTTTGATTTTTTAGGGGGGAAAGTGCAAAAATTGAAAATTTATAAGCCGTGAAGTGTATTTTGTTCTCTAGTCGAATACGCAGCCATACCTGTTAAAAAGCTAAGCTCACCTAACCATAATGCTAAGCTATTTCCATGAACTTTAACAGCTGCCATAACCAGAATCAAGGTCTGTTTAAATGAGCATTAAAAACGAGATATTGATTAGCATAGTCGAACTCAAACGAGTCAATTTCTTGCGTACGGACATTGTAGACAACGCAAACCGGAGACGGAGAAATATGCAAAACCAACACCTCTTGATTTAACCAACCGCCCGGTCTCGGGTCAACATTACTATATTTATATTTACGGACCGACTCTTCAAATTCGCACGTACGAGCTTCCAAGTCAATATTGGGCATCTTCGTCCACTCTCCCGTTTCTGCTTCCATCTCCCAAAATTCCCACGAAAACTCGCTGCACTCAACGAGAAAAGTCAGATATCTCCCCCTCGGCAAAAAGTAGCTCACTGTTTTCGATCCATAACAACCTTCAGGAACACGAGTCTCTGTAATAACTTCAGTCTCTACGTTCAAAGTCAAAACACAAGTCAAACTACGACCCCAAACACGAGTGCCTTTTTCTCCATGAGCCCAATGAACGAAACCTTCGGTAGCGCACGGAATATCATCGAGAAGTTCTCTAGCTTCGGAAGACAAGTGCTCGGTGGAGACGTGCCTCCAAGACTTGTCGACTCCGACAGTTAATATAGAACAAACGTGTATCGGCAAATTCCTGTCGTAACAAGTACACGTTTTGACCACTTTATACTCCATCGAAGCCTCGGCGTATGCTATACAAGAGTGATAGTAGTTGATATAGGAATTGTTTTCCCGCCGACAAAAAGATGTAGGGAGAACAAAACGGCGTCTCGTTGCTGGATTTAAAGTGTAGAGAGCGTGAGCATTCGGCTTCTTGCCATCGAAGCCGAGTATCAAACCGTTGCAACTACTCCAAACAGTTCCTATGATTCGGAACTTGTATTTCAATTTAGATATCTCGAGTCGGCCTTTACGCATGGCCACAAAAAACGGATATTCGTGGTTGGATTTCTGGATGAGGAGCCCGGAAGTCGAACGGCGGAAGGTTTTTTCGCATTTGAAATCGCGCGTGTGGACCATGTCGTACCACTTCTTGCAAACGCGCCTCGCCCCCTCGTGAATGTCTTTGGGCGAGAGACGGAGTAGAATGTCGAACACCAGTTCGTCTGGAAGAGACTCTATGTTTGTTCTCGATTTACATTTCCTCGAATAGTAAGGGCGATTACGGTAATTCACCACGCATGCATGGTTTCTTTTGCACCCACTCATCTGCACATGGAATACAATTCCAAGAGACAAACAATTTTCAATATTCCGATCAGCAATTTTATAAAACCGTGCACTTGTATAATCGAGGGGTTCGAATTCTTTATCACTTTCACATAATCAATAATTGAATATTTAGTTATATATATATTATTAACTGCTTAATTAACAAGTGGGATTATATAAAGGACGAAGAACATGTTCACCACATGAAGATAATAAATCAGAAGATACCTTCGAGTTTCCTTCTTTAGTTTTCATCAAAATCGGAACGATGCTCCGATTGCCGGTTCCTTCGATGCTACACCCGGTGAAAAAGACCGGGTGGGTCTTCTGCTGCCACGTGATCTTTTTTTTTATTTTTCTTAAACCCCTAAAGGTAAACCCTAGCGGGGAATCTATTATAAAATATCAAAAAGAGACACGTGGCAGCAGAAGACGCAC